CGAAAAATGGCGGTTTTCGTCTCCTGAAGGAGTCCTGAAAGTATTGTCCACAATGAGTACTTTTTCGCATGATACATTGGTACTAAAATTAAGTACCTTTTGTTTTTGCAAGCCGGATTACCTTCACAGTCTTCCACCAGTAAACGGTCCGTAAAAGGTTTTGTAGCGTGCATGCAAAAGCGAACTGAACTACATTACGACTCGAAACTGTTTAAGAGGTTCCGGTGCAGTATCAAATCAACGGTTGGATTAATGTACCTAAGGGAATAATTACAGTATCAACGAACAATTTAAGTAGCAACAAAAAATTACATTTTTTGTTTTGCTTTCTTACCACAGACAAAGGAAAGATTACCTTCACCTTGCGACTCCGGTAGATCTTCGCCAATCTTTGTTTCGGGATACGAAGCCGAGCGACAACGAAACGACATTAAGCAGTTTGGACGAGAAGCAGCTTGTAAGCTAGCTGAAAGACGAGCGGAGTATGCAAAAAGAAGAATGGAACAAGTACAAGAGGAGACCGTCATAATCGAGGTAATAATTGCGTTAAAATTAAATCTCAACTAACAATGAACTATATATAGGGCCAAAATTCAAGTTTACTTTGTTTCCAGGGTTGTGATTGAAACTGTCACAAATAGTATGCGCATGCCCCAAGGAAAAATAAAAAGCTACAAACTCCATCGACTTCACCTTTTACACAACAACGAGTTTCTACTTTGTACAACACTTTTATTGGCAGCATCTCTTATTTTTGTTCATAAAATTACCGTGAAATGTCAAAGACAAGAGGCAGGAGAAGCAAACCAAAAGTACTAGCCGGGCTCAATTCCCAGCTCGCGCTGTTCCGGAAAGCCTCAAGGTGGCGGGATATTCTGTAGTTATCACAAGACAGGTTTTCTGGTTTAGAGAACAGGCGTTAAACGATATTCCTTTTTTGTCCAATACTTTAGCGCAACATAGAGGAAGCCATCATCAACAAGCTAGAACTACTTACAATGGCCGACGAGTTAGAAAAGCAAAGGGAATTCTTCAAAGGCCGAAAAGCTAAATTATGGCGGCGATGTGCAAACATGGCGGAAATCTTGGCTAAAGAAGAAACAGAAGCAGCATTATGGCAGCAAAGATATAAGAAAGCTATGATGGTTGCGCCAGGGAACATGGCATTTTTCTGAACAGCATACATTCGTGTTGCTAAAAGCCATGCGCAGTGTCGTCACAGCACGACAGCCTCGTTCTGGATTCAAGGTTGATAGAACCGAACCAGAGAAATGCCCCGTCAGCTCAAGGAAATCGAGCACAATGCATCGTCAAGTTTGTATTGAAATTTGACAAAAGGAACATTGCAAACTATACTGAGGAACTTAATACCAAAGAGAAGGGCTTAAAACAGATTTCCGACAAAATCAATAGAGGCTTCAATAACCGATCAAGACAATGATCAGTACCGAAAACAACATCCATTACAATATACACAAGAAAAACGCAAACAGCTCATGATGGCGCTTAATCTAATTTACTATTTGTCAAGTCATTTCCCCCTCAATAGCGAGCAGCAGATAATTTCTTCTTAAATCACCTCTAGATTAGACTTTCATAACAATCATTGAGAACGATAAATGTCAAAAATAAAAAAAAAATCATAGAAAATATTACAGAAGAGATTGAAGAATCCCATCACGATTTAAAAATGGGCAAATATTATATTATTATTTAATTAATAAACATTATATCGCGACGGGAGTCGCTGGCAGTCGGCGCTAATAGTAACCTGCTGGCAAGGTCATCCGACTAGGGGGCTACTTTTTTAACGTTCAAAGGGGTAACTGTCACTTACAAGCTCCCTCCTCCAAAAACTGAATAAAATATAATTTTTTTCACCAGTGAGTTAATTTATAATTAAATGAAAACTGTGTAGCTTGGAATGTGAAGAATAGTTAACATCTTTCGCTGCATGTAAGGTGATCCAAGGCAGTCTTTGATTGTGGATTCAGATTTCAGTTACTGGATTCCAATCTTTGTCAGGGGAACTTGGATTCTGGATTTCAATCGTCCGTGGGATTCCGGATTCCTTGAGCTGTATTTCGGATTCCAAAGTCGAAAATAAAGAACAAACGTCAAACCCGGCTGCAAAACAACAACTGTGTACTTGGTGGATTCGGCCCTTCCAGTAGAGTCGCTCTTCGATCTTTCCTAGATAAGTCGGGAAAGAGGGAGCGACTCTGCCGACACCTTCTAAATCGTTTGATCTCCCAATCATCCAGCTTTTTGGATGAGTCAGACAAGTCGTTATACTGGATAAACCAGTTTTATCAGTGCACACGCGCATATTCGCGCATATAGGAAAATGCACCCAGATTCGAGATGGATTTTTTTTGGATTTAACTTTGTAGTTAGGCGATTTTACTTGCTTGAACGGATCCACAATCCAGTAAGTGTTACGCGAAGCTCTTGGAAGGACAAACAAAAAAAAAATTAAATGGGTTTTGAATAAAAATATTTAGAAACAATATCTAATGCTTATTCTTTTGTGCTTGCTATAACATTAATTCAAAATAAGATCATGAGGCTACAGAATCCATGTTGCATTTAAATGATCGGTGCTTTTACAGCTGTTTGTGGATAACACGTGATCTGTGATGCCAAAAACGTCTTTGGATTTTGTGTTTTTCTACGACGTCAGTCAAAATCTGAAGAAGCGGCGCTTTCTTCGCGCGCTTTCTCGCCTTTACATCTTAGCGAACCTCTTAGGAAACAAAAGGTCGTAATTTGTGATTTGTGGTTGGTGGATTTTGATCCGTTTTGTTTGTTTCTGTGTTTCAAGCTTAGTTGCTTTGCTTTGTTTTTGAAAAGCACCGTAAGTTTTACCTTGGCTCTAAGATTTTTTTAACTTCTTTACACTGAAACATGGCAAGTTTAGATTCTAAAGGTGAAATTGTTCCTATAGAGCTTCCAAATCCAGAGGAAACACAGCTACGGAAGGGTGAAAACGAACCGGTACGTTCCCGCTAACATTTACATTTGCTGACAAACGCAGTGGATGCTACGGTAACGGTTTGATTTGCGTCGCGGAAAAATTTGAATTTGGAGCATGCTCAATATGAATTGTCGAGGATGTGGGCAGAGCATTCTCGTTCCCAGAGCCCGTCGTTTGCTCGTCACGTGGTCGGGAAACGATGGGCTGCCACTGGTCGGTTACAAATAAAGCCGAGTGGCTCTGGGGACGAAAATGGTCGGCAGAGGTTCCTCCCTCTACCCGACTTGGGAAGATCGAAGGAGACTCTGTTCGCAGGGTATTGGTCTCAGCCTTTGCCATCAGTGCACGACTTTTTTCATCCAGTTCTTGGATGCGCTTTTAAGAATTCCTCCAGGACTCATCTTTGACAAATCGAGACAGCTGGAATTGTAGCAACAAAACTTGACAGGATGAAAATTCACTTTTCCGAGCAAGTTGAGTGACTGCTGCACTCTCTCGTCTTAGCTCTCTAACATATATCACTGGCGGATCCAGACTTTCAGATAAGGGGTGAACCCGGTCATCCAGATCCTGAAATAAAAGCGGGGGAGGAAAGGTTAAGGGGGGGGGCGGTCTTAAAGCCTCCTGGGCCCTTCCCCTGTATCCGCCTCTGTATATGATCAAAGTAGTCACGTTTACTAAAGCCTCGTGACCACCAATAAATCGAATTACGTAACAGAGAAACCTGCAGCTGTATACCGACAATATGGGTGACGTCACCATCAACTATTTTGCCGCCAACTTTCCACATTGGAAGGTCTTTGTATTTGCAATAGTGTGAAGCTTTACGCAGTAGTCTACGCTTTGCTCATTTCTTGCACATACTCTCCTAATTTCGTTACGCACGCAAAGGCAGTGAAATTCCAGCTCATTTAAAACGTAAGCGGTGGTATATTGCAGGGAGATAGAAGTCACAAAAATACAATATTGATCATTTTCCAGCTGCCTTAGAAGGCGGCCAAAAGAGTACGCTTAACTTGAACCCGAATCTATTAACCTTATATTTGCATGTTTGTCAGACCTTTTCCGGTCAATTTCCGCGTCCTTTTTTGGAAATGTAATTGTGCACGTTTAGTATGAGCGTCTCCTTTTTTGGAGGTGGAAACGGCGGGTCTTAGACCCTGTTTACATGGAGTGGGGGACCCCGGTCTAGTGGGGTAGGTTTCTTTTGTTTTCACGCTCTGGAGAACACAAAACAAAAGAAACCCACCCCACTAGACCGGGGTCCCCCACCTCCATGTAAACAGGGTCTTAATTGTCACTTGTCAACACCTCTTCACACATGACAACCCATTAACAGAGGGTAGAGAGAAAATCATTACATCAGTGAAAGTTAAATGGGGTATGTCACCCAACACGCATGCGCGAGGCAATGAAAACAAACTTGAAAAAGACGGCCCAACTTTTTCAAGTTGTGTCGGAGATTTTGGAAGGCTGTTTTTATCTGTCTAAATCTCAGCCACCGTTCGATAGTTAGCGAAGTTTTGTATTAAGAATCGTTCTATGGTGTTCTATTGTGCTCCAAGTATGTGGACATATAATGAAGCGGCTATCGAGTTGGCGGCGGCCGTTTTTTGTAAACGATTACAAGAGCATCAGGCCATGAGTTTCGTGACAAAACTAAACTCCTGGCGAAGGAAACATTATAAAATTCGGCTAGATTCCTTCTTGTATTTATCTGGATTCACGGCAAAGATAAACACGACCGTTTGCTCGTCCAGATTGTTCTCAACGGACTTAGAGAGTCACCTTAGTACGAGTTAGATCCTGTAAATGCCATGTTTTTGAACTGTTTGTGTTCGAGCATAATTTTGGAAAATAGCAGAGTTTACTTTCCCTTTTTATCAACGGACTGCTTATAGTGGAGTAGTATACCAATGATGCTGGGTTCTGTTTTTCTCGACGTCGCAGTGATTTGGCACGATCGAACAATTTTGCGCGATAATGTATGTTTCCCTAAGATCAAAACAAAGACTTGGTCTCTTGTTCTATCAGCATCTAAATTATAAAATCAGTAGCGACAGACAAGTCTAATTGTTAATGATTTGAAACAGTCTTGGTCTTTATCTTCGGTCTAGCGTCTTTTGTAGCTCGTTTGTAAAATACAACTGCCATTTATTTTGTTGAATAAGACAATATGTTGTTGTTGAATTTTTGTTTGCGCTCTATTTTATGAATGGCATGCGTTTTTACTTCGAAACTACAAGTAAAATTGTCGTCACAATTTTATTCTTGATCTAGCATAACCAGAGAAGAAACGTTCCATAAATTCTATCGAAATATCCCTTATCCAAACCCATTTCGCTTGTTAACCTCTCTAAATTCGGAACCTTGGACGTGACAGAGAACATGAAGAAAGTCATGCGTTAAAAACAATAGAATTTTGACAGTTGAAAGTAATTTGCATAACCTCAGAGCGCACATGGAGAAAGTCACGCGTTAAAACAATTGACCACTCCAGAAAATACCATGACATACCATAATACTTTTTGTTTGTCATCCCAAAATTTTGCATAAGCATTGTCTTCAGTTTCTCTTGGGGCCATTTTAACTCCCAAGAGAAACTGAAGACAATGCTTATGCAAAATTTTGGGGTGACAAACAAAGACCATTATGGTATGTTATGGTATTTCTGGAGTGGCCTATAGAATTTTGACAGTGGAAAGTAATTTGCATAACCTCAGAGCGCATGCTCTCCACCTGACATAGCCCCTTTAAAGTGAACCTAAGTGCACACATTCTCTCTCATTGATCTCCTCACGTTCATGACGTCAACAGAACGTTCAGATTACGTCATTTGAATCATGCGCATAAGCGTTGTTGGTACAGTGAAATTTTTCCTCCGGCGCGAAGCCAGATGCTCTTTTCTTGAACAGAAACTCGCCTCCCGTGAGTAAAAGACGGAAGTTTCAGTTTATGTGACTTTGCAGCTGGCTCATTGAAATTTGCAACGTATAGAACATTCGCTCACTCCCCGAATTAATTTTGTTTACGTCGAGAATATCGTCACTGTTTTCTCCTAGGACGCTTGAAATTAAAACTGAAATTTCGCCTGGAATATTTCCCAATTCTTCACGTGAACGAACAGACTGCGGGTGGTTAACAGAGCGAGGGATTAAAATGAAAGCCACGCAAGCTCACGTACTCGACTTGCATTCACGCTCCATCTCACAGTCAAGTAACGCTTACGCCTACACACACTCCATCGCGCATATACTGATATTTAGAGACGGGACATCTAAAATCACATTCTGGAAAGGCTCCTCATCTTCCTCTTATTCATGGGTAACCTGGAATATGGAACCGTTCATTCTGAAAGCCACTCTCGTAGGTTACAGGTTAACTGCTTCTTTATAGCGACTAACCCTATCACGAAACCGTAAGGAAAAATCTGTGATAAGATCTCGCGAGCTCTTCGACTGTTCCAGGTGCACCGGGGCTACGACCGAATGTTTCCAAATACGTCTGAATTATCTCAAATGGTTTTCTCTCTGTTTTTGAAGCCTGTTTGGTTAATTTGGAGCTGCCCTAAAAACTATTTATCCCTTCGTATGTTATAAGAGAACATTGTTTGTCTCGACGAAAGTTTGAGGTGGCTTTTCGTTTTATCCTAAACTGTTAGCTACCCTGCGGCTGATCGGTCCGGTCGAAAGAACAAGGAAATGGAGTAGCCGTATTTTCTTTAGAAAATTCCAGGGGACATTAACCTTTGTCGGCTTTTAAACTATGTTCTTAGGAGACCGTTGTTAACAATAATCTCAATATCTTGCTGATAAAATGTGAAAAAAATATGCGGTAAGTTAGTAGAAAAAATCCGTATTACTTAGACGACCATATAATGGAGCGGTTATCCAGGTATTTGCTCTTTCGAACAGATATTTTTCAGATAGAAGTCCTCGACTGTCCCCATTACTGTGTTTGAGAAATGAGCTCACATCTTTAATAATTAACTGGACTGACCGAGTTCTAGTCTGTGCATATCATGATGAGTAGATGTTTTGATATACGCATTATTTGCAATAAACAACATTTATCTTCACTTTTAGCATCTTACGAAGATGAAAAGCCCCTATGCAATTTTCAGCAAGACCATATTGTCTGGGATCGGCATTATACGCTCAAGGTAAGCTTAAAACACAAATTAAGTGATTTGCATAACAAATTTCCCGTTTTGGGTAAAACTGGTTCGGAATAGATTATGAGTAGTCCCCTTTTTCCCTCAGGGATAGTAGAGCGCGCGTGAAAATCACCCCACGCGTCTCGCCTTCCTCGCGTGAGGTGATTTTCACGCGCGCTCGCGTTTTGCTCGCTCTACTATCCCTGAGGAAAAATGGGGACTAATTCGGGTTCTAACACCCTTCAGTTTGAAAACGAATTTACTGCAGGAAATTCTAATTAGAAGAAGTATAAAATAACTCCTTAATTCTTTTCATCATTTTTGTCAAATTCCTAAGATAATCATTAATTTCACCTGTATCCAGAAATGTACATGACCCGGTCCCTCCAGGCACTTCACTTGACTTCTCTTTGATTCCTTGTAATTTTCATATATTTGACTTCATGTTTCAAAGAATTACTTGCATTTGGATGACGATTATCGCTAGGATAGGGGAGACTTTGTGATGTCTATTGTAACCATTATGAATCTCATAACAGTGTATTTCTGGGCATAATTTGTTAATATTTAGGGGCTGTCAAATCGCGTTACCATTGTCTCGCCCATCCAAGACAGTCTTGGATTCTGGATTCCATTTTGTGGATTCAGAATTCAAGGATCTGTATTCCGGATACTTTGTCGGTGGAACTTACACCAGTCGTTGGTGGGATTCCGGATTCCTTTGAGCTGAGATCCGGATTCCAAAGCACAAGATTCTTGTTTCTATAAACTCTCGAATCCAGATTAAATTACATGGGGCGAATTATACACTATACGTTTCTGGGAAACTGCCCACCTTCCCCTTCCCTAAGCCAACACTTAACACTTACTTCTCACTTAAGGCAAAATGTTGGCTTAGGGGAGGGGTAGGTGGGATCGAATATTCCCAGAAACGTATATAATGATCCCATTATCACACCAATTTTCATACTGTATTATCGAAGAAGTATGTCATATTCTTTGTGCACAGGATTTGTCCCGTATCGAGGTGAAGATTCAAAGCGTCGAAAGTCCAACTTCGCTGAGCGGCAACTTTTTCGTTCCCATTACAGAAGACAAAGAGCGATGTCGCTCTCCAGAACTCTTATACCCACCTATTGCGAATATAGCAGAGGTATTTAACGTATTTGTTACTACGCTGTGAAGTACTTTGAACCGCGGCAGGATTAGCTCAGTACAAGAGAGAAAATGAGACATAGAGGGAATCTTATGTGAATTTTCTAAACTCATTTTTAGAGGTTGTAATTAAACGGAAGTCTATTTCCTTGAATGTGCGCAGATTTAAATCGATGGTTTGAAATATCATCAAGTCCTTTGATTAGCTCAAAGCGGAAAAAAACAGAATATTATAATGGCGACTATTGAATTCTCTCTTAAACTGGCAATGAATGAAAATTTGCGAAACTCCCAGAAAATCAACTTCTGGTTAATTTAAGCGTTCATTTGTCTAAAAATAACTTTGGTGAAATTTGCATACCCAAGGGCTAGACTACGAGTAGTCTTCATTTTTCCTCAGGGATAGTACAGCTAGCGAAACGCGAGCGCGCGTGAAAATCAACTCAAGCGGGAAAGGCGAGACGCGGCGGTTAGAGAGAAAAATAAGGGACTACAGACAAAGCCCAAGCTTTTGACCTTATGCGTTGCTCTCACATTTTTCTCTCTCACCGCCGCATCTCGCCTTTCTCGCGTTGGTTTATTTTCACGCGCGCTCGCGTTCGCTCGCGTTCGCTCGCTGTACTATCCCTGAGGAAAAATGGAGACTACTCGTAGTCTACCCAGGGGCTGGACTGAGCGTCTCCCACTCTGACCTATTGTCCTATTATTCTCTTTTGGTAGAGCGCCAACCTCGTTCTTAGGGGCCTCCCCTACTCATCCCTCGGAGCGAGAAGACCCTGGAACGAGGTTGGGAACAGCCCTTGACTGCAGAGCGGGACGTCATGGGTTCGATTCCCAGGGCCGGACCAATACAAGGGTCTTAAAATAACCGGGAAATGAAGGTACTTCCTTTGCCCTGCAAATGGCTAGACCTTCGCGTGGCTCAGATGACTACGAAAAATGGTGAAAGTAGTATCCACAATGAATACTTTCTTGCATGATACATTGATACTTTAATCAAGTACCTTTTTTTTTTGCCGGATTACCTTCACAGTCTTCCGCCCGTAAACGGTCCGTAAAAGCGTGCATGCAAAACCGAACTGAACTAAATTACGACTCGAAACTGTTTGAGAGGTTCCGGTGCAGTATCACATCAACGGTTGGACTAATGTACCTAAGGGAATAATTACAGTATCAACGAACAATTTAAGTAGCAACAAAAAATTACATTTTTTGTTTTGCTTTCTTACCACAGACAAAGGAAAGATTGCCTTCACCGTGCGACTCCGGTAGATCTTCGCCAATCTTCGTTTCGGGATACGAAGCTGAGCGACAACGAAACGACATTAAGCAGTTTGGACGAGAAGCAGCTTGTAAGCTAGCTGAAAGACGAGCGGAGTATGCAAAAAGAAGAATGGAACAAGTACACGAGGAGACTGTCATAATCGAGGTAATAGTTGCGCTGCAATTAAATCTCAACTAATAATGAACTCTATAGGGCCAAAATTCAATTTTATCTTGTTTCCATGAAGGGTTACAATCGAAACTGTCAAAAATAGTATGCCCATGCCCCAAGGTAAAATAAAAAGCTACAAACTCCATCGACTTCACCTTTTACACAACAACGAGTTTCTACTTTGTACATCACTTTTATTGGCAGCATCTCTTATTTTTGTTCATAAAATTACCGTGAAATTTCAAGAGGCAGGAGAAGCTAACTAAAGGTACTAGCCGGGCTCAATTCCCAGCTCGCGCTGTTCCTGAAAGCTTCAAGGTGCTGGCGGGGTATTCTGTAGTTACCACAAGACAGGTTTTCTGGTTTAGAGAACAGGCGTTAAACGATATTATTTTTCTGTCCAATACTTTAGCGCAACATAGAGGAAGCCATCATCAACAAACTAGAACTACTTACAATGGTCGACGAGTTAGAAAAGCAAAGGGAATTCTTCAAAGGCCGAAAAGCTAAATTATGGCGGCGATGTGCAAACATGGCGGAAATCTTGGCCAAAGAAGAAACAGAAGCAGCATTATGGCAGCAAAGATATAAGAAAGCTATGATGGTTGCGCCAGGGAACATGGCATTTTTCTGAACAGCATACATTCGTGTTGCTAAAAGGCATGCGCAGTGTCGTCACAGCACGACAGCCTCGTTCTGGATTCAAGGGTGATAGAACCGAACCAGAGAAATGCCCCGTAAGCTCAAGGAAATCGAGCACAATGCGTCGTCAAGTTTGTATGGAAATTTGACAAAAGGAACATTGCAAACTATACTGAGGAACTTAATACCAAAGAGAAAGGCTTAAAACAGATTTCCGACAAAATCAATAGAGGCTTCAATAAGCGATCAAGACAATGATCAGTACCGAAAACAACATCCATTACAATATACACAAGAAAAACGCAAACAGCTCATAATGGCGCTTAATCTAATTTACTATTTGTCAAGTCATTTCCCCCTCAATAGCGAGCAGCAGATAATTTCTTCTTAAATCACCTCTAGATTACACTTTCATAACAATCATTGAGAACGATAAATGTCAAAAATAAAAAAAAAATCATGGAAAATTATTACAGAAGAGATTGAAGAAGACTAGACGCTGATGAGGCTGGGACTGTACTGAAATTTAGTTCCATCACGATTTAAAAATGGGCAAATATTATATTATTATTTAATTAATAAACATTATATCGCGACGGGAGTCGCTGGCAGTCGGCGCTAATAGTAACCTGCTGGCAAGGTCATCCGACTAGGGGGCTACTTTTTTAACGTTCAAAGGGGTAACTGTCACTTACAAGCTCCCTCCTCCAAAAACTGAATAAAATATAATTTTTTTCACCAGTGAGTTAATTTATAATTAAATGAAAACTGTGTAGCTTGGAATGTGAAGAATAGTTAACAACTTTCGCTGCATGTAAGGTGATCCAAGGCAGTCTTTGATTGTGGATTCAGATTTCAGTTACTGGATTCCAATCTTTGTCAGGGGAACCTGGATTCTGGATTTAAATCGTCTGTGGGATTCCGGATTCCTTGAGCTGTATTTCGGATTCCAAAGTCGAAAATAAAGAACAAACGTCAAACCCGGCTGCAAAACAACAACTGTGCACTTGGTGGATTCGGCCCTTCCAGTAGAGTCGCTCTTCGATGTTTCCTAGATAAGTCGGGAAAGAGGAAGCGACTCTGCCGACATCTTCTAAATCGTTTGATCTCCCAATCATCCAGCCTTTTAGATGAGTCAGACAAGTCGTTGTACTGGATAAACCAGTTTTATCTGTGCACACGCGCATATTCTGGAGTTTTGCTGACTGTTTCTGCGCCCACGCTTCATAACAAAACAAATAGCTGCGGCTTCAATTTCATGCTGCAGGAATTTTGATAAAATTATAGATTGAACGTTCAGTTTTAGAAAAATAAGAAAATGCACCCAGATTCGAGATGGATTTTTTTTGGATTTAACCATGTAGTTAGGCGATTTTACTTGCCTGAACGGATCCACAATCCAATACGTGTTACGCGAAGCTCTTGAAAGGACAAACAAAAAAAAATTAAATAAGTGTTGAATAAAAATATTTAAGAAACAATATCTAAGGCTTATTCTTTTGTGTTTGCTATAACATTAATTCAAAATAAGATCATGAGGCTACAGAATCCATGTTGCATTTAAATGATCGGTGCTTTTACAGCTGTTTGTGGATAACACGTGACCTGTGATGCCAAAAACGTCTTTGGATTTTGTGTTTTTCTACGACGTCAATCAAAATCTGAAGAAGCGGCGCTTTCTTCGCGCGCTTTCTCGCCTTTACATCTTAGCGAACCTCTTAGGAAACAAAAGATGGTAGTTTGTGATTTGTGGTTGGTGGATTTTGATCCGTTTTGTTTGTTTCTGTGTTTCAAGCTTAGTTGCTTTGCTTTGTTATTGAAAAGCACCGGAAGTTTTACCTTGGCTCTAAGATTTTTTTAACTTCTTTACACTGAAACATGGCAAGTTTAGATTCCAAAGGTGAAATTGTTCCCTTAGAGCTTCCAAATCCAGAGGAAACACAGCTACGGAAGGGTGAAAACGAACCGGTACGTTCCCGCTAACATTCACATTTGCTGACAAACGCAGTGGATGCTACGGTAACGGTTTGATTTGCGTCGCGGAAAAATTTGAATTTGGAGCATGCTCAATATGAATTGTCGAGGATGTGGGCAGAGCATTCTCGTCCCCAGAGCCCGTCGTTTGTTCGTCACGTGGTCGGGAAACGATGGGCTGCCACTGGTCGGTTACAAATAAAGCCGAGTGGCTCTGGGGACGAAAATGGTCGGCAGAGGTTCCTTCCTCTACCCGACTTGGGAAGATCGAAGGAGACTCTGTTCGCAGGGTATTGGTCTCAGCCTTTGCCATCAGTGCACGACTTTTCTTCATCCAGTTCTTGGATGCGTTTTTAAGAATTCCTCCAGGACTCATCTTTGACAAATCGAGACAGTTGGAATTGTAGCAACAAAACTTGACAGGATGAAAATTCACTTTTTCGAGCGAGTTGAGTGACTGCTGCAATCTCTCGTCTTAGCTCTCTAACATATATCACTGGCGGATCCAGACTTTCAGATAAGGGGTGGACCCGGTCATCCAGATCCTGAGATGGGGGGGCGGTCTTAAAAATATTTTTTTCGTGCCCCTCGAACCTCAGTTTGGTCTAAAAATAAGGGGGACCCCAGGCCTCCTGGGCCCTTCCCCTGTATCCGCCTCTGTATATGATCAAAGTAGTCACGTTTACTAAAGCCTCGTGACCACCAATAAATCGAATTACGTAACAGAGAAACCTGCAGCTGTATACCGACAATATGGGTGACGTCACCATCAACTATTTTGCCGCCAACTTTCCACATCGGAAGGTCTTTCTTTTTGCAATAGTGTGAAGCTTTACGCAGTAGTCTACGCTTTGCTCATTTCTTGCACATACTCTCCTAATTTCGTTACGCACGCAAAGGCAGTGAAATTCCAGCTCATTTAAAACGTAAGCGGTGGTATATTGCAGGGAGATAGAAGTCACAAAAATACAATATTGATCATTTTCCAGCTGCCTTAGAAGGCGGCCAAAAGAGTACGCTTAACTTGAACCCGAATCTATTAACCTTATATTTGCATGTTTGTCAGACCTTTTCCGGTCAATTTCCGCGTCCTTTTTTTGGAAATGTAATTGTGCACGTTTAGTATGAGCGTTTCCTTTTTTGGAGGTGGAAACGGCGGGTCTTAGACCCTGTTTACATGGAGTGGGGGACTCCGGTCTAGTGGGGTAGGTTTCTTTTGTTTTCACGCTCTGGAGAACACAAAACAAAAGAAACCCACCCCACTAGACCGGGGTCCCCCAACTCCATGTAAACAGGGTCTTAATTGTCACTTGTCAACACCTCTTCACACATGACAACCCATTAACAGAGGGTAGAGAGAAAATCATTACATCAGTGAAAGTTAAAGGGGCTATGTCACCCAACACGCATGCGCGAGGCAATGAAAACAAACTTGAAAAAGACGGCCCAACTTTTTCAAGTTGTGTCGGAGATTTTGGAAGGCTGTTTTTATCTGTCTAAATCTCAGCCACCGTTCGATAGTTAGCGAAGTTTTGTATTAAGAATCGTTCTATGGTGATTACAGAACAATTTTTTGGCGGTATTTTAAAATTGTTTGCCTGTGGAATGTTTTTACGTGGATTTACTGTGTCCTCTTATCAGCGGCCGTTGTAATGGCAGAGTTAATGACGGCTACTCCACAATGAGTGATGGAATCTTTGATGGAATCTTCCCTATAGTTCACAGGACCTTTCTATTGGTTATTTTAGAGGCTGCTGGCTCTTGGATTTTTCTTGTGCTCAAAGTATGTGGACATATAATGAAGCGGCTATCGAGTTGGCGGCGGCCGTTTGTAAACGATTACAACAGCATGGCCATGAGTTTCGTGACGAATCTAAACTTCTGGCGAAGGAAACTTTATAAAATTCGGCTAGATTCCTTCTTGTATTTATCTCGATTCACGGCAAAGATAAACACGACCGTTTGCTCGTCCAGATTGTTCTCAACGGACTTAGAGAGGCACCTTAGTACGAGTTAGATCCTGTAAATGCCATGTTTTTGAACTGTTTGTGTTCGAGCATAATTTTGGAAAATAGCAGAGTTTACTTTCCCTTTTTATCAACGGACTGCTTATAGTGGAGTAGTATACCAATGATGCTGGGTTCTGTTTTTCTCGACGTCGCAGTGATTTGGCACGATCGAACAATTTTGCGCGATACACGGTAGGTTTCCCTAAGATCAAAACAAAGACTTGGTCTCTTGTTCTATCAGCATCTAAATTATAAAATCAGTAGCGACAGACAAGTCTAATTGTTAATGATTTGAAACAGTCTTGGTCTTTATCTTCGGTCTAGCGTCTTTTGTAGCTCGTTTGTAAAATACAACTTCCATTTATTTTGTTGAATAAGACAATATGTTGTTGTTGAATTTTTGTTTGCGCTCTATTTTATGAATAGCATGCGTTTTTACTTCGAACCTACAAGCAAAATTGTCGTCACAATTTTATTCTTGATCTAGCATAACCAGAGAAGAAACGTTCCATAAATTCTATCGAAATATCCCTTATCCAAACCCATTTCGCTTGTTAACCTCTCTAAATTCGGAACCTTGGACGTGACAGAGAACATGAAGAAAGTCATGCGTTAAAAACAATAGAATTTTGACAGTTGAAAGTAATTTGCATAACCTCAGAGCGCACATGGAGAAAGTCACGCGTTAAAACAATAGAATTTTGACAGTGGAAAGTAATTTGCATAACCTCAGAGCGCATGCTCTCCAGCTGACATAGCCCCTTTAAAGTGAACCTAAGTGCACACATTCTCTCTCATTGATCTCCTCACGTTCATGACGGCAACAGAACGTTCAGATTACCTCATTTGAATTATGCGCATAAGCGTTGTTGGTACAGTGAAATTTTTCCTCCGGCGCGAAGCCAGATGCTCTTTTCTTGAACAGAAACTCGCCTCCCGTGAGTGAAAGACGGAAGTTTCTTTTATGTGACTTTGCAGCTGGGTCATTGAAATTTGCAACGTATAGAACATTCGCTCACTCCCCGAATTAATTTTGTTTACGTCGAGAATATCGTCACTGTTTTTTGCTTGAAATTAAAACTGAAATTTCGCCTGGAATATTTCCCAATTCTTCACGTGAACGAACAGACTGCGGGTGGTTAACAGAGCGAGGGATTAAAATGAAAGCCACGCAAGCTCACGTACTCGACTTGCATTCACGCTCCATCTCACAGTCAAGTAACGCTTACGCCTACACACACTCCATCGCGCATATACTGATATTTAGAGACGGGACATCTAAAATCCCATTCTGGAAAGGCTCCTCATCTTCCTCTTATTCATGGGTAACCTGGAATATGGAACCGTTCATTCTGAAAGCCACTTTCGTAGGTTAACTGCTTCTTTATAGCGACTAACCGTATTACGAAACCGTAAGGAAAAATCTGTGATAAGATCTCGCGAGCTCTTCGACTGTTCCAGGAGCACCGGGGCTACGACCGAATGTTTCCAAATACGTCTGAATTGTCTCAAATGGTTTTCTCTCTGTTTTTGAAGCCTGTTTGGTTAATTTGGAGCTGCCCTAAAAACTATTTATCCCTTTGTATGTTATAAGAGAACATTGTTTGTCTCGACGAAAGTTTGAGGTGGCTTTTCGTTTTATCCTAAACTGTTAGCTACCCTGCGGCTGATCGGTCCGGTCGAAAGAACAAGGAAATGGAGTAGCCGTATTTTCTTTAGAAAATTCCAGGGAACATTAACCTTTGTCGGCTTTTAAACTACGTTCTTAGGAGACCGTTGTTAACAATAATCTCAATATCTTGCTGATAAAATGTGAAAAAAATATGCGGTAAGTTAGTAGAAAAAATCCGTATTACTTAGACGACCATATAATGGAGCGGTTATCCAGGTATTTGCTCTTTCGAACAGATATTTTTCAGATAGAAGTCCTCGACTGTCCCCATTACTGTGTTTGAGAAATGAGCTCACATCTTTAATAATTAACTGGACTGACCGAGTTCTAGTCTGTGCATATCATGATGAGTAGATGTTTTGATATACGCATTATTTGCAATAAACAACATTTATCTTCACTTTTAGCATCTTACGAAGATGAAAAGCCCCTATGCAATTTTCAGCAAGACCATATTGTCTGGGATCGGCATTATACGCTCAAGGTAAGCTTAAAACACAAATTAAGTGATTTGCATAACAAATTTCCTGTTTTGGGTAAAACTGGTTCGGAATAGATTATGAGTAGTCCCCTTTTTCCCTCAGGGATAGTAGAGCGCGCGTGAAAATCACCCCACGCGTCTCGCCTTCCTCGCGTGAGGTGATTTTCACGCGCGCTCGCGTTTTGCTCGCTCTACTATCCCTGAGGAAAAATGGGGACTAATTCGGGTTCTAACACCCTTCAGTTTGAAAATGAATTTACTGCAGGAAATTCTAATTAGAAGAAGTATAAAACAACTCCTTAATTCTTTTCATCATTTTTGTCAAATTCCTAAGATAATCATTAATTTCACCTGTATCCAGAAATGTACATGACCCGGTCCCTCCAGGCACTTCACTTGACTTCTCTTTGATTCCTTGTAATTTTCATATATTTGACTTCATGTTTCAAAGAATTACTTGCATTTGGATGACGATTATCGCTAGGATAGGGGAGACTTTGTGATGTCTATTGTAACCATTATGAATCTCATAACAGTGTATTTCTGGGCGTAATTTGTTAATATTTAGGGGCTGTCAAATCGCGTTACCATTGTCTCGCCCATCCAAGACAGTCTTGGATTCTGGATTCCATTTTGTGGATTCAGGATTCAAGGATCTGTATTCCGGATACTTTGTCGGTGGAACTTACACCAGTCGTTGGTGGGATTCCGGATTCCTTTGAGCTGAGATCCGGATTCCAAAGCACAAGATTCTTGTTTCTATAAACTCTCGAATCCAGATTAAATTACATGGGGCGAATTATACACTCCTGTATACACTATACGTTTCTGGGAAACTGCCCACCTTCCCCTTCCCTAAGCCAACACTTAACACTTACTTCTCACTTAAGGCAAAATGTTGGCTTAGGGGAGGGGTAGGTGGGAATATTCCCAGAAACGTATATAATGATCCCATTATCACACCAATTTTCATACTGTATTATCGAGGAAGTATGTCATATTCTTTGTGCACAGGATTTGTCCCGTATCGAGGTGAAGACTCAAAGCGTCGAAAGTCCAACTTCGCTGAGCGGCAACTTTTTCGTTCCTATTACAGAAGACAAAGAGCGATGTCGCTCTCCAGAACTCTTATACCCACCTATTGCGAATATAGCAGAGGTATTTAACGTATTTGTTACTACGCTGTGAAGTACTTTGAACCGCGGCAGGATTAGCTCAGTGCAAGAGAGAAAATGAGACATAGAGGGAATCTTAGGGCGTTGGCCAGGAAATGTGAATTTTCTAAACTCATTTTTAGAGGTTGTAATTAAACGGAACTCTATTTCCTTGAATGTGCGCAGATTTAAATCGATGGTTTGAAATATCATCAAGTCCTTTGACTAGCTCAAAGCGGAAAAAAACAGAATATTATAATGGCGACTATTGAATTCTCTCTTAAACTGGCAATGAATGAAAATTTAAGAAACTCCCAGAAAATCAACTTCTGGTTAATTTAAGCGTTCATTTGTCTAAAAATAACTTTGGTGAAATTTGCATACCCAAGGGCTAGACTACGAGTAGTCTCCATTTTTCCTCAGGGATAGTAGAGCGAGCGAAACGCGAGCGCGCGTGAAAATCAACTCACGCGGGAAAGGCGAGACGCGGCGGTTAGAGAGAAAAATGAGGGACTACAGACAAAGCCCAAGCTTTTGACCTTATGACCTTCACTGCAGAGCGGGACGTCATGGGTTCGATTCCCAGGGCCGGACCAATACAAGGGTCTTAAAATAACCGGGAAATGAAGGTACTTCCTTTGCCCTGCAAATGGCTAGACCTTCGCGTGGCTCAGATGACTACGAAAAATGGTGAAATTACTAGTATCCACAATGAATACTTTCTTGCATGATACATTGATACTTTAATCAAGTACCTTTTTTTTTTTCCCGGATTACCTTCACAGTCTTCCGCCCGTAAACGGTCCGTAAAAGGTTTTGTAGCGTGCATACAAAACCGAACTGAACTAAATTACGACTCGAAACTGTTTGAGAGGTTCCGGTGCAGTATCAAATCAACGGTTGGACTAATGTACCTAAGGGAATAATTACAGTATCAACGAACAATTTAAGTAGCAACAAAAAATTACATTTTTTGTTTTGCTTTCTTACCACAGACAAAGGAAAGATTGCCTTCACCGTGCGACTCCGGTAGATCTTCGCCAATCTTCGTTTCGGGATACGAAGCTGAGCGACAACGAAACGACATTAAGCAGTTTGGACGAGAAGCAGCTTGTAAGCTAGCTGAAAGACGAGCGGAGTATGCAAAAAGAAGAATGAAACAAGTACACGAGGAGACTGTCATAATCGAGGTAATAGTTGCGCTGCAATTAAATCTCAACTAATAATGAACTCTATAGGGCCAAAATTCAATTTTACCTTGTTTCCATGCAGGGTTATAATCGAAACTGTCAAAAATAGTATGCCCATGCCCCAAGGTAAAATAAAAAGCTACAAACTCCATCGACTTCACCTTTTACGCAACAACGAGTTTCTACTTTGTACATCACTTTTATTGGCAGCATCTCTTATTTTTGTTCATAAAATTACCGTGAAATTTCAAGAGGCAGGAGAAGCTAACTAAAGGTACTAGCCGGGCTCAATTCCCAGCTCGCGCTGTTCCGGAAAGCCTCAAGGTGGCGGGGTATTCTGTAGTTACCACAAGACAGGTTTTCTGGTTTAGAGAACAGGCGTTAAACGATATTATTTTTCTGTCCAATACTTTAGCGCAACATAGAGGAAGCCATCATCAACAAACTAGAACTACTTACAATGGCCGACGAGTTAGAAAAGCAAAGGGAATTCTTCAAAGGCCGAAAAGCTAAATTATGGCGGCGATGTGCAAACATGGCGGAAATCTTGGCCAAAGGAGAAACAGAAGCAGCATTATGGCAGCAAAGATATAAGAAAGCTATGATGGTTGCGCCAGGGAACATGGAATTTTTCTGAACAGCATACATTCGTGTTGCTAAAAGGCATGCGCAGTGTCGTCACAGCACGACAGCCTCGTTCTGGATTCAAGGTTGATAGAACCGAACCAGAGAAATGCCCCGTAAGCTCAAGGAAATCGAGCACAATGCGTCGTCAAGTTTGTATGGAAATTTGACAAAAGGAACATTGCAAACTATACTGAGGAACTTAATACCAAAGAGAAGGGCTTAAAACAGATTTCCGACAAAATCAATAGAGGCTTCAATAAGCGATCAAGACAATGATCAGTACCGAAAACAACATCCATTACAATATACACAAGAAAAACGCAAACAGCTCATGATGGCACTTAATCTAATTTACTATTTGTCAAGTCGTTTCCCCCTCAATAGCGAGCAGCAGATAATTTCTTCTTAAATCACCTCTAGATTACACTTTCATAACAATCATTGAGAACGATAAATGTCAAAAATAAAAAAAAAATCATAGAAAATTATTGCAGAAGAGATTGAAGAAGACTAGACGCTGATGAGGCTGGGACTGTTCTGAAATTTAGTTCCATCACGATTTAAAAATGGGCAAATATTATATTATTATTTAATTAATAAACATTATATCGCGACGGGAGTCGCTGGCAGTCGGCGCTAATAGTAACCTGCCGGCAAGGTCATCCGACTAGGGGGCTACTTTTTTAACGTTAAAAGGGGTAACTGTCACTTACAAGCTCCCTCCTCCAAAAACTGAATAAAATATAATTTTTTTCACCAGTGAGTTAATTTATAATTAAATGAAAACTGTGTAGCTTGGAATGTGAAGAATAGTTAACAACTTTCGCTGCATGTAAGGTGATCCAAGGCAGTCTTTGATTGTGGATTCAGATTTCAGTTACTGGATTCCAATCTTTGTCAGGGGAACCTGGATTCTGGATTTCAATCGTCAGTGGGATTCCGGATTCCTTGAGCTGTATTTCGGATTCCAAAGTCGAAAATAAAGAACAAACGTCAAACCCGGCTGCAAAACAACAACTGTGCACTTGGTGGATTCGGCCCTTCCAGTAGAGTCGCTCTTCGATGTTTCCTAGATAAGTCGGGAAAGAGGAAGCGACTCTGCCGACATCTTCTAAATCGTTTGATCTCCCAATCATCCAGCCTTTTAGATGAGTCAGACAAGTCGTTGTACTGGATAAACCAGTTTTATCTGTGCACACGCGCATATTCTGGAGTTTTGCTGACTGTTTCTGCGCCCACGCTTCATAACAAAACAAATAGCTGCGGCTTCAATTTCATGCTGCAGGAATTTTGATAAAATTATAGATTGAACGTTCAGTTTTAGAAAAATAAGAAAATGCACCCAGATTCGAGATGGATTTTTTTTGGATTTAACCATGTAGTTAGGCGATTTTACTTGCTTGAACGGATCCACAATCCAATACGTGTTACGCGAAGCTCTTGGAAGGACAAACAAAAAAAAATTAAATAGGTGTTGAATAAAAATATTTAAGAAACAATATCTAAGGCTTATTCTTTTGTGTTTGCTATAACATTAATTCAAAATAAGATCATGAGGCTACAGAATCCATGTTGTATTTAAATGATCGGTGCTTTTACAGCTGTTTGTGGATAACACGTGACCTGTGATGCCAAAAACGTCTTTGGATTTTGTGTTTTTCTACGACGTCAATCAAAATCTGAAGAAGCGGCACTTTCTTCGCGCGCTTTCTCGCCTTTACATCTTAGTGAACCTCTTAGGAAACAAAAGGTCGTAGTTTGTGATTTGTGGTTGGTGGATTTTGATCCGTTTTGTTTGTTTCTGTGTTTCAAGCTTAGCTGCTTTGTTTTTGAAAAGCACCGGAAGTTTTACTTTGGCTCTAAGATTTTTTATAACTTCTTTACACTGAAACATGGCAAGTTTAGATTCTAAAGGTGAAATTGTTCCTATAGAGCTTCCAAATCCAGAGGAAACCAGCTACGGAAGGGTGAAAACGAACCGGTACGTTCCCGCTAACATTTACATTTGCTGACAAACGCAGTGGATGCTACGGTAAAGGTTTGATTTACGTCGCAGAAAAATTTGAATTTGGAGCATGCTCAATATGAATTGTCGAGGATGTGGGCAGAGCATTCTCGTCCCCAGAGCCCGTCGTTTGTTCGTCACGTGGTCGGGAAACGATGGGCTGCCACTGGTCGGTTACAAATAAAGCCGAGTGGCTCTGGGGACGAAAATGGTCGGCAGAGGTTCCTCTTAGGTTCCTCCCTCTACCCGACTTGGGAAGATCGAAGGAGACTCTGTTCGCAGGGTATTGGTCTCAGCCTTTGCCATCAGTGCACGACTTTTTTCATCCAGTTCTTGGATGCGCTTTTATAATTAAGAATTCCTCCAGGACTCATCTTTGACAAATCGAGACAGCTGGAATTGTAACAACAAAACTTGACAGGATGAAAATTCACTTTTCCGAGCAAGTTGAGTGACTGCTGCAATCTCTCGTCTTAGCTCTCTAACATATATCACTGGCGGATCCAGACTTTCAGATAAGGGGTGGACCCGGTCATCCAGATCCTGAGACAAAGGGAAGGGGGAAAAAGGAGGGGAGGGGGGGGGGCGGTCTCAAAAACATTTTTTTTCGTGCCCCTCGAGCCTCAGTTTGGTTTAAAAATAAGGGGGACCCAGGCCTCCCGGGCCCTTCTCCTGGATCCGTCTCTGCATATGATCAAAGTAGTCACGTTTACTAAAGCCTCGTGACCACCAATAAATCGAGTTACATAACAAAGAAACCTGCCTGCAGCTGTATACTGGCAATATGGGTTGACGTCACCATCAACTATTTTGCCGCCAACTTTCCACATCGGAGGGTCTTTGTATTTGCAATAGTGTGAAGCTTTACGCAGTAGTCTACACTTTGCTCATTTTTTGCACATACTCTCCTAATTTCGTTACGCACGCAAAGGCAGTGAAATTCCAGCTCATTTAAAACGTAAGCGGTGGTATATTGCAGGGAGATAGAAGTCACAAAAATACAATATTCATCATTTTCCAGCTGCCTTAGAAGGCGGCCAAAAGAGTACGCTTAACTTGAACCCGAATCTATTAACCTTATATTTGCATGTTTGTCAGACCTTTTCCGGTTAACTTCAGCGTCCTTTTTTTGGAAACTTATTTGTGCACGTTTAGTATTAGACTTTCAAAAAAGGCCTTCGTCGGATTTCATATGGCGCGGGACGAAGGTCGACCACTCGCGACTTCGTCGCTCGCTGTCGGCCGCTTCGCGGCCAAACAAGGCTCGCTCCGCTCGCCGAGAGGTCGACTTGTAGCAAGTCTAGTTTAGCATGAGCGTTTCCTTTTTGGAGGTGGGAACAGCGGGTCTTAATTGTCACTTGCCAACACTTCTTCACACATGACCACCCGTCCATTAACAGAGGGGTAGAGAGAAAATCATTGCATCAGTGAAAGTTAAAGTGAACCTAAGTGTACACGTTCTCTCTCACCGATCTTCTTCTTACGTTCATGACGTCAACAGAACGTTCAGATTACGTCATTTGAATCATGCGCATAAGCGTCGTTGGTACAGTGAAATTTTTCCTCCGGCGCGAAGCCAGATGCTCTTTTCTTGAACAGGAACTCGCCTCCCGTGAATAAAAGACGGAAGTTTCTTTTACGTGACTTTGAAGCAAGGTCATTGAAATTTGCATATACAGAACACTCGCTTATCATCCCCCAATTAATTTTGTTTACGTCGAGAATATCGTCACTGTTTTCTCCTAGGACTCTTGAAATTAAAACTGAAATTTCGCCTAGAATAATCCCCAATTCTTCACGTGAACGAACAGACTGTAGGTGGTTAACAGAGCGAGGAATTAAAATGAAAGCCACGCAAGCTCACGTACTCGACTTGCATTCACGCTCCATCTCACAGTCAAGTAACGCTTACGCCTACACACACTCCATCGCGCATATACTGATATTTACAGACGGGACATCTAAAATCCCATTCTGGAAAGGCTCCTCATCTTCCTCTTATTTATGAGTAACCTGGGATATGGAACCGGTCATTCTGAAAGCCACTCTCGTAGGTTAACTGCTTCTTTATAGGGACTAACCGTATTACGAAACCGTAAGGAAAAATCTGTGATAAGATCTCGCGAGCTCTTCGACTTTTCTAAGAGCACCGGCTACGACCGAATGTTTCCAAATACGTCTGAATTGTCTCAAATGGTTTTCTCTATGATTTTGAAGCCTGTTTGGTTAATTTAGAGCTGCCCTAAAAACTATTTATCCGTTCGTGTGTTATAAGAGAACGTTGTTCGTCTCCAAAGTTTGAGGTGGCTTTTTCGTTTCATCCTAAACTGTAATTAGCTACCCTGCAGCTGATTGGTCCGGTGGAAAGAACGAGGAAATGGAGTAGCCGTAGTTTCTTTAGAAACAAGGGGCATTAACCTTTGTCTCTTAGGAGACGGTTGTTAACAATAATCTCAATATTTTGTTAATAACATGTGAAAAAACCACCTCCGAAAATGGTAGGTAAGTTAGTAGAAAAAATACGAATTACTTCGACGATCATAATATGGAGCGGTTGTCCAGGTATTTGCTCTTTCGAACAGTTATTTTACGATAGAAGTCCTCGGGTGTCCCTGCTACTGTGTTTGAGAAATGAGCTCAGATCTTTAATTAGCTGGACTGACCAAGATTTAGTATGTGCATATGAGCGGATGTTGTGATATAGATTATTTACAATAAACAACATTTCTCTTCACTTTTAGCATCTTACGAAGATGAAAAGCCCCCATGCAATTTTCAGGAAGACCATATTGTCTGGGATCGGCATTATACGCTCAAGGTAAGCTTAAAATACAAATTAAGTGATTTGGTTAAAAAATTTCCCGTTTTGGGTAAAACTGGTTCGGAAAAGACTACGAGTAGTCCCCATTTTTCCTCAGGGATAGTAGAGCGCACGTGAAAATCACCCCACGCATTACGCCTTTCTCGCGTGAGGTGATTTTCACGCGCGCTCGCGTTTCGCTCGCTCTAATATCCTTGAGGAAAAATTGGGACTGCTCGTCGTCTAGGTTCGGAATGATTCAAATTCTAACACTCTTCAGTTTGAAAATGAATTTACTGCGGGAATTCTAATTAGAAGAAGTATAAAATAACTCCTTAATTCTTTTAATCATTTTTGTCAAATTCCTAGGATCAGTATCATTAAATTTCACCTGTATCCAGAAATGTACATGACCCGGTCCCTCCAGGCACTTCACTTGACTTCTCTTTGATTCCTTGTAATTTTCATATATTTGACTTCATGTTTCAAAGAATTACTTGCATTTGGATGACGATTATCGCTAGGATAGGGGAGACTTTGTGATATCTATTGTAACCATTATGAATCTCATAATAGTGTTTTTCTGGGCATAATTTGTTAATTTTTATGGGCTGTCAAATGGCGTTACTATTGTCTCGCCCATCAAAGACAGTCTTGGATTCTGGATTCCATTTTGTGGATTCAGGATTCTAGGATCTGTATTCCGGATACTTTGTCGGTGGAACTTACCCCAGTCGTTGGCGGGATTCCGAATTCCTTTGAGCTGAGTTCCGGATTCCAAAGCACAAGATATATTCTCGTTTCTACAAACTCTCGAATCCAGATTAAATTACATGGGGCGAATTATACACTATACGTTTCTGGGAAACTGCCCACCCACCCCTTCCCAAAGCCAACATTAACACTTACTTCTCAACTCAGGCAAAATGTTTGCTTAGGGGAGGGGTAGATGGGAAGAATCCCAGAAACGTATAATGATCCATTATCATACCAATTTTCATACTGTATTATCAAAGAAGTATGTCATATTCTTTGTGCACAGGATTTGTCCCGTATCGAGGTGAAGATTCAAAGCGTCGAAAGTCCAACTTCGCTGAGCGGCAACTTTTTCGTTCCTATTACAGAAGACAAAGAGCGATGTCGCTCTCCAGAACTCTTATACCCACCTATTGCGAATATAGCAGAGGTATTTAACGTATTTGTTACTACGCTGTGCTGTATTTTGAACCGCGGCAGGATTAGCTCAGTACAAGAGAGAAAATGAGACATAGAGGGAATCTTAGGGCGTTGGCCAGGATATGTGAATTTCCTAAAGTCATTTTTAGAGGTTGTAAGTAAACGGAAGTCTATTTACTCGGACGTGCGCAGATTTAAATCGATGGTTTGAAATATCATCAAGTCCTTTGACTAGCTCAAAGCGAAAAATACAGAATATTATAATGGCGACTCGGTTGAATTCTCTCTTAAACTGGCAATGAATGAAAATTTGCGAAACTCCTCGGAAATCATCTTCCGATTAATTTAAGCGTTCATTGATCTAAAAATAACTTTGGTGAAATTTGCATACCCAAGAGCTAGACTACGAGTGGTCCCCATTTCTCCTCAGGGATAGTAGAGCGAGCGAAACGCGAGCGCGCGTGAAAACGAACGCACGCGGGAAAGGTGAGGCGCGGCGGTGAGAGAGAAAAATGAGGGACTACAGACTAAGCCCAAGCTTTTGAACTTATGCGTTGCTCTTACATTTTTTTCTCTCACCGCTGCGTCTCGCCTTTCTCTCGTCGGTTGATTTTCACGCGCGCTCCCGTTCGCTCGCTCTACTATCCCTGAGGAAAAATGGGGACTACTCGTAGTCTACCCAAGGGCTGGACTGAGCGTCTCCCTCTCTGACCTTTTGACCTATCATTCTCTTTTGGTAGAGCGCCAACCTCGTTCTCAGGGTCCTCTCTGGGAAAGAGGGTGGGAATAGTGCTTGCTAGAGAGCGGAACGTCATGCGTTCGATTCCCGGGGCCGGTCCAATACTCAGGGTCTTAAAACAACCGGGAAATGAAGGTACTTCCTTTGCCTGCAAATGGCTAGACCTTCGCGTGGCTCAGATGACTACGAAAAATGGCGGTTCCGTCTCCTGAAGGAGACGTGAAAGTAGTATCCACAATGAATACTTTCTTGCATGATACATTGATACTTTCATCAAGCACCGTTTTTTTTTTTTTTGCCGGATTACCTTCACGGTCTTCCGCCCTTAAACGGTCCGTAAAAGGTTTTGTAGCGTGCATGCAAAACCGAACTGAACTACATTACGACTCGAAACTGTTTGAGAGGTTCCGGTGCAGTATCACATCAACGGTTGGACTAATGTACCTAAGGGAATAATTACAGTATCAACGAACAATTTAAGTAGCAACAAAAAATTACATTTTTTGTTTTGCTTTCTCACCACAGACAAAGGAAAGATTGCCTTCACCGTGCGACTCCGGTAGATCTTCGCCAATCTTCGTTTCGGGATACGAAGCCGAGCGACAACGAAACGACATTAAGCAGTTTGGACGAGAAGCAGCTTGTAAGCTAGCTGAAAGACGAGCGGAGTATGCAAAAAGAAGAATGAAACAAGTACAAGAGGAGACTGTCATAATCGAGGTAATGATTGCGTTAGAATTAAATCTCAACTAACAATGAACTATATACAGGGCCAAAATTCAAGTTTACTTTGTTTCCAGGGTTATGATTGAAACTGTCACAAATAGTATATGCTCATGCCCCAAGGAAAAGTAACAAGCTACAAACTCTATCGACTTCACCTTTTTACGCAACAACGAGTTTCTACTTTGTATAACACTTTTATACGCAGCATCTCTCATTTTTGTTCATAAAATTACTGTAAAATGTCAAAGACAAGAGGCAGGAGAGGCCAACTAAAGGTAGCCGGGCTCAATTCCCAGCTCGCGCTGTCCCGGAAAGCCTCAAGGTGGCGGGATATTCTGTAGTTACGACAAGATAGGTTTTCTGGTTTAGAGAACAGGCGTTAAACGATATTCTTTTTTCGTTCAATACTTAAGCGCAACATAGAGGAAGCCGTCATCAACAAGCTAGAGCTACTTAAAATGGCTGACGAGTTAGAAAAGCAAAGGGAATTCTTCAAAGGCCGAAAAGCTAAATTATGGCGGCGATGTGCAAACATGGCGGAAATCTTGGCCAAAGAAGAAACAGAAGCAGCATTATGGCAGCAAAGATATAAGAAAGCTATGATGGTTGCGCCAGGGAACATGGCATTTTTCTGAACAGCATACATTCGTGTTGCTAAAAGGCATGCGCAGTGTCGTCACAGCACGACAGCCTCGTTCTGGATTTAAGGTTGATAGAACCGAACCAGAGAAGTGCCCCGTCAGCTCAAGGAAATCGAACACAATGTATTGTCAAGTTTGTATTGAAATTTGACAAAAGAGGAACATTGCAAACTATACTGAGGAATTTCATACCAAAGAGAAAGGCTTAAAACAGATTTCCGACAAAATCAATAGAGGCTTCAATAACCGATCAAGACAATGATCAGTACCGAAGACAACGTCCGTTACACAGGAAAGACGCAAGCAGCTCATGATGGCGCTTAATCTAATTTACTATTTGTCAAGACATTTCACCCTTAATAGCGACCGGCAGATAATTTCTTCTTAAATCACCTCTAGATTAGACTTTTATAACAACAAAGAGAACAATAAATGTCAAAAATATATAAAAAATATAGAAAATATTACAGAAGAGAATGAAGAAGGCCGTAGATGCTGATGAGAGACTGTACTGAAATTTAGTTTCATCACTAGTTTAACATGGACAAATATTATATTATTATTCAATTAATAAACATTATATCGCGACTGGAGTCGCTGGCAGTCGGCGCTAAAAGTAACCTGCTAGCAAGGTCATCCGACTAGGGAGCCATTTTTAAAGTGAAAAGGGGTAACGGTCACTTACAAGCTCCCTCCACCAAAAACTGAATAAAATAGAATAATTTTTCACCAGTGAGTTAATTTATTATTAAATGAAAACTGTGTACCTTGGAATGTGAAGAATAGTTAACATCTTTTGCCGCATGTAAGGTGATCCAAGGCAGTCTTGGATTGTGGATTCCGGATTTCAGTTTCTGGATTTTAATCTTTGTCAGGGGAACTTAGAGTCTGGATTTCAATCTTCAGTGGGATTCCGGATTCCTTGAGCTGTAGTCTGTATTCCAAAGTAAAGGGTTCTGGATTCCACAAGCAAAATTTTCCCGGATTCCGGACGAAGTCTTATGACTTACATCCTAAAATTAGCCTACGTGTAGCCGCACCCTCCCCCCAACAAAGTGGGAGGAGTGCGGCTATACGTAGGCTACCTAAAGTGTGCAATGCATGTACTCTCGAGTTGTACTGGAAATTTCCTTAAGCACGGCTGTAATGCATTCCTTGTAGCCAGTTCCACCTCCTTCTCCTTATCAAAACGCCATCAGTTGAAGCAGTCAGCCTGTAAAGAAAACTTTGCAAAAGTTATTTTCTATTTTTTTTATTTATTGCATTATAACTACCGCCCTGTCAAAATTTTTGTACGTAGCACTGACTTTTTATCATGCATGCATCTTTACAATAATTTTAATAAAAAAAAATCGTAGGAAATAAGTGAAAAACGAAGGGCCTTCTGAAAAAATTCATGAAATAAGTCTTCTACCGAGTTTGGAAAAGAGGGGTTCGAATGTTGTATGATGAATTGAGTTCATCTCTTTCTTAGTTCTGGTCAGCACATTTTCTCAATTTTGATTCAACAAATTATACGCAGTTGTGCCTTTGTGATAAAGGGAAAAATCACCTCTCGCCGTTTAGCAGCTATTTCGAGGATTTCCGCTGACCAACACTATTACCCGGGGACGCATACAATGATTGCGCAATCACCACGTGGCACCAATTTTCGCCGATAGCCGCCGATTAGACTGAATAAGTATACAGTGTATGTTAATTTTTCGTCATTTTCATGTGTTTTAACAAATGACTGGACAAAACGATGCAATTGAACATCAGGAAAATCTTGAATTAATTTTCCTTTTTTGTGAGATGACTTGGTCAATTGAGTCACGTTTTTCTGCTATTTTCGGCCCCCAAAACAGAAGAGTAGAAAATCCAAAATCTCTTTTTCACCTGCTCAGTGACTTCGAATCAAAACGAACTAAGCTCACTTTTCGTCTCAGCCATCCTCTCGTCCCAACTTTTCAGAATTCACCTTAAAATACGATGATCCTACCGCGCATGCGCGTAACAAAAAGGGAACATCGGACTTGTAACGACGCAAGACATTGAGAGCTATAACATTTTTTTAAGGCTTTTTGCCACTTCAACTCCGAAGAGCAAACGTTTAGAGAAAACGACGTCAAAAGTCTCATGCGTGTATACCACAAGTGTTAAAATTCTGTCGAAGTTCAATTACGTTTCAGGTGCCAGGTATCGGGTTATCATCAGTTAGGGTGATCCTTACCTGTAGCCCCTCGGGGCACAGTGAGGAACGTGATGAGAGAGAGGAAATGAATTCTCGTGAATTATACCTCTCGGTCCAGTTGGCCACAACACCCATCTGGAACCACCTCTGACCCCCTACTGATGATAAGCTACTTATCGAATTATACTGAAATCAACAGGGTTCTTCTTTAGGAGATTACCACTCATCACTATGACTCCCAGGGGATTTCTAATCGACCTGAGTGTTTAAAACACGATTTCCCATTTCCAACAGAAAACTCTTAGGGAAAAATCGTCTAAAACCTACTACAAAAACAACAAAACAGGTCTGCAGTTACCTCCTTCAAATCGTGCAAAAAGTTTGGCACCGCCAATTTTCTGTTATAAGGCAGTAACTTATTCGGGTAAAACAAAGAATAACAAAAACAACAACAATTAAAAGTCATTTTTCGTAATATTGAGTTTATTTCCCTTCCTCAAAGAAAATATTTTTTGAAAATAAATATACTTTACACCTTCCTACAAAATCATCAATAGAAATATGTATATTTTTACACTATTTACAAATGTCTTTTCTTCATAAACTCGAAGTCAAACCTATTGACTTTATAACTTGGCTCTTTTTAAGACAAGCTGTTTCTTTTATGTAGAATAGAGAACTGTGGTTAAACACTGGACAAAAGTGAAGGAAAAATATCAAGGCTCCTTAATTTAACTACTCAAACAAAAATAGAGCTGACATGTCATGATTTTCCCTTTTCATATAAAGGAATGGAGCAAAAGTGAAAAAAGGTCTTTTAGTGGACACCAAGATTAAAGAGATTTGTCAAAATTAACTTCTTTGTCAACTTAGTTTTAAATTCTCATCAGATGTTACAGTTGAAACCTCACTGAATACCCTTTATTAGTTGTTTGATCTGGGAGTTCTTATACCATTCTTAGCGATTTTCTCATAAAAGAACAATCCAAATATGTTCCACTGCTGGTAACACAAAGATGATCTCAGTGTGTATTCAGTCATCTGTGTTCCCCTTCTCTTGCAATGGCTTCATCAAGAAATATGCTTTTAAAGACAGACTGCCTAGTGATGTCCTGCACAGGTCAACCAATATCAGTCCAGGTATACCAAGTAAATGCAATGACACAATACAGGACTTTGCACCATCTACTGCACCTCCTGAATCACTCTCTAATTTAGGAATTCCATTGCCTATTGATGTCGTGCACAGGACAACCAATATTAGTCCAGGTCTACCAAGGAAATGCTATGACACAATACAGGACTTTGCACCGACTACCGCATCTCCTGAATCGCTTTCCAATTTAGGAATTCCATCCAACAGCTGAAGCTGAGGTAGAATGCTGAAAACCCTGAAACAAGAAAAAAGAATTTGGTGTTTAAGAAAGCTTTATTAACACATTTTAATTGATTTAAAGACTTCATCACTGTCAATGTCAGAATAAAATACGATCACATTGAGGAATATTGAAAACAAACATCTCCTTACTATTTTATGATATTTGTATTCATTATTCTTATCAATGACTTTCCTTCCTTTTGAAGAGAAGTAAATTATCTCAAAATCTGATCACCCGAGGAAAATAAACAAGGACTTGTGGCATTTCTTCACATACATGGTATGCTCTGCCTTGTTCAATTTTCGGATTAATCATACTTATGATTGAACAAATTGGACTCCCGTGATTTTATTATTTATAATGTTTATTAGATTCCACTCAGTCCTATTACCATAACATTATTATTGAAGAAAATTTGGGTAATTTTGGCTCTTCTTTCCAAGTTAATATTATTTTTATTGTTGTCAAACGAACCCACTTTTTTTGACAAAAAGATCAAAATGATTTCGTGGAAGTTCACAATCTTGCAAATCAAATGAATTTAACTTACTGTTGCCTGTAGGTAGGGTCTAATTCCACTGGATTTCCTTTGAGAACAAGTGACTGAATTGTAGTCTTTCTAAGTACTTCCAATCCATTTAAACTTTCAACATTGTTTTGCTGTAGTGACAAGTGTACAAGTAGTGGGGCTTTGGGAAGTTTCTGCCATTGGAAAAAGGGAAAAAGAGATTAGTATTCAGTACTTCATAAATACCATGCAATTTCAAACAACATATTGTGAAAGAATGAGTAAATTGACAGAAGAGGTGTGTGAAAGAAGGCCCAAGATGACTCCTAATCTTATTTTAAATTCCCCCCTGATTCTCATGTACATACAAGGCAAACTGAAAGGAGAACTTAGCAATAAATCAGAAGTCACTTAGGATTTTATACCAGGAACCTTATCTATTTTGAAATAAGGTAAGGTATTATTCTCACCTTTAAGTCTGTAATAAAATTTCTTTGAAGGTAAAGATGTGTACACCTGCAATATTATCATTAAATGACAAACTTATTAGACACTTAACAGATCAAACCCAACAAAACTTAACTGTACCATCAAAACTTTGAATAAAAATATAAAATTATTAAGACATGGCTGCTTATAAGATCAGAGTGACTCTTTCTATGACCTAAGCATGGATCAAAATAGGTTTTCACCATTTAAAGGAAAACAGCCAGACTTTCTCTGACTACAGTGTAACTCTCAGGAGTTATTTTATTTTTCTGGGAGGGGAAGAACAAGCCATGAGGTCTATTACACCAAAGTTGTGGTAATTGTTTGAGCGCATGTGAAGACAAATGTTGCAGTCAAAATCTAAAGAATACACACTGTGAAAGCATGGATCCTTGTATCATTGTAACAAACAAACCAGTCCATTTTGTAGTTTTAACTGACAGTTTTATCATATTTTCTGTAAAACTATTAAAACCTCACAAAACTGCAAAATGTACTTTAACAGGTTTGAAGGCTTAATAGTTACAGGAAGTTCAAGAAAAGGTTCCCTGGCCCCAGTTGTTCAAACGTTGGTTAGCGCTATCCACCAGATAAATCTCTATCCAGCGGATATTATCCGCTGGATAGTTATTTATCCGGCGGATAGCGCTATCCAACGTTTGAACAACCGGGGCCTGGTCTTAAGTAAATGCTAAGTATCATTGGTGTAACTAGGAAATGGTCGTGTTTTCTCTGGGTACAAACTTGTTTCCTGTCTGCTTAAACCTTTGCACCAAGGTTAGTGAATTCTATTCGAGGGGTAAAGAGCAAAAAGAAAAAAAAGTAGCTCGCCTTGGAAGTAAGACACTGCTTAAGTCTTGCAAGGAGTTCTCAATAAGTTGTAAATTCTCACATCTCATCAGCCTTCTGAGAACTCGCTGAAATTCTTTTCTCTGAAATGGATCCCCAAGGTCTTGGTATGACAAGTTAACAGACTGGAAAGAAATAAAGCTAAAATAAGTAAACTGTCATATCTTGCTTGTATGAAATACTCATATACCCTTAAAATAGCTCTTATAATGGTCTTATTTTATTCTAGTGACTCTGCTGATTCACATTTAAAGGAATCAGCAGACTTGATAGACCCTAAACACCACACTCAATCTAACTGGCTACTCCGGCCATGCTAGTTTATTTACCCTTTCAGCCCCAATATCCAAATCCACAATAATCCAGACTGCATGTGAAATCATGATTATGTATTGATTTTGTTGGGAGAAAATTGACTTTGGTTACTCTTGGGACTTGATGGGCTAAACCAGGCAATTTTCCATGAAAAAAGAGATTAGTTCCAATCTAAGGGAAACATTTTTCTTCTTTTCATCTGACATTGCTGCCATGAAATCAAATGCAAACCATTAATACAGCGAGAACAAAACAAAATTTGGAAGTTTGTACTAAAATGTTATAGAATAGCTACATTTAACATATTGTACCTCGGCATTTTCCCAGTTTTCCATTTTGTTCTTGTAATTGCGCACTCTTTTGGGTTTATTTTTCTTCAAAGGTAAATGAATCCTTCCATCTTCTTCATCTGAATCACCATACTCTAATTTTTCTTGCTCATCCAGTTTTCGAAGATTTTCTACTTTAAATCCTTTTGGGTCTACAAGGAAATGAAAAGAAAACAATATTTTAAATTCTGGAAGGTGGTGTTATGCTCACCAGTTTCTATTGCAACTTGTCTCACAATTCCTGCGTCACTCCCCCTTGTTCACACTTTTTTAGACAGTCTGAATGGACCATATCAGAATCCTGCTCAAATGTAAAGTGTTAGAATCTATGAGGTACTGCGAATATACGTTACTATATAACCAGCTTGGAAAGTTCAAGGAACACTTATCTTGTGTCAAAAGATCCTCAACTTTTCCTTATAACAGTGGGAATTTGAAAAATCTCCAATTAATTTCTATAATGGGGTGGAGAGGGGGATGTTGGAATCATGCTTTACATAGGAAGGCGGGGATGCAGATAACAAAATTAATGGAATATCCAGTGACCAGAGAATATGGCAAGGGATGAATTTGGCAGTCTTGCAAATTCTTTGTATCGTTTGATGCTGGCAAAATATTAAGAGCAGGGGTGGATCCAGGATTCTTCTTGGGAAGGGGTGTACCACTAAGAAATGGCATAACAAAGAATATGGATACAAAGAAGAAGGCTTTTGACTAGGCAATAACATAATGTAAACTGCTGAGAATACATATCAAACAATACCACAGACTTCAGTGCCAAACCGCTATTTTCATGGCATTTGACATTACAGCGTTTAATTTTTCAACCTTGTCTCATGTTTTACTTTGACACCAATAAACCACAAAGTGCTTTTTTTTGTAAAATACCAGTTGTGTTAGAAAGCTGCAGGTCATCTCAGGGAGGAGGGTGCACCCCCCGTACACTACACCCTTCCCCTACATCCACCCTTGAAGAGCGCAGGGGAATACGAATACACAATCCTACTCACTTCTTCGTACCCTTGGTGACCGTAACATGTTTCCCTTCACATCCATATCTTCAAGCTCATGCCATTTGCTGTACCTGTATTTTGACGACGGGAGCTTAAAAATAAATGGCAAAGATGGCAAAGTTAGAAATACCCATGCTGTATAAAGATTTCAATTTAAGCTAATTTATACTTTTTTCCGTCATGACTTACTGTCAAACGTTTTCCTTTTACACATTTTTACTGTCAACTATTTTTATAACCTTGCACTTTTCCTATTTAAGACACTATACATGTAAGTTTAAGTACTGTAGGGCTAAAACTGGTCGTTTCGTTATAAGCTTACAGCTGATTTCGGAAACAAAAACAACAACACATGTTCAACAGTCCAGAATAGTTTTTTAATACTGGCCTTATGCATAAAAAAATGTTGTTACAAGACAATAGATCATCAAGGAATTTTAAGACGATCAACTGGGGATTAAGAGTTACTTAAATACGCGGGTAAAATTCCAAATACAAGCCATATTTGCCGCGATTTGTCATCAAACAAGCCATTCATGTTGTTCACATGCCGATTAACAACTCGACACCAAAAATTTGTATTTTTCCTTAGTTTTTAAGGCTATAAATTTCCTCTAACTTCAGATGTAGTGTATTTAGATAGAAAAAGCTTTTCTCCAATATTCAACTCACTGGCAATGCGTCTTCTTCTTCGAAATTGCCATTCGGGTTCTGCTCCCTCGCTTCTTCTTGTGCGCGATGAACCGTAAGGACTACGATCGGCACAGAAGTGTAGTTATCCCTCTCGTCTTGCGTTGACCTAAAGTAATACAAATGATTCTTGCTATTTATGTGCCTTTTAGACTGATCGCAAAACTAAACGAAAAGACAAAGACACTTACTCTTCGGACATAATTGGCACTGTCATCTTTGCTGCCGGTGTTTCAGCTGTGCGCTATGCAAAGTTCGAGCTCAATTTTCATCGTTTTTGTCGCGTAGGAGCAAACTCTGCTGTAACCAGAGGTTTTTCCCGGACTTTACCGCCAGAATCAACTTTTGAAGCAAGCAGAAATCAAAAAGATAGTCAATAAGTCAGTCGTAGAAACCAAAATACTCCGAAATCGATGGTCGCAAGGGAGGTCCTTTGTCTTCTTTTGTCGTAATCGTTCACGGCACAAAGACTTTGTGACGTCAGTTACCTAGCAACACAGTAAATAAATAAGTTCTTACTGCTGTGATCTTCGTAAGAAGTCTGCAAATCTCTCTTTCATTGGTCAAGAGAGCTATTGTTTTGGGGTGTCTGGAATTATTTTATTTCGCTACTCAGGTGACAGCGTAATGTTTATGTAACCAAGCAGTGAGAAGTAGAAAAATAGCTCGAAACAGCGATAAGAAGCCTGCAATTGAAATTCGCCAGTTCATCGTTTGCAACTTCTCAAATTTTGATAACAGACTTCGATTCCGTAAGCTGTGATATTTAGCATGATGCAGCAATTGCCGTATTGGTTATCAGTCACAGATGAAAAGTTTTTAATAGTTTGGGACATGTTTCATAATTGGTTGAACAAGGTAAAGGATCTTGAAGCCATTTGTTTTAATTTTTCAGAACTAAAATAGCGTTCGCAAGGCCTGGGTTAAGATAACCCAGGGTTAGTGCGAGATTTTAATTCAGATTTGAAAGCTTAAAAAGCGTTTCTGCTCTAATTCTTTTTGTCTACAAGACGATAATCGGAAGCTCTAAAAATAACAGAGAAAATTATCCGAGAAAATGCTTTAGAACACAAGAAAAAGAAAACCACGTTAAGTTTAACCCAGGGTAAGAGCTAATCAGCCTTCGAACAACTGGGCCCAGGGATAAATGCCGCATCTAGGAGGGTGGTCCTAATAGTGCATAAAGAGCATAGGTGATCGACAAGTTAAGGGTAGATCCATTGGAAATTTAAACATGGCAAATCCTCGGCACGGAATGTTTTAAAAACACAGCCTGATTGAAACAGCAAACAAAGCAACCGTATAGATCAGAAACTGAATGACATGGTATTTACAGAAAATTGTTTTATAAAAACATTTTTATTACAATCTGACTGACTGACAGTACCCTATAGAGTACAAATGCAAATAATACCAGCTTCCCCCCCCCTCCCCAAAAGTTACTTTTGAACCCCTTAGTTTTTTACAAGAGGTATAAGAAAAACCCTTGAGCTGTTACAACAACATGCGATTGTCTAACTGGAACTAAACGCTTTTTCTGTACCAATTAACTTAAACTGCCGTACCAAATAAATTCAAACGCCGCTCTTTTGCCGTATGTAATTCATCAGTTTGGTTCGGCATGTACACATGAGTGGAGCGGCGTCTGAACCAGGCCTTAGCTACCATATTTCTTCATGCCCAACTCTAAAATGTTAGTTACACAATACAGTCAAACCCGTATTAGGCGTTCACCCTAGTGGTCTGCTACACAGCCGTTTTTAGTGTCGTCACGCAACGCTCCTTCCCATTAGGAGCGTTGCGTGACGACACTAAAAACGGCCGTATAGCAGACTATCACCCTAGAGGGATGGCAAAAAGGAAGAGTGAAATATCTACCCAAGACAAAATGAACTCAAAGCGCATCTACCTCATCTTGTGCCAAAAAAAGGATCTACAAGAACAAAAAATGCCATACTTATTATATCAGTTGCACTAGTATGGGACATATTAATTACTGCCTAACAGAGGCGAAGACAATAAAAAATATTTCATTGAGACTGCAGGAAATGTGGCCGTGAATACTTAATACTGGTCATTTTTGCAGTAACTGAGGGAAATGATTTCGGGACTTTAAGAGGTGACTGCGTAATAGAGGTTTAGATTTGACTGTATTGGCATTCCTTGCTGAGCACTCTAACTTGCAGGGTTCTATGTAGGGTATTTGAGGGGTAGAAGCTTCCCCACCCCCTCCCCCCCCCCAAAAAAATGTTGTTATCATTACAAAAGTAACTATACCGGAAAAATCATCCAGACGCGACGAGGTCAGTGCAACATTTCTCCAAATTGTGTCTCAAAATGCACTAGATTGCATCTCAGCACATACTCATTTCAAAAAATTTCCGGGGTGGCATGCACCCGGACCCCCCTTGGAAGCTCCTCACTTTTCGGACACTTGGGACTTCTCCCCCAAACTATAAATCCTACATAGAACCCTGCTAAGTGATACCAAAATATGTCCCTTTCAAATGGGAATCCCCCAAAATCAGGGGTATGGGAAGGGGAGAGACACCTCACTTCTTAAAATCAGACAGCAACGACTAGCGCCGTACATCACGTTAACTGTTAACAATAACATGTCTAAACAAAACCCTTGCATTAATATACAGTTTATATACATTCTGAAAAGCCTCCAACCCGAAACAGGTTTTGACATATTTTACCCCCCAAAATTATTTCCTACTTTAATGTGCACTATTCGCTCATATCAAATGGACATCTGAAGCTGAAAGAAGTCAGCCAAAGGTCTCTAAAATTTCCTACATTAAATCCCTATAGCAATACAGAGCAAACAGAAACAAAAATTTAAAGATCACATTGAATTGTGTACTCAAAGTAAAGAGGTTTCAGATCAGGTTGAAGATTGATCTTCCTACATTTCCTTTGTGAATTAGTTGAGAAATATTTTCCTTTTGGGGATTGATCGTTTTTATCAATTCTCAAAATCCTTACTCTTTTTATGTACTGATATCGTTGGGAGAAAATTAATGTTGATCATTCTTAGGACTTAGTTATTAAGTTAAGTGTTATAGGCTATCAAAACATAACACAACAAGGACACTGTACATGTCTAAAGCCTCACAAGATACCTAAAGCTAAAGCTAAGAAGAGGCTAAGTTTGAATCTAAAATTCAATAAATTGATCTTTTAAAAAATCATTAGGCTACAAAATAATTTGAACAATTTATACCATATGAGAAGTCTTTCATTATGCATTTAGCTCCTGTGTCATCACATAATTCTGTGATAAATAAAATCTACGCCCTCAGGAAATTCCACTTATACAAAAATACTCTGACCATCCTGTGTTTTGATAATTCCATTGAGCAGTAAAAACATCTCAAAGAAATTTGATTCAGTGAAGAGTTAAGAAATTCCCTAAGGAATCAGCTGTAACAACATCCAGGGTTTGCAGAGAAATGTTTGGTCAGTAAAATTTATTTTACTAATGCTGTGAACAGCATGCAACCTCTGAAGTTCAAATGCCCACTAATGACTGTTTGCTGCGGTCGATCATCTTAGAAGCCTCTCGGAAAACAGAAGTTTACTTCAAGTTGACAAGGTCATGCTTTGTGATTTTTGATCAGGGGAGCTTGATCCATTTTATGCGTTCCTGTGTTTTTAGGTTCTTTGCTTGTGACTGTAATTTTGTTGGGTGACAGCAAAAAATGCAATAAAATAGTTATGGTGCATTTGCCTTTTAAACTTCAAAGTTCATGTGTTATAAAGAGGCACATTAATATGCTACATCTCAGAAGTCTTAGTTCAGAGAGTGAGATTAACTACTGTGCAAACCCCAGACTAGCTATAACCTAAAAGCCAAAAAGGAATGCATTAACAAGACATGCATTTTGGCCATGATCCTTCTTATCTCACTTTTAACCCTTTAAGTGCCAATAGTGACCAAAAACAATTTTCTCCTAATTATATCCATACAGTCATTGTCAAGAGATAATGTTATGAGAATTAATAAAATGATTAGGCTAAAGGGAAAATGCCATGATCTTTTATCAAATTCTCTCAAGTAATTCTTAAGAAAATCTACGGAGATCAGTTTGCAGAATTTGTATGTGGATATAGGGGCTTAAAGGGTTAACCGCAGTTAGATGTAAAACCATCATTATCTCTCTGGCTCATGAAGCTAAAAGTAGATCATGATGATGGTGTGCTGATTTTTTTTCTAAAGATACCGTTCGTCTTAGTGTGAACCTCACAGCATTGATTCCAGCGGCTCCGCCAGAGCTCTGCTGAGATGAAGGGGGCGATTGCGTGGATGAACCAGAGTCAGAGCGTGAAAGTTGAGACAACATAGGGGGAGTGTTATCCATTTCATCCTGTGATGACAAAAACAACAACAACCCATTTTGTCAAATTACATTAACTTATTTACATGTTCTATAATGTGGCTTGAGCTGACAGCCAGCCGTATCCATGAAGCTAGTAAAAGCAAGAGAAGTAAACAAATAATTCTTGTAGAAGAAATAAATGAGAAATTTACAAGCATAAAATTGTCAAATTTGTGTCGCCGCTTTTCGAAAGGTCACTGCGAAAAATAGCCAATATTGCAAATTTTGCAGTTCGCAAGACCATCGTGAAAAATCGTCAATTTTGTAAATTTTGTAGTCTTGGCAAGGTCATCGTGAAAAATTGTCAATTTTGTAAATTGTGTAACAGACTTCAATCTTAAACGTAAGTGTTAAAGAGACAGTGACAGCAGCAACTATGGGCCTTACTCTGTCAGAATGAATGGGTTACTTCACATCACCTTTTACTAGCTACTAGTTGACATGTATCAATATAGGAGATAAAGCACAGTATCTTGGGATCTTATATATTTTATGTTTTATTTAAGCACAGCCTTGATCCACAGACAGAACTGGGTAAAAGCAGTTTCTAACAATACATATTGATTACTGACTTGTGTCTGTTTTAATTCTCAGGGTGTTGTAACTTAATTTTCAAATAAAAGAAAATGACAAATTTGAGCACATTTGCAAGACTTGCCTGCTGTGAATCCGTGGAGTTTTGTGAATCCGAATTTTGCAAATTTCTCACCACCCTTCCACACGGCGGACAGCTGTAAAATAAAACAGATATCAAAAAAGTCATTTCTCCCGGTGTGAATGAAATGAAAAAGATTGGGGCAATTCACTATTTGCTAGCCATGACCAAAGGATTTGTAAACATATGTAAACATACAGATGCCCTGTTAATGCCGGCCACCATCAGCATTGTGAAAAATCAAAGGGATTTAATAACACATAGGTCATACCATGCATTTCAGTCGTTAGGATAAAATCAGTATAATTTGAAAATAAAATGCAAGCAAAACTCTTTTATTGACAACATCATGGCCATGAAAAAACGTTTCCCAAGCATCACATTACTATCACTGGTGACTAAGTTTAAATTTGCCCATGACATTTTACAAATTTGCTTCAATGCAAATATTAATTTTTTTCCCCAACACCTGACATTCAATGCAACATTGCTTGTCATTTTGGCTTTCTGCATCACTTACAATTTGCAATTTCTCCTGTGGGGGGGTGGGGGGGGGATTGACCTGAATATGAATGTTACATGTCAAAATTCAAAATTAATTATTCAGATAAGTGACTGTGGATGAAGTCTTAAGCTAAGTGCAAACTGACACAACAACTGTTAACATTGCTGGGCCAACAAAGTTGCAAGTTGTTGTGTCCGTGTTGGCAGTGGTGTGCAAATGCATGCAGCAACGTTGGGACATGCAGTCCATCGAGAGAAGGATGCAACCCTTACGACTTTGGAGACCATGACATGGTAATGCGTATGCATGGCCCCTACAATGTTGAAAGAGCTGTGCAAATGGATCCAACATTGTTGCATTTCACTTCAGTGATCAGCTGACAGAACAAAAGAGATGTTGGGAGTTGTCGGCTCAAAACTTTGACCAGTTTCAAGCTTTGCACAACAACTGCCAGCAACATGCAACAACACGTAACATCCAACAATGTTGGGAGTTGTTGACCAACAATGTTGAATTCATTTGAACTGGGCCTTACACAGAAAAATAAGGTTTGGTCGGTCACTCAACTCTTACCTGGCCCTGTATTTATCAATTTGAGCCTGTGGCACTAAGTCCATTAAATCTAGGCCTTCTTTGATTTTAAGGAGCATTTCATATTTTTCACGCCCTTTAACCTACAGCAAGAGGAACATTAGAAACATTACAGCTACAAAACACTTGCACATTAAACTTTGTCCAAGCAATGAAATTCATTTAACCCTTTCACTTACAATAATTGGTGGCTAAAGAAAAAAATGAACACAAAAAAACCCCTCAAATTTCTTAGCCAAATCCTACACACACAAAAAAGACTAAAACCACGCATGCATTAATTCTGCCAACAAAATGTTAAAACTATAGGATTTTGTCGACAGATTTAAAAGTTACAGTGAAAAATATAGACTTAGGCTGAAAGGATTACATTATCCAAAAGGGCTGGGTTGTTCAAAGCAGGGTTAACATAACCCAGGGTTAGTAAGAAGCTTAAAATTCAGATTTGAAAGTGGTTTAACAAGCAAATCCAGTCTAGCTCTTTTTGCCTTCAGTGAATTCCATGATTTGATGCTCTATAAAGATATGGGGAAAATTACCCGAGAAAATGCTCTTGAACAAAAGAATAAGAAACCGAGGTTTAAATTTAATCCTGGGTTAGTGTTAATCAGCCTTCGAACCACTGGGCCCAGTGTGCTGGAGTGTGACAAGCATATATTAAATTTGAAATTTGTATATCAGCACAAATCAAAAACAAAAAAAATGATAAAAACTAATTGTCTGTCAGAGACCTAATCAGGGAGAAATTTGTTCATAGAAAAAATAAATATAAATTAGAGCAACACCACATCTCTAGTCCAGGAATCAAAAGTTAAAGCCAAAAGGTGACTAATAAATGAAAATAAACTCACTTGTATCGTAAAAATCTCCTCATCTTGAGTCTTAAGTTTCTTCAGAGGGTTTTTATCCACAGTAACTGCACGAACCTCAAACCCTGATGATAAAGAGGAGTACGCTGCAGAAACAAGAAACAATCATTTGGAATTTGAAAAAAGCTATAAATTTTTTTCTATGCTGACCTTTGTTAACAACATGTAGAAATAAAGGATTAAATAGCTACAATTTTGAACAAAAATTTCCATGTCTAATACGTATCAAGATAAAGCTCTTGAAAGCATAGGCAGTTTCAAATACTCCCCCCCCCCCCCCCCCAAAAAAAATAAAAAACAATGTTGAGGTCCTGCTTGATCATTTCTGACCTCAACTGAACAACATTGACCACCCTAGGGTGAGGAGTGGGGCCTCAGCACAACCAAATCTGCAAGATTGGCATTCAGTGACGGAGAGAAAATGCAAAATTCTTAACAATTTTTGTCCAAGATTGTAGCCTTGTATTACGCATTCCATAAACAGGAAAAAAATATCATTTTACAAACTGTTGGTTTCACTCTGCAGTTTAAAGAAATTTTCTTAACTTAAGTTTCACCACAAGATCAAAAATGATCAAACAGAACTTGCACAGTCAGTTACATTCATTATTAATGGGTCTTTAAGAAAATGTTTCTCATAACTTGACAAACTGCCAAAAAAGTATTTTACCAGAAAATGTGCCAGTCATAGATATTCACAGTTCACTGTTACAGCAACTTATCAGCAGATTTTGACGAAACGTACCTTCGCCTTCCTTCTTTGTGGCTGTAGAGGTCCGGTGGTTCACTTAATTCAACAAAAATTGGACAAAATATAAATGACACTATCCTACCACAGAGTGAAACCAATAGTTTGTGAAATCTATGACCAAAGACTTCTGGGGATAAATAGTAAATCTTCGCCATCTATATTGAGCACACCCATCTGCACTAGGATGATAAATCAATAGTGTTCAACTCACAGTACCATGAAACACCCACAAAAATTGTCGATCTGGCCAAAAATCTAAAGCACTAAAATGTCCCACATAGGCAGGCAGATAGTACTTTTCAAGCTTGGTAAGGGTAGGACTAAACAAATGGCAACAGAGACCATCCTAGTGTTACTGACTTTTAACCCTTTAAGCCCCAATATCCACGTACAAATTCTCCAAACTGATCTCCATACAATTCCCATAAAGAATTAGTTGAGAGAATTTGATAAAAGATCATGGCATTTTCTCTTCTTCTTTTTTTTTTTTAATTCAATATTAATCCAGGGGCATCCAATTTAGCAGAGCTAGTTTAAATGGATCCCTGATAAAACATAAAAACAAAGACATTAAAATATTAAAATTAGACAATTAACTAAGTTAAGACAACATGTAACACAGGTGTTAGTTACTGTTTAAAGTAGCGCTTTAGCTTGATTTTGAATTCACTGAGGGTCTATACTTGTCTAATGGTTCTCGGTAGGGTGTTGTAGGTCCGAGCACCGTTTATTCTGAAGCTACCTTGGTATTTGGTAGTTTTTGCGAAGGGAGGGCGCAGCAAATTACGACTTCTGGTGTTATAGCCATGGAAAAGGTGCGCGTGTCTAAACTCTGAAAGTAAGTACGAAGGCGCTATTCCGTGAAGACACTTATGGACTAAGACGCATTTTAGATAATTTCTGCGTGCTTGTAGGCTAGGCCAGCCAAGTGTTGATTTTAACTCCTCAGCCCCGATAGATCGACCTTCAATAATACATGCGGCACGTCTGTTAAGCTTATCTAGATAGGCTTTGCTCCCAACACCACAACTGTCTCAGACAGGCGAACAGTAATCGAACAATGGCAGGACTAAAGTATTGTAAAGCATTTGACAAGTTGGTTTGGGAAGATCTTTTTATTTGATCATTTTATTAATTCTCATAACTTATCTCTTGACAGTGTATGGCTGTTGTTAGGAGAAAATTGATCTTGGTCACTATTGGGACTTAAAGGATTAAGCCAGTGATCACCATTACGCTTTAGTTCACTTCTGTCTTATAAGATCAGGAATTAAAAAATAATCTGAATACTCACATCGTTTTTTGGATAGTTTTGGTACTGGTGCCTTGTTCGCTTCCTCTCTACTTCCTGCAGATGTCGATGGCCCCTCAGCAGGGGGACTGTGAGGAGCTGAAATCACTTGAGGGGTAGGGGGTGGCGTCATGTTGGGAGTTGATGTACGGATTGGTTGTACTTGGGTCTCTGATGAGTTAAATGTTGGGTCTCTTTCTCGTCTTTTTGCTTCTGCATTTTCCTCAATCCCTCTGTCTCTCCCGGGACAAGCACAGATTCGGACATTTTGAGCTTTTCGCCCTACAACTCTATTTCTGGAAGTAAAGGATGAACAGTGTTAACAGTGTTAACAGTATCCCACTTGCAATTACAAAATTTTGCCAAAAAATGCTTGGCTCTTTGCTCGTAGTTGTCCCGCCAAAACTGTTCAAAACACTGTTTACATGTTGAGCACTTCATGACCTTCTGTTCCTGATCGTAAATATCAGCTTCTGAAGTTCAGGCATGAGCAGAAAACAAATTTCAAAAAATTAATATAGTTTTAATTTTGGGTTTAACTGTCAAAGTTACCTCCTCAAATTTTACCTTTCCTTTTTTCTCCTCAAGCTCTTTTCTCTCACTTTTCTTTTGCCTGTTTTGTTTTTTCTTTTTTTTTGTCGGCATTAACAAGGAAGTACAGGTAGGTTGGTAGTGGAACAAGATTCTCATAGGACTTTTTCCAGTCAACTTTGGAATTGTTTGCATTTTTCTCTGGACTCTTTGAATGAATCATGCTCTTTTGGGGATCATTTGAAAGACCTCTTCCTCCAGCACAAGTTATTGTCAAAGTTTTTCATGCTTATTTGAAACTGATGACGTCACAAGCAGTACAAGAAATGGATTTAATGCCCAGAGGTGTTTGATTTGCAACAGCCAATTGAATGAATTGAAATATGATCTATAAGAAAAAGAGTACTGTGAGACAAAGCAATCAAACTCACCCATATTCTAAAGTAAAGATCACCAGGATTGGACGCCTGTTTAAGCCTCCTGGACATGAGCTGAAGCACATCATTTGAAACATTTCAGTAACAAAATCACTTCCAGCTATGAAAAGCAAAACAAAACAAACAAACAAAATCAATCAAAGCTGCCTTTTAAATCAAAAAAGCAAAAGAAATGCAAGCTTTTGTATGAAAAAGAAGACAAAGTTCTTTTAACTATTGCGCTTGAGGTGCTAGCCATCATTTGTTTTTCTTCCAGTAAGAACGATTGGAATGCACAGGAAGAAATTTGATCAGGCACCTTTAAATTGGACCTTCTTTCACTCATAATCTGATCACGTATGTTTTGACTATCTGTCATGTGAAACTTACGCAAAAGCACAGAAATGGAGTAAAAGCATTTTGACCTTCGATCGTTGTTGTCCGCACTCTGCAACCTTTGGTTATCACTAGTTTTTATGACTAAAAACAGGCAAGAGCCCTCTACATTGAATTCCAATTCATTATGATAATCCCAAGGGTAGATCAGTCAGATCAGTAAGAAACCCCCTCATCATACTACTCCAGTGATTTTGTTACAAATAGTTATGGTGAGTCCTGGGACTCATCTTGTCAAAAATCATCAGTCCCTGTCCACAACCAATGAGTCCTAAATTGAAAATGCTTGGGCCTTAACGTAACCAGACAGTTTATCTGGAGACAGATGCCAAAACACTTTATTACAGTTAACTGAAATGAAAATATAGTCCTTCTATATATTTAAAACACAAAAAAGACTAATCCTTGAGGTATTTCCAAAAGGGAAACTCCCAAATTATCACCAGGGTGCAAAGAAAGTGATTTTTAAAGCTTGCCACTCAGGCAAGCTGAAGCTAACATATATACTAGCCCAAATGTCATTTCAACGAGCTCCAAAAACGTTTTGATGAGAGAATTGATTTCACAGTTCTTCTTTAATTTGAATTCCTCAAAAAACTTCACTTGCCTGTCGGGCAAGTTAAGTTCAAAATTCACTAGCCTGATAGCAAAATTCCCTAGCCCCGGGCTATCAGACACTACTTGCTTTGCACGCTGATCAGTTATACTCATTTTGTGCTACTCCCAGGTCAGGTGTATTTTTCAGCCACGCCTTCATTCTCATTCCTTATTTTATGCTAGAGGTACATGTACATTAATTTCTAGAAGTCCCTATATCATTACTCACCTTGTGCTACTCCCAGGGGTATTTTCAAACTGTGCCGACCAGTTTCAGGGCAGGTCTCATACAGAGTTTGTGGATTTTCACATCTCAGTAAATGCTTTGGAGCATGATGCCCTGAAAACAGAACAAGTTAAGTCAGAGGGGGTCGCTCTGAGGATTGGGATGTTAGAATTATTATAAATAGAGACTTCTCGACTCTGGCTCACCGTCTTTCTGTTTTGTGATGTGGTTAGGACATCGCTCGACAATTTCTCTATAATGTTCTGGTTGCTTGTAAATTACAACAACCCTAACAAAGAATTCACGAGTGGTAGGAAATTCTGCAACAAAACAAAACTGGTTAACACAAGGCTTTCATTAAGGGCTGGGGATTTCTCCTGGCTATTGTGAATATAGCCCATGGCTACTTTCATTGACCACGAAAGGAAAGAGCTACAGTAAAGAGAACCAAATTTTCTTCCTAACAGTTCAAATCCCTGCCTACTAAGTGCCTATACCTGGCAAATTGAAACTTCTGTGACAACCCTGATTTAAAAATTTATTTAAGACATTGATGGTTTGCTTCCTTACTGGTGGCTCTAAATCAAGCCAAGCTAAGTTTACAAGATGTGGCTATGCTTGGATGCAACCAACACATCTCCCATGATCCTTTGGACCACATTAATTTTCCAATGTCCACCTGACTCACACAGATCATAGAGATCGCATCCAAATGGTCAAAATTAGGGTCAGAAATTGTACCTTCCTGGTCGCCAATGCAACTAAATATTCAGTACTGACAACCAGAATTTCATAGCTGGTCACCAGCTGGCGACTTGTCAGTAAAGCTGGTTGTTATTGTGGACTTTCTCCTTCGGAAAAAATGATTAGGAATTGAAACCCCAAAGCTATTTGCTAATGCACTTATCAATGTAAAGCCGGTAGGGGGGAGGGGGGGAAGCAGGGCATGGGGTGGGGATTTGATTGTCTTTGTTGGCCCTGGGGTAGGGCATTTGAAAAAATCTTGTTCTCCTGGGGGAGGGGATATTTGAATCTTTCTTCGCCCAACTGGGACCGACGTGGGGATGGATTTGACTGCCGACTCGGACGAAAGAGACTGAGCCTGAACATAATATGTTCATATTATGTTTCCCCACTTCCACGCTTCACGCACGCGATGTACGGTCTGAAAAGATCTGGAAATCATGGAAGCCAACAAGAACAAGCCAAAGGTGAGTGGACTTTACTGTATTGATCAATTGAACCTTTTAAGACACTGTGGTATCCAAGTAAATGGAAGTAAAGAGAAACCAAGTCGATTTTTGCAAGTACAATTGATCAGTGTATGACTGACATTTGCAACAGTCACTGTATAAAGCTTATAAAACTGACTTTCTTTGTACCCTTTACTAAGAACGGTATATTCAAACTTACAAAACGTGGACTTTCTCCTATAGGTTTCTGTATTCTATGCAGTGTAATAAAACATGGATTGAAATTTTTGAAAAATGTCAAATCCCCACCCCATGCTCTGCCTGTAAGAAGCAGTACCCAGATCTGGGTAGTAATGCATCATCAGTATGGAATTTCTGCACTCGTTTCTCAGACATCATTTTGCGGGGAAACTGTTGGTGGTGTTGCAAAATGTCAGCTGTTTTCTCCAGCTGGATCAACATGGGATATATCATAATATTATATCATTGGCCAAGAGAACTATTCTCTTGCAAGACTAAAGCGGGAAATAACATGCAGGCAAGATGAGTGGCTGATCAGAACTACTAGGATTAACTTCATATTGCCCACTTGTGGAACCAGCTGTATAATAGAAAATGTGACTATCTAACCTTGCATTTTTATTCTCATTGGAACAATGCACCTCATCTTCATAAATAACTTCTCAAGGTAAGGAGAATAAGTCCACTGTGCTGACTTGGTGGGTGGACTTTTTTCCTCCTCAAACCCAATGCCGAATCCATAATAGCCTGGGAAATCTGTATTGCACACAATAAGAGGCTGTGTGTTGGGAAGATCAGGGGGAGGGGTGGTCACCATCGGAGGAAAGAATGGCTTAGTGTCTTGTTCTGGAGGCGATTCTATAGGCTCTTGTTTCAACGCAATTCTTGTAAAAGGTTGGTCAGGAGGAAAAGGAAATTCAAGCTGTTAAAACAAATAGAAAAGACTCCCTAGTTAGCAGTTTTAAAGCCTGTAGACCATAAAGTTGTAGAGATAAAATCTAGTTAATGACCTAGAGGTTCCTACGGGGTCAATCTTTTGACGCAAATGCATCTAGATCTACTACAACTATAGAATGTACAATCTTGAAATCTTGTCAACAGTGCATTCCTGAACTGGTGCTAATTTAGAGTTGTAAACAGTACTTTGGTCAATCTTGGCTCTTTTTGGTCAATAGTGGACAGAAACTGGCTCAACATACTTCAAGCAGCTTTTCTTTGGCATAATTTTATGAGGCAATCGGAAACGACTTTTCAGGAATTTGGTAAGTAACTGCTCAATGAGTTTAACTGTTTTGTATGTGGATACTGTTCAAGAGAAGAGTATGATGATAGTTACACATACCTCTGGTCTCACCACGCTTACTGCCTCTAAGTTAAACATCACATTTTCTGAAAGAAACAGAAACAGAAAAGCAAGTAGAGATTTCAGTACAGGGTTGTCATTAAGAGGTGGGGGTCAAGGATTTCCCCCAGCTACTAAGAACGTGGCCCCTGTCTACTTTCATTAGAAAAGAGAAGAAAAATAGAACCAAAAGAAATCTCTAGCTGTTTGATTCCCTGCCTACTTGTTGTATTTACCCGGCAACTTGAAATCTAAGTGACAGCCCAGCAACAAGTATAAGTGCCAGAGAATGATTCTCAATTCAAAAAAATATCATTAATGCCTTCTTGTTTGCTAGATTCCTAGGAATCCCCAAAGCCTACAATTTTGTTTTCATATACTGTGATCCCCAACAACTGTTGTCGTATATAGCTCCCAGGTACTGTGTAGCCTTCAGGGCTGTCATTAAGGACCGCGAGCCCGGGATATCCCCCCACCATTATGAACATGATTTCCACCTACTTTTGTAGGAAAATGGAAGAAAAATTAAAAGCAAACAAAATCCCCAGCTGTTTGATTCCTCACCTACTCGTGTCATTTACTTGGCAACGTGAAATTTTAATGAGAGCCCTAAGCCTTTTACCTATCTCTCTAAACCAAATGTTACTAATTTCCTCGTTAAAATACTATTTTGCAACAATTTTTAACCCAAGGAACTTCTCACTCAGTAACAATAGGCCTTGCAGTGCGTATTTTCTTTACATATAAGAAAGTGGTTAAGAATATACCATGTATGTTGCTTTCAGTCAATTGAACGACTCTGGGTGCTTCATTATATTCCGTTTGAATCCTAAAAACAGAAAGTACTGTTAGTGTTACAAGTATCTGAGACAGAAGAAGTGGGACATACATTCTTTCGGTCAATTTGGGTAAACATAAAATGTATAGCTCCTATTGTTCAGAAAATAATGACCATACACATATTAGTATAGGTAATAGTGATATTAAATTGTTATACGTAATTTCAAAATTTGAGACAATTTCAAAATATCACGACTGGTATTTATGCCAAATATCACGTACAAATCATGCTATTATTTGTTTATACTACTACCCGCAAAAGGTTTGTAATTTTCACATGTAGGTATTTCAAATTAAGCTGAAATACCACTGCTCTAAGCCAATCAAATTGCAGAAATTTCTCATGTAGTAGTATAAATAATGAAATTGTATTTTCTTGTAAGTTAAAGAATACCAAGGGTGACTAAAGCACTCTTGGTTTTAAAATACAATGTAGCTTAAAACATAATAAATTTTGTCATAGTTATTATTCATGATAGAACTTTGTGTCATCCACCTCAGCCTGTAATCATACTTGTGATTAATTAAAAACAAATCAAACTCCAGCCACACCGTAATCCGATTTTGAAAATCACTTGTATGATTACAGACAGAATTGGAGACCACTCAGTCTTTTTATCTGTAGTAATCATTACTAATATTAATATCAAAAAGCTCTAATCTGATAGGCTACCAGCCACACTAATTTCAGCATAAATAGGACAATGTAATAGACACCTGTAGGACACTACGCATCATGCCTGAATAAATAACGTTTGCTGCATGATTGCATAGCCCTTTCTTCACAAAATGTGAACTTCAGCTGTACTTGAAATTCTGCATTTCACCAGTATTTATCACACCCTACCAGAAGACTTATATTAAACTGTTACCTTGACAAATCTTCTGGTTTGAGAATGCTTTGCACTGTCGAGAAGATGTCATTAAAAGTCTCCTGACTTAGAATGGGCTCCAGAGAGGTAGTGGAATTTTGTGACATGGTTTACCGGTAATCACCTAAAATAATTCAACAAAACAAATCAGTTTCTCAAAATAATCTCTTTTAAAGAAAACCTCCAGATGTTTCCTTGGTATATGATAATTAAGTGAGTCTCAAAAAGAAACATGCAGTAGCAGCTGAATAATAAAATTGGAAGACAGTCTATTTTTTTCACCAAAAATTAATGTTAATTGTCTTTTATGTGTAACTCTCTCAAGATCAATCAAAGTTTCCTGTGGAAAGAACTATCCTTGCTGAATTTGCTATTTACCAACTTAAACGGGGTAATTCCAGAAAATATTTGTACCACACCAAAGATGGTTTCCATACTTTAACCTACCCTTGCCTTAAGAATTTTAAAAATGGGTTATCCCCCCCATGCCCTTGTAACTACATAATCATTAACCCCCCTCCCGTTTGGATTTTCTTTTTCGTCAAACCCTTTGGAATTCCCAGCAGGGTTCGCAAATATGCCCAATTTGGGGCATTTTCTTCGTGTACCGGACACAGATGGAGTAAAATAAAAGAACAAACACCATGAAACAATTTTTCCCTTAACAGAAAACAAAGAGGTCCAGTTCAAAGAACCCCACCTTGCCCTCGGAATTCTGAAAACCCGTCCATGGCATGGTATGGATATTTTTAGGAATCACCCAATAAAAAAAACAGGTCAAGGGAAAATCAAACTACAAATCAAGAGACACTGCTTCGAGCAGACCTAAAAATGAACCTTTGCCAATGGCCACTACTCCACAAGGGGCACTTTTGTTACCCCAAGGAAGAAGATACATTCACTTGTTTCAACCCCTCCACACACCCAAGGGTCACTGTCTTGGGGTGGTGGGGGGAGGGGGAGGGCACAAGGTGCACAGGGACACCCAACTGTTGGGAGAAGCAAATATTGCCTAGAATTTTCTACAGCATGAGAGTGGCAAAGGTCGTTCCAGTCGTGTGCTTTTTGAAGCTTATCTTACAAATTCCATAAAATTTGGCACGTTTACCTCCCCAGGTTAGGCTATATTTCATGGAAAAAAACAAAACCTAAAATTCTCAGATTGGCAAATGTGGTGAAGAGAGGAATCAGAAAAATTCTCAAATAAAATTTTTGGGAAAATAATAACTGAAGCCCTTGTAACTTTGAAAAGACTCTGGTTACCCTAGGTCGATGACCAAACAGATACATATTTTATAGCGCTGTATAGAATTCATCTCCAGCGATATGAAAGTTATCGGGATAGCCTAATAACTGTTTGCAATGTATTTAAGAGGAAACTGTCATTGGACCATGGGTGCCCTTGCTACTTGTTTCATTGTCAGACGAAACAGTAGATTAATGAGGCAAAACTGTCCCTGGCCTTAACAATAACAGCCAGCCAATAACAATAAAGTATCTGAGAGTTTCGTGACCACAGACTGTTTTGAAATTCAATTCAGCTTTGTTTTATCCTGTAAAGAATGACCACTTAACCCTGTTCCCAAGACTCTGGGCTGAGATGTGGAGAGGTTTCACTGTATCTTGTCTGTTATTACCATTGGGTGTTAATAACAATTAACATGTCAGAGGAAGGAATCGGCTTTCTTTCCCTTTAACTTTATATCTGTCAAAAATTGAAATGCCCTTAATGAGCAATGCATTTAGTTCCAACACTTAACTGCATACGTATGATTAAAAAAATTAGGGCGATTTGAAGAACAAACAAGAACATTATTAGAAATATAATGCACAATTAGAAAAAGAAACTCACTTCCGACATAAACAAAGAAATCGACCCAAAAATTTCCCTCCAAAACAATCAAGTAAACAATCAGCCAAATAACTCATATCACTCACGGTACAAAATGTTAATTCCAGAAATCGAATTAACGATCCTATTGCAGATTATACTGCTACTATTTCATTTCTGAACTATGATATGAAAAACACGAGGCATAAACTAAGCATTTAACACGAAGTTCGGAAATGTAGTTGTGTCGATCCGATCAAACCGATTTCGTCCGTGTCTATACGTCTTCTCACCAACTATCAACCGGACAAATCGCCAGATTTTATCGACTCTTTGCAAGAAAAGATTAGTACGAATCAACATATTAACAGATTAATCGCTTACTTGATTTTCTGCCTTCTAAAACCAGGACACTATCAACCATAACACATTCTTGAACCACGCGTACAGTCGAATGTGCGAACTCAGCGCCGATATATAGAAGCGGGAAAACTGGAACGAACCAATCAGCGATGTGATACGACAACATTCTCAAAACAAGCCAATAGAAAAGCGCAAATTATCAAGATGAATTTTGCACGTGGTCTGGCCGATGGAGTGGAAAGAAAAAATATAGTCCTTGCGGCTTCGAACCCTGTTTAATGTAACTATGTCTAATGAGTTTTAATCGATATCGTGAATAAAAGAAGGCGAAAGATTAGCTGTTATTGTCCTTGAAATTAAGAACACTCTCTTCATTCATGCGGTGATCAGTCTCAAGTCCTGAGAGTTTCGTGACATTGAAATATTGCCCGCGATTTACACACTTTCGTGAAAAGTACAGTAGCGCATTGATTTGTCCCAAAGATAAGAAAACCTTCCAAGCTAGTGATCAGAGATACCTGAACCGTTTAGAAAACAGATCACACTCCGGAAGTACTCGAGCGAATCCTATTTCTCTCTCCTGGTGACGATGTACAATTTCTTACTCTACCTTCTTCACAGCTTCGAGTCGCCACCAAGATGAGCGCAGTTTTCCGTGTTTTTGGCGCAGATGATAAGAAATATTTATAGCCAGGTTAACAACTGGTTGATCAAAAGATATCACTCCGGAAATGCATTAGGGAATCTATTGTTTTCTTCGTGTCAGTAATTTATTGTCAATTTTGGCGGGAAATGAGGCATGCTCAATCTTGCCCTTGGCCTCTCTTGCATAATTTATGCAAAATTGTTTTCAACAATGAGAACGTTCAAATGAAATGGCGACGCCCCGCTGTGAATTATAATGGTACATCCGCAGAAGTAAGTGATAAGACGCCATCAAAGAAAGCGTCGAAAGATATACAAACACAAGTGCAGTGGCTGGATAGTGATTTTCTCCGATGGTGGATACCGCATTTCTAAAAAGCACCGCGCTGCAACGCACGTTGAAGGTTAAAATTAGCACTAACCCAGGATTAAAACTTTGTTCCACTTTTTGTATTTACCTTCCTATGCATTGCCTAGACCAACATTTTGTGTTGTCAAAACTTTTTTTCGAATCAAAGGCACAACAGTATTTTGTCAGTTCCAGTTACACGTTCTTATACAAGAAAACCTTGCTTAAAATTTGGCTTCGCCTGGGTTAAACTTAACCAACTTTCGAGGAACCAGGCCCTGGGTTACGGGTCGATTTTCAAGATGGATCATACCATCCTCGGGAGGTCAATACTTGCTGGAATCCTTTCATTCAGACCAGACAGATCAGCCCTTGGAACTAAAAGTTTTAATTTTTTTCTAAAGCAACATTTAACTATCTAACGGCGAGAGTTAGCAAACACAGGGTATGATTGTATTTTTATTTTGTATTATACATAAATCCTTCAGGGGGAAGGGGCATTTCTCACATAGTTTTTAGAATAGTCTCATTCAAATTTCTAGTAATGTTATATTCAGTCTTTTTGTTTTGTTTTTGTTCTTATATTTATTTTCTTTTATCATTTCCAGAAAGAACCACCTTTGTGGAAATACTGGAAATAAAGTCGTTATTATCATATACAGCTATTTCGAGAAAGGTTGTCGAAAAAAATGTGCACGCGACAATCCCGAAAGGTAATGTGGGATATGACCAATACACTGTTCCTGACACTGTAGCTGTCGAACCTACTTTTGTTAAGTTCATTCAGCACTTGCAGACATATGTCCATGACCTCTCCTACCATTCTTTCAAATTTCTTTGAAAAACAGTGAACTCAAGGCCACCCACGATACATTTCGCGGTTGTCGCGTGCACTTTATCCGACAACCTTTCTCGAAATAGCTGTATAAAAGATATATATGCTACTGTGTTTGTGGTTGATTTTCTCTCTCAACTCCGAGTCCAAACCATGGACTTTGGCAGGCAAACGGGTTTCTGCTTGATTGAGAGGACCCGCCAGAGAAGGTGGGCTGAAGAAAGGAGAGTTATTTTCTGAAGTTCATATATGTTGATGTTGCCAGGGATTTTGTTGGAGTAGTTTTCCATGTCCTTCTTGATGGTACCAAGGGCTCCCATAACCACCTGAACTGTTGTTGTTTTGAGCCCCCACATTCTCTCAACCTCGATTTCCAAGTCTTTGTATTTGGTAAGCTTTTCCGTGGTTTTGACTGAGGTGTTGGTGTCCAGGGTTATAGTCATGTCAATGAGAAGGCAGCTTTTATCCTTCTTGTTCTTTAGCCGGCATATTAGCTGCTATAGTCCTGTCATTCTACACTAAGCACCTTTCTTTTTTTTTAGCTGAGGATTCGCGCAGATCCCAGCATGCAGATCTTTTGGACCTCTGTTACAGTAGCTCACTCTCATGGCTTTCTTGATGTTTTCTACCATCTCCTTCTTTACTGTACCAAACACACCAACAACCACAGGGATCAGTACGGTTTTCATATGCCACATTCTCTGTATTTCTTGTTCTAGGTAAGGTCTTTGTACTTGCTTTTCTTTTCAATTTCCTTCAGTGCAATGTTTCTATCTGATGTAACAGTAATATCAATCAGTTTGCAGGTGGAATTCATTGAATCTTTAACGTTTATGTCTGGTCTGTTCGCTGTTATAATTCTATCAGTATTGACTGGCATGTCCCATATGATGGTGATGTTTATTATCATTATTATTATTATTATTATTATTATTATTATCATTATTATTATTATTATTATTATTATTATTATTATTATTATTATTATTATTATTATTATCGTTGTTGTTGTTTATCTCACCGCCTAAGAACTAGGTAATCATAACTGAATGACATGTACTTGGGTAGAATCGGGGCCCGGGGGAACTCGACGAAGTTTTATATGGGGAGACTCCGCCCCGAGGTCCCCCTAGGTAAGCTGATTCTGCCTGAGTACTTTCACATTCCGTCAACAAATGAATAAACTCGAGGTGTCTTCCCAACAACAACCTTAACTTTCGTGGCTTACAAACGAGACGTCAGCTTAAGAAGGCTCTAAAAAACATACTCGTCCACTCTGACTGATTATTTTTCTACCTGCTCACGCGCATGTTAAGCTAGCGTCCTCGACGGCAACACCTGCAATCACATCAGTCCCGTTGCTGACATATGAGGCCTTCTAACAGGAGCCTCTAACCCAAGTGTTTCTATACCGTTTATGACCAAGACTGCAAAACAGTCGGTTTTTTTCTTCAAAATCGGTTTAGCGTAGCATAAGAATAGCGTTAGAGTCTCACGCGCGTAAAGCGCACGAGCCTCACGAGAGAGTATTTTTGGCGTCTCTCCCCAGTCTCACTCTATTCATTCCTGCCTACTTTTTGCATTGGTTAAACTGGACGAAACCTCAAACATTTCAACTCGGTCACGGGCGCCGCTACAGTATCAGTTCTCTGATGTCCAGGTGCGTGGAGTGACATTCGCAAGTCAGCCAAGCGCAGTCCGTTGCACGCGTGCTGAACGAGAATGCTGTATAATGACAGACAAGAAACAACAGAAAACTCCCAAAGCACAAAGTCAGCCAAAACGCTAAAAATCTTCAATGTTTACTCAAGTTTGGGCTTATGAAAGATAATGTCACAGTTTTTCAATGACCATGAAATTCAGAATCCGGGTAGTTAGTTAATCAATTGTGGCCCTGAAAAAATTTGAAGGAAAAAAAATTAAGAATTTTTACGAAAATGCTTTTTTCGTGAGAAGGACTCTTAAACGCTTACATAGGTCAACAAATAGCTAAAACTATAATTTCTATATGTTCGCATTACTCGAAATCGCGCGCATTTATAAGGCCCAAAAGCTTTTTGCTGACTTGCAAGGACCCATTCTCAAAAATAAAGGGATAAATCTCATAGTTTATTAGATATAATCGTTTAAAGTTAGCTTATCATTTTCACATAAATTATGACCTAAATTTGGAAACCGCTGAATTTCTCGCATTGGGTCTTTGCGATTTTGGTGAAACTCCGTTGAACGCAAGGCACTGATGCGAACTATACGTAGCCGAGAGATTTTCACGAAAAAATGCCGGCAACAGCAGAATTTCGACTCAGAACCCAAGGAGGGCGTGGTCGTATAACCACGTGACATTTACTCCGATTGCCAAAAATTTTATGCTATATTGTAGATTGATCTATATGTTATCCATGCTATACGTTAGACTTACGATCAAGGTAAAGGTGGGGATACCAGAGAGCTTCAAAGTAGGATGGTACCCTCACAAAATAACTGGGTTGAGTCACCTTAAAGGAAGCAGAGTGAAATGAGGATGATTTTACAATTCCGTGACCGCTCACAATTAACAAGAGACGACTGGAATAGCACTGTTAATACATTGTCACGTAAGAGTTTGTAATATAAAAATTGTTTTAGTGACGTCAGTAATAATTTTGGTATTTATTTTCCATGATTATGTACACCTTGAAAGAAATTAAAAGGAGTTGTAAAGCTGAATTCAATATTAAAGTAGCCTCATTCCTGCGAGTACTAACCTGATTCACAGACGTCCGCAGGAGTCCATCAAATGGAGCCTCCATCTCCCATGCAAGCCCTTGGAGTCAACCCTTTCCCGTGTAGATATATTTTCATTAGAACGGTTCCCAGGGAAGACTTCGCGCGCCGGCGGTGGGAAGAGCCAATCACAACGACGAACAGTTCCAAATCGTCCGCAGAACGGTTAATCGTCGACTCTTTTCAAGGTGCATGCTTAAATGTGGGATTCATGACGGCAAAAAAAAAAAAAACAGTCGCAAAGATAACCTTACCGTGATCCTCAGTTCGCTGCCTTTGTCCCATCGCTTCATACTCAGTCTTAGTCGGGCAATTCATTAACTTTTATTTCATGATACCCAGATCCCAGCGGCTGTAAAATTATAAAAATGGACGTATAGTAAAAAAGGAAAACGGTCGAAGGACGGGCTTCTGAGTTCGACTTCATCCAACTTCATTTTTTTCACGGTGACAAGACTCACGGAAATATGACACTTTTCGCGGGGAACAAGCCGTTCTATTTATAAATCTACTCGGGAAAGGCTTGACTCAAGAAATAAATGGAGATGGAGGCTCCATTTGATCGGCTCCTGACGTCCGAGGTAGTTCGCGGTCCATGCGCCTCTCTCCGAAGGGACCGCGAACGACCTCGGACGTCTGAGAATCAGGATAAGCGACTACAAACCGGGGGGTGGGCCCCTAGGTAATCCTTATAACTGTTTCTGCGGGGTAAGCAAATATTCAGAAATATCATAGGGTAGGAATTTCACAAGTTGAAGTATACCACAGAGAAGGTCATTTAACTTTGGTCTGCCAAAAAAGCACCCCCGGCCAACCCCCCCCCCCCCCCCCAAAAAAAAAAAAAAAATTCGAAAAAACGTTCTGGTTTGAGCCTTCCTATCTTAAAGAGAGTTTTTACAGCAGTTAAAAGAGTAGCCTACGAACAGCAGACGCATTTCCGGTCGTTGCTTCTCTCCCTACAAAAAATAGAGGGAGAGGCGACGACCGGAAATGCGTCTGCTGTTCGCAGGCTATTAAAAGAGATGCAAACCTCAAAATTTGGTAATGTTAAGTGGGTACCATCTGTCAAGCACTTAGTCGTTTGTCTTGTTTTGAATAAATATTGACAAAATTAAACAAATTTTGTTTGTTATATAGCCTTTATCATTTGGTCGAAATAATCCCGCATTTATATTGGGCTCTTGCTTACACGAACTTTACATGTAGAGACTCAGTCAGTGAAGTAAAATATAATTTAATAGGTTTTATAAAAAAATACGGTCGGTTCTTGCTTTGTAAACAGATTTACGATTCTCAGAAATATAGGATGTTTTTGGTTTCTTCAGAATGACGTCAGAAATCATAAATTCGTCAAAGAACTCCGTTTGATTGGTTGATAGAAGTAAAGTTCAGTCTGAGTCAAAAGAGCGTAATCACTTTCACTTTCGAAGAGCTCGGTATCTCAAAATTAAAATAGTTTTATTTCCGCCTTTTCTATCCATGGATATAAAGACCTTGCTGGACAATCTTCATGATGAAGTATCCTGTTCTGTGTGTATGTGTACATTCACTGATCCAAAGCAGTTGCCTTGTTTGCACAGTTTCTGTCTTCACTGCCTGAACGAAATTCAACGAACGAGCGGCGTCCATCGCAAAATTACATGCCCCGAGTGCAGGAGACAGTTTCAAATCCCTGGAAGTGGAAATCCGAGCGAACTTCCCACTAATTTTCGTATCAACAGTTTGCTAGATGTCTTGGCAATAAAAGAGTGCAGCACAGCTAACGTGAAATGCGGAAATTGCAACAAACGGAGCGCCCAGACCTTATATTGCTTCCAGTGTTATTCTTTCTGGTGCGACGAATGTATTTTAGGACATAACATAATACGCACCAGTAAGGAACACAGAACGCTGGCACTGAAAGATTTTCAAGATCAAGACATCGAGGCCGTGGTAAAGAGACCGGCATTTTGTCAGAAGAAACGACATGAAAAAGAAGAGTTGAAATTCTTTTGCAAGGACTGTAAAGTCGCCATTTGCAACACGTGTTTTGTGACACTTCATGAAGGTCATGGTAAGATGCTTTTGGAAGAAGCTACAGACGCACGTAAGACACAGATCAACTACACACTTCAATCTTTAAAAGATAAAGCACTTGAAAAACGAAAAGAACAAGAGCAACTCAACCAAAAGAGCATGGACATTAACGAGCAAATAGCCGAATTAAAAACGCAAGTACAGACGACTGTAGACCAATTGCTTGCAGTCATCGAAAAGAGGAAACAGGATATTTTTAATATAGTCGATAATCAAACGAAAAAGCCACTGGAGTCTCTCTCACAGAATCAAGTCCAAGTTGCAAATCAAATAAAACTAATTGAATCAGCAATTGAAGAAACTGAATTTGTGTTGAAACGAAGCTTCAGTACTGAAATCCTTGAATTCAGTAAAACCTTTGATTCAATCCTACAGGAACAGGGCACCCAAGAAAACAGTGACACTGAATGCAGTATCCCTCGGTTTAGTTTCACTAAAAGTGAAAAACTGATTAATCTGTTGAGCATGAGCGAGGGGATAGGTAATGTAGTATTTGTTTTTAGCGAAACTAAAGCGCAACAACCAGAAGCTAAACGTAAAGAAAGTATTAAAGCAGTTGCTGGTAATAAAGGGGCAAATGTTGGTGACAGTCCTACTCAGACTCAGGCACAAACCAGGCGCTTCAGATCTGTGCTTTCATTCGGACAATATGGTAAATCCGCCGGAATGCTTAACGTGCCCTGTGGGGTGGCAGTTAATTGCAATGATGAAATTGCTGTGGCTGAGTCCAGTAATAATAGGATATCTGTATTTAGAAGTGATGGTACCCACTTGAGATCATTCGGTAGGGCAGGTCACAATAATGGAGAGTTTTATTACCCTACGGGAGTCGCTTTCGATAGCCGTGGCAATATCTTGGTGGCAGACTGTTTTAATCACAGGGTGCAGCGTTTTGATGGGACTGGTAAGTTTCTTAGTAAGTTTGGTGAAAAAGGAATTCTTGATCATCAGCTCAGTTATCCTGAAGGTTTATCAGTAAACTGCAAAAGCGATATCATCGTTGCTGATAAAGGTAACAAAGTAATCAAGATATTCTCTTCTAGTGGCGAGTATTTACGTAAATTTGGTGGGGCAGGAGGTGCTAAGTTGGTCAATCCCTATCACTGTATTCAACATGGCCAAAATTTTATAATCTCAGATTACGGTGATCATTCCATTAAAATGTTTAATCTTGATGGAGAGATTATTTCTAGATTTGGAAAACAGGGGAGCAGGGATGGAGAGTTCAATAGGCCATATTACTTGTCGGTCAACAAAGAAGGATTACTAATGGTCTGTGATGAAAGAAATCACAGGGTTCAGGTATTTGAACTGAGTGGAAAGTTTGTTACAAAGTTTGGAAGTAAAGGTAGCGAGAGTGGAGAGTTTATGAATCCAGTATGTACAGCAAATATTGGTGATGGAAGGATAGTTGTATGTGATACGAATAACAGCAGAATTCAGCTGTTTGATTATGAATGACACGATTTTAACTTTGTTGTACAAGATACTTGAGAATGTGAACTACTATACATTTATCATAAGATCTCAGTAGAGTTTATGTTTGTTAAAGTAAACAATTTTGTGAGATAATTTTGTTAATATAATAAATCCTACCATGAAATCGAAATTGCTATAGTACTGGCGTGTGCAATGTCAAGGGAAGGGAGGGGCAATGAAACACTCCCCCCCCCCCTCTCTTTTCCTCTTCTACTCCATTTTCAGACTACTTTCTCGCCCTAACCACCCTACCCTACTCCCCAAACAAGAACCGGTTTCGAATTTCATAGGCTGCCTGCCCATGCAAAGATATTAAGAAAAGCGAGTAAAACGGTATAAGCTGGTTTTCACAAGCGCATAAGCATAAGGCTTAGTATAAATACGAAGCTATACTAGAAATACGTGAATCGCAGGACCTCGCGAAGGACTTCCTGGGAACGGCAAGAAGTTGAATGGAAATAAGAAGTAATAAAGAAAATTTATCAATCTAAAAAACTTTGGCTATATGAAGAAACAAAACAACTGTAATAAATAAAAAGAAAACTGAAGACAAGGAATTAAAGAAAAGGAGAAGAGAAAAAGAATATCAGGTACAGCTCGTAATCGAACACAGGCCCTTCAACGCGCCGGGCCATAGCTAGCTTTTCCACTGGGCCACGTAAAACACAATGTGAAAATTCTGAAAATATATTATTAAAAACCTTTCCCCTGGAACTTCCGCCAGCGCGACCTGTTTAAAGTTGATCGAGCTCTATTATGAATTCAGAGATATTTTTCAGAAGAATGACCGTTGTTTTGACAGTGAAACCCCAACGTAACGTAAACGAATTTCATCGCACTTAAAGAACGACAGCTCAACTAAGCCGATACGGTATAAACTCGTCCGGCGAGCAAAATGTGTTTTGTTACCTCGATTTTTGCTCATCTTAAGGCAAAAAAACCAAACAGATACAAGACACTCTTCGGTGTTGCCTGGAAAAACAATGCTACGTGTCGTCACACACTAGATGAAGTCAGAGCGGACGCCATCGCGATATAAACAAGTATACAAGTATAGATGGGCCGGCCGACTTTGCAGGTCGCTAACACCACGCGTGTGACAAGATTATAAACCTCTCGAGGCGAGGTGGCTTCGCCTTATTTATTGCCTAGGGGAGGCGGGTAGGAAGAAATTTTTTTTGCGACAAAGTAGCACTTATGTGATTCCCCTTAAAGCATACAGTGTGGTTTTGATCCCCCACATTGGCGGTGGAAGATTTCATGTTCCCCCCTCTTCAATCTGAGCCACCACAAAAAGCCAGTGTAACTATATGCAAGCAAGTGACCTCTATATTAATACTTACGTCTCATGAAGGCTTGAACAACAACTTCACATATTTGGTGATCATCTGATATGAACTGAATTGTCTGTGAAGGGTAACTCTTCTCATCCAGAAATCGTTGAAAACAAATTCATTGTCGTTCTCGTCCTCCTCACTGTCTAATTCCTCCTCATATTCTTCATCCTCTGATTCCCCGTCACTTTCACCTTTGGCACCTCACGATTCGTCCGTGTTGACAGACTCTTTATGTGTCGGTAATAATGACATCGAATAGCTTTTACTTTGTCAAGCTTGCTACCAATAGTGGTCAGTCCGTGTTCTTTCAGGTAGAAGCCAAGTTCTTTTACCTTTAAATTTTCGATCTTGCCACTTTCAATAAGGGTGCCGTCCGATTTGAAGTCCGTGTATGTCCGGTGCGCCTCTTGCCTCTTTCGTTGCTCTAATGTCTTTTCTGATATCAATGCGATTAATATATGTAATAACATGCTTCTCATAAACATTGTATTTTGAACAGAAGTTCTTGATGGTATCTCCATCGTTTATGACGCTGACGGAATGTTTCTCACGCAAGTCCTTCAAACATTTTCTCGGGAGATAGTCCGGCATCTGGTGTCCTGCCTGTCGATTCCGTCTGAAAGACATCCATGAAATAATGTCCCCCATTGTTTGGGCCTGGTACAGGTTGCGGGATTCTTTCTGTCTGTGGTCCCACCCATCTTTTGTTAGAACACCAAGGACAGAGATTAGAGGTCTCCTCTTTGCAAGCATGCACCACGACAGAATTTCATTAAGAGCTCTGCACGGATGAAGTGGTCTTCCATAAACGATTCGATCTTACTGAGGTATGCTGCTAAAAATAAGCTTAAAAGAGAAATTTAATGTGCATTTCACACTTTTAATAGGCGAAGAATAAATCCTCATAAAACATCTTATAATTGTTGCTGCTGAATGCATATGAAAGATTTCAAAATTAGTTGGGTAGCCTGATTGGGTAGCCTGACTTAGCCCAGTCAAGTGGAGCGGCCCGCCTTACGGCCACCTAGGTACTACGGTCGCCTCGTTACTACGGCCACTTTTTTTGGCCACCCGACAAAACGGCCATACATTTTCTTGTAAAAAAAAACCCTGGTTTATACGGTCACCCATTGAAACGGCCAAATGTTTTGGCCCATTGGTACATGGTGACCGTATTATCGGGGTGGCCACTGTACTCTCGATCTCGATCTGTGTTCAATCTTGGGCTACCTTTGGTTTGATGAATATTTTAAAAAGTTCATGCTTTGTAAACAGATTATCATTTCTCAGAAATAAAGGTTATTTTTGGATTCCCTCAGGTCGTCAAAAATTTAAACACCTCAAGACACCATTTGATTCGTTGCCAAAATATACTTTAGTCTGGGTCAAAAGACAACACTTCTTTGTTGCGGTTTCTGGGAGTGCCAACCGACTACGTCTCAGAGTATTTTAAATCTTAATTTGCTTTCCATCTTCTTCATGGATATAAAGACCTTGCTGGACAATCTTCATGATGAAGTATCCTGTTCTGTGTGCATGTGTACATTCACTGATCCAAAGCAGTTGCCTTGTTTGCACAGTTTCTGTCTTCACTGCCTGAACGGAATTCAACGAACGAGCGGCGTCCATGGTAAAATTACATGCCCCGAGTGCAGGAGACAGTTTCAAATCCCTGGAAGTGGAAATCCGAGCGAACTTCCCACTAATTTTCGTATCAACAGTTTGCTAGATGTCTTGGCAATAAAAGAGTGCAGCACAGCTAACGTGAAATGCGGAAATTGCAACAAACGGAGCGCCCAGACCTTATATTGCTTCCAGTGTTGTTCTTTCTGGTGCGACGAATGTATTTTAGCACATAACATAATACGCACCAATAAAGAACACAGAACGCTGGCACTGAAAGATTTTCAAGATCAGGACATCGAGGCCATGTTAAAGAGACCGGCATTTTGTCAGAAGAAACGACATGAAAAAGAAGAGTTGAAATTCTTTTGTAAGGACTGTAGAGTCGCCATTTGCAACACTTGTGTTGTAACACTCCATGAAGGTCACGGAAAGATGCTTTTGGAAGAGGCTACAGACGCGCGCAAGACTCAGATCAACTCCATGACTCAGTCTTTAATAGAAAAAGCACGAGAAAAACGAAAAGAACTCGAGCAATTGAACCAAAACAGCACGGACATTAAACTGCAAGTTGCCGACTTTAAAAGCCAAGTGCAGACACATGTGGATCAAGTTATTGCAATCATCGAAGCGAGGAAACAGGATGTTTTTGATGCAGTTGATAATCAAGCGAAAAAATCACTGGAATCTCTCTCAAAGAAAAAAGACGAAGTTGAAAATCAAGTGAAATTAATTGAATCGGCAGTTGAACAAACTAAAGCTCTTGTGAAACGAAGCTTTAGTACTGAAATCCTTGGATTCAGTGAAACATTTAATACAATCTTAACGGAACAGGTCACCCAAGGAAACCGTGACACTGAATGTATTCCTCGGTTTAGTTTCATTAAAAGTGAAAAACTGATGAACGTGTTGAACAATGAAGGGATAGGTAATGTAAAAATTGTTTTAAGCGAAACTAAAGCACAACAATCAGGAGCTAAAGTTAAAGAAAGTAGTAAAGTAATTGCTGGGAATAAAGGGGCAAATGTTCGTGACAGTCCTCTTGAGACTCAAGTACAAACCAGGCGCTTCAGATCTGTGCTGTCATTTGGACAAAAAGGTGAGTCTGTTGGAATGCTTCACGGGCCCTGTGGGGTGGCAGGGAATGATCAGGATGAAATTGTTGTGGCTGAGTTCTTGAACCACAGGGTTTCAGTGTTTAGTAGTGACGGTACCCACTTAAGATCGTTTGGTAGATGGGGTTATAATAATGGTGAGTTCCAGTGCCCTACAGGGATCGCTTTTGATAGTCATGGCAATATTGTAGTGGTAGACTCTAATAACCACAGGGTGCAAGTCTTTGATAGGAATGGTAACTTTCGTAGTAAGTTTGGTGAATATGGAAGTGGTGATAATCAGCTTAAACTCCCTCACGGTTTATCAGTAAACGGTCACGGTGATATTATTGTTGCTGATAGCAATAACAAATTAATCAAGATATTCTCCTCTAGTCGCAACTATTTGCGTAAGTTTGGTGGAGCAGGTTCATTGGTCACTCCCATTCACTGTATCCAATATGGTCAATATTTTATAGTCTCAGACTGGGGTGATCATTCCATTAAGATGTTTGATCTTGAGGGAAGATTTATTTCTAAATTTGGAAAACAGGGGAACAAGGATGGAGAGTTCAATCAGCCCCGTTGCGTGTCAGTTAACAAAGAAGGATTGCTAATGGTCTGTGATTCGCAAAATCACAGAGTTCAAGTATTTGAACTGAGTGGAAAGTTTGTTACAAAATTTGGAAGTGAAGGTAGCGGGAGAGGAGAGTTGAAGAATCCATTTTCTACAGCAATTCTTAGTGATGGAAGAATAGTTTTGTGTGAGTGGCATAACAATCGAATCCAGGTATTTGAACATACATGAAATAATCTATAACCTGCGAATAAAACCGTCTCTCCTCCCTCCTCGTAGTTAGGGACCTTTAGCGGAAAACATCTTTGCCGCGAAACTTCCTAATAGCGGCGAGGAGCGAGGATAGACAGCCGTATTCACCGCCGGCTTGAAATAATCCTCTCTTTGATGAAGTAAGACTTGAGATTCAGGTCCCGGCATTATATATTGATCATTAGCTCCACAGTTCATGTTTCTGGAGGAATCATTTTTGGGCGATTATTTTGTTTAGACATTTTGATATGTCGAAATTGGCGTATTATGTTCTACTTGTAAATATATTTTATCCGTAAATGATATGGATCAGTCCACTGTCGCGTAAAAGTTGAGTTTACGCCGGCGCCACCTTCCTTGCATTGCCTCTATTTTATTAGCCTGCGAACCGCAGACGCATTTCCGGTCGTCGCTTCTCTCCCTCCGATTTTTCGGAGGGAGAGAAGCGACGACCGGAAATGCGTCTGCTGTTCGCAGGCTACTATTTTATTTACACGCGTAAATACAATACTTAGAAAGAAAAACTGCAGCATATATTGAATTGACTAAATCCAAAAAAAGCAATTAATTGAGATAATTTTCTCTTACATTGTAATCTCACATTATTGCTAAATAAATTAGCAAATACTTATATCTAGAAATATTATACTGTTTAATATTTACATACACTTTTGAAAGTGTGATTTTTGAATGGGTTTTAACCTGTTCAATAGCGAGGATAACCTGAGTTGTCAATTTTATATGTAAACGGCTTACTTTTACTTACCTTTTTTCAGTTGTAGCAGACGTACATATTTCTCAAAAAGTAAAATGCTATTCCCTGTAAATAACTCAAGTGGATTATTTTTGTCTAAAACAACAGTGTAAATGCTTTGTTCCTTGTATTCAATGTCTCCTAATAGTCAAAGGCCGATTTAGTGGGGGAGTGGGGACGAGGAAGCCGCGAACACTCCATTTTTCTTTGAAATTTTGTATTGCATCAGTCAATCCCACCTGCGCCCAGGGCCCTCCCCGGGCAAATTCCCGGGGGTGGGGGCTCTTGAGCTGTCAAATCCCCCGGGGTGGGGACGAAAAAAGAGGGCAAATGCCCCGTCCTCCGTCAACACTGCAACATTTTTCATTGATCGCACAGTCAAATAGTGCCGTTTTAAGCATCTTAATGTGCGATTTTTTGGTTTAATTAAAGTCTTCCTTTGTAATAGCGCGAGGATTCTAATTAAGACTTCACGCCGCGACGACATGCACCAGTTTATGGTTTTAGTATTGATATAAAATTATTGACATTAAAATTAATAGAGCGCTGTAAAGTTATATGTTATGAATAGTTTTATAAATATGAAAGGATGTTCTTCGAACAATACCAACAGAAATTTGATTCAATAACCAAAAAACGTTGATTCACATCGATAGCTCCAATTTCGCTACGTAATTCTGGCTTGATAAGCAATGAAGAAATGCATACATACATGTCAAATCGAGAACATGCCTTTACAACAACCTACAATTTATTCCTATACTTGACAAATGAGTCAATATGCTTTTCTTCCAGTAAAACCTTCTTTGTAGTTATATAGGAAACCGCTTGCATGTCAAAAGCTCGGGATTGGCCCGGGGGCTGGCAAATGCCCGGCCCCCGGGCAGTGCAACGCGCCAAGTGCAGACGAATGTGGATCAAGTTATTGCAATCATCGAAGCGAGGAAACAGGATGTTTTTGATGCAGTCGATAATCAAGCGAAAAAATCACTGGAATCTCTCTCAAAGAAAAAAGACGAAGTTGAAAATCAAGTGAAATTAATTGAATCGGCAGTTGAACAAACTAAAGCTCTTGTCAAACGAAGCTTTAGCACTGAAATCCTTGGATTTAGTGAAACATTTGATACAATCCTTCAGGAACAGGGCACCCAACAAAACCGTGACACTGAATTTATTCCTCGGTTTTTTCACTAAAAGTGAAAATTGATTAACGTGTTGAATAGTGAAGGGATAGGTAATGTAAAAATTGTTTTCAGCGAAACTAAAGCGCAACAATTAGAAGCTAAAGGTAAAGAAAGTAGTAAAGTAATTGCTGGGAATAAAGGGGCAAATGTTCGTGACAGTCCTCATGAGGCTCAGGTACAAACCAAGCGCTTCAGATCTGTGCTGTCATTTGGACAAGAAGGTGAGTCTAGATCTGTTGGAATGCTTAACAAGCCCTGTGGGGTGGCAGTGAATGATCAGGATGAAATTGCTGTGGCTGAGTTCTTGAACCGCAGGGTTTCAGTGTTTAGTAGTGACGGTACCCACTTAAGATCCTTTGGTAGGAAGGGGCAGAATAATGGTGAGTTCCAGGGCCCTGAAGGGATCGCTTTTGATAGTCATGGCAATATTGTAGTGGCAGACAGAGGAAACCACAGGGTGCAAGTCTTTGACAGGAATGGTAACTTTCTTAGTAAGTTTGGTGAACAAGGAAGTCTTGATCATCAGCTTCAATACCCTGAAGGTTTATCAATAAACGGTAACGGTGATATTATTGTTGCTGATAAAGGTAACAAATTAATCAAGATATTCTCTTCTAGTGGGGAGTATTTACGTAAATTTGGTGGATCAGGTTCTTTGGTCAAACCCTTTCACTGTATCCAACACGGTCAATATTTTATAGTCTCAGATGCTGATGATCATTCCATTAAAATGTTTAACCTGAAGGGAAAGTTTATTTCTAAATTTGGAAAACAGGGGAACAAGGATGGAGAGTTCAATTGGCCCGCTTATTTGTCAGTTAACAAAGAAGGATTGCTAATGGTCTGTGATTCACAAAATCACAGAGTTCAAGTATTTGAACTGAGTGGAAAGTTTGTTACAAAATTTGGAAGTCAAGGTAGCGCCAGAGGGGAGTTTAAGATCCCAGTTTCTACAGCAAATCTTAGTGATGGAAGAATAGTTGTGTGTGAATTTCATAACAACCGAATCCAGGTATTTGAGCATAAATGAGATAATTTTGCCAGCGAATACAACCGTCACTCCTCCCTCCTCGTCGTTAGGGACCTTTTTCGGGAAACATCTCTGCCGCGAAACTTCCTAATAGCGGCGATGAGCGAGGAGAGACAGATTCGTAGCGTGAAGCTAGAAATAATCCTACCTTTGATGTAAGACTTGAGATTCATCAGTTCAATATTATATATTGATCATTAGATACACAGTTCATATTTCTGGAGTAAAATCAATTTTGTGCGATTATTTTGTTTAGACGTTTTGATGCTTGTCGAAATTGATGTATTATGTTCTACTTGTAAGTATATTTTGCCCACAAATGATATAGATTTCCACTGTCGCGTAAAAGTTAAATTTGAAGCGCGTAAATGCAATACTTGGAAAGAAAAACTGCAATATATTGATTAGATCCACAGTTTATTTTGGTGAAAAAAAAAGCAATTAATTGAGATACTTTTCTCTTACATTGTAAGCTCACACATTATTTAACGATTAGTTCATGCGTCAGCGTGCGTATGTCGAGATATTGAGCACGCGGGAAGTTTGGAGAGCACGAAAGAGGCGTAAGAGTTGCACGAGGCGCAGCCGAGTGCAACTCTAGCCTCTTGAGTGCTCTCCAAACTTCCCAAGTGCTCAATATCTCGACATACGCACAGCTGCAGCATGAACTAATTGTTTTATAACATTATCAAAGCGATCAATGCAGCAGTTAACTTAAATTTTATTATTGTAGGGCGCGCTCAAAGCAGTACGCGTCAATGTGACTATATAGTTTTTTCCTCACAGTTAATCTTATGTTTTTATCCTGAAACTGAGAGAAAGTGTACTCTAAAATGATTGTAAAATCCATATTTAGGTGCCGGAAAACTATTGATTTACCGAAAAATTGTTATTGAGAGAAAACAACTTTGCAAAGAATGATCTCACGCCATAGCCCGCACAGCTCGCGGAGATGACAACAACAACAACACTCACCTCTTTTCCTTACAATCGGTTAACACATTCAAACGTTTCCTCTAAATTTCCTTACAAAACACATGGTAAACGCTTCATTGTCTATTGCTGAGTTATGGATGCACTCAGGAGACAGATTGTTAAGCTCCCAACAACTCGAGGAATTACGAATAGTTTATTGACGTCATCAGCGTGCTCAATAGGAATATGAAGCACGCTCGCGCTGTTGAATTTGATTAGGCGAATTTTCTAGCTATGTTATAATACTAATTTGCAAATACTTTGCTTCATATCTAGAAATGTATTATACTGTTCAATATTTACCTACCGCATTTTTGAAAGTGTTATTTTTTAGTCTGTTTTAACCTGTTCAATAGCGAGCACAGCCTGAATGGTTCACATTTTGTAACTAAACGGCATGTTTTTACTTAGCTTTTTTCAGTAGTAACAGACGTACACATTTCTTAAAAAGAAAAATACTATTCCCTGTCAATAACTCAAGTCAAGCTGATTACTTTTTGCCTAAATAAACAACAGTGTAAACTAAATGCGTTGTTGCTTTATTTTATGTCTCATAACTGAGTCAAGGGCGAATTTACGGGTTGGGGAGGGGGAGGCCGCTGTCACCCCTTTTTTCTTTGAAATTTTATTTCATTTTTATAGAAAATCAGAAAAATAAAAAGTATCTATATAGCTGACAAGTGTCCCGGCCACTCGTGTCTGAATTTTCTGGATCCACCCCTAGAAGCAGCAAAGTCGACAATGCCACTTAATAGCCTTGCTTCTTGTGTCTCGCTTAAGAGAAAAACTAAACAAAGATAGCAGTGGCGTTGGAAATTGCTGAAGGCCACCTCTCCCGGCATTTTGTCTCATGACTGCGCTACCCTTGCTCTCCTAGATACCTTTCCAAAGGCGGCGACATTAAGCAAACCCTTTTGAGGCTTTTCGTCGCGGTTTGTACGCTTTGACTTTTTCACTTGGTAACCTGGCTGGAGATCGATATAACAAAACAATTACGCGTACAAATACTTCAGTTTTGTACAGCATTGGGCACTGACTGGCAAACAAGTCGGGTTTGTTTTTCTCAAAATCGGTTCAGCGTAGTTTTAGCTTTTCTCCCCAGTCTCGCCCTTTTGTGCGATTATGACTCTAGACCTTTTTTTTTTACTGTTCGCGCGGCGTACTTGAATACGCAAAAACAACGTGACTGTTTTGCAGTTTACATTGGGCAGGGGGCAGAGGAAACAAGGGAAAAAGAGGTACAAAATAGTATCCTCCCTACACACTTTTGACGATTGTCCCAAGAGTTGTAGTTGCACCCAACATTCCCTTTTGTGCTCGCTATCAAATAAATGCAGTTTACATGCCTTGAAACTGAAGTGGGAAGGTGTTCTTTGTTTATTATGATCGAAAATTTGTAAGAGAAGCGATGAAGGAAATGAACCAATTAGAGTCGGGGAATTAACCGAAACTATTTCATGATTGTAGGTTTCATTACAGTAATTGTTCTAATTGAAGCTCCTGTTTTTGGCTTTGTTTTGACTCCTGTTTTCACTCGTGCCAAGTCGTCTTTGCATAACACGCGGCGGGAGCAGGGGGTGATCACACCCCTTGCGCCACTAAGGAGAGACAGACACGACCGGGGACGGGGCAGCATCCGCTTAATTTTTAACAACAACAACAACATCAACAGCGACGACAGTTTACCCAATTTGAAAAATAATTTATGACCGTGTTACCCACAATTAGCAAAGCTATTCCAGGTGGGTAACACTGATAAAACAACAGTCGCCTTGAGTAAATACAAAGTTCTAAAAAAAAAAAAGTGCGTAAAGCAGATTGTAGCGGAGACTTGAGGGTCCCTCCTGTTCAAAGTTGATCGACCAGAATCGGTGCCCCTTTCGTGGACGTGCCTTTCTGTTCCTCTAAAGAGTTTTTTTCTTGATCTCACCGGACACGTGCACACCACTGACATCTTAACACTAAAACGTCCCTAGCTGACAGGAGCGAGGAGAGAAGGCTGTGTTCGCAAGTTAGAGAAACCAGACGAAGTGCTATAAGTCTAGTTCAGATGACCAAAAAATAGTCTTCGTTTCCTTGGTCAGTACAGTGTCAGTCGGCGCGAAATCACATCCAGTCTATCTGGCGATAATCCATTCAATTAATTACACATGCAAAAAGTTGATTACGCATGGCAAGAGCTTGTTTGACAGCTCAAAACGATATGTCGCTACAAAGACGGCCTCATTCCAACTGCAGAAATGGAACACTTAGTAGTAGTTTGAATCATTCAAACTGTAGCCTTTTAAAAAGTGAATCTATAGCTACTGAATTGAAAAACAAAATCACGGGTTAGTCGATGTAGTTGATGTAACTCTTTATACGGTTCGTGCGAATTAAAAGTTCTGATAACGTATTCAAAATACATCATCAACTTCTTTTGAATATACATCGAGGTTTTTCTTGTCGAGGGTGAGCCCGTTTAAATAGGTGATTAAGGACGTCAATTTGACTGAGTCGTTATTATTTTTAGGTTTTCCGCCTAGGTATGTTCATGAATCTGCTATACTCGCTTATTTGCTTTAAGCTTTATTTTTTCACAGCGTGTTTTCAGCTTATTAGCTTCACTGCTTAACAATTAATTGCTTTTTTTAAAATAATTTAAGTGAACATGAGGTGGGCCAACTAAGACCAACTAAAACAAAAGAAGCTCTTCCCCTCCCCTCCCCTTCTAACGTTTTATAAAGGTTATCTCTTTGCCCTTACCCACCCCTTCCCCCTGTTCCTAGGCCACCTACCCATCTCTTGACATTTTACGAAAAGTAGAAGCCTGCAAATACAGCTGTCTAAACTGAGAGAGCAGCATTCGCAGGCTCGAAAAGTGGCAGGTAAACAGCAAATACTTGCCGAATACGCCGGTTTGGATAATGATCACAAGAGGTTTTAACATTAACACCTATACAGCCTGGTACAATTCGCTTTATTAATTGTTGTGGTCGCTGCTGATTGAGACACAAAACCTCAATTGACAACTGTCAATCTCGTACTCAGAACTATTGGTCATTCCACACCCTAAAAACATGGGCTGGAAGGGTATTTTCGGGGTTCCTGGATTTGACCAAAATACGGTACGGGATTCAGGAAAAACACAAAATATCTTGGCGGGAAACGGGATTTGATTGCTACCCGGGAAGCGGGATTCACCACAATTTAGGGCGCGGGATGTAGGATTTTTTTCCCTCTCTTTCAGGAACGGGAAATCATGACGACTCAATACGCGTTATTGGCAGCAAATGCGATTTAACAAGGCGAGCGTTCAGTTGTGTCTCCCATCAACTGAGAAAATATATACGGTGATCTGGTTAATGACTGTCTAACTGAAACGTTCAGGTAGTGAACAGACGATCTGAGCGGACACAAGACTCACTATTTCAACCAGATGCCAAGAAAGTGCGCATGGTGCAACAGCAGTCTAATTTCCCTCTATTCTAAAAAAACTCCTGATCGCAGGTTTCCTTATTTATAAGTACATTCATAGTTTTGGCGTTGTTCTTTCGTACAGCCACAGCCGAGTCTGCTAGCGCCAGAAAAGACTATTCCAGGCGCCAGACTAGGTGGGGACAGCGCAAAGAAAAGCAAGCAGAAAAAAAGCGTTGGGGGCTGCCGGAGAGACGGGGAAGAAACCCTCCTCTCGTCCCTCTCTCTCCCAATTTCTTTTTTTTTTCCCTTTTTTTCCCTGCTCTGTTGTGCGCCACTTTGAAACAGGCTAGCGTCAGGACTAACAGCACGATCCAAAAAGATTAAATGTTTTTTATCCCGCTACGCAATGAACACAAAGAGCTGTAGAGATTCCATTATTAGAGGAAATAAGGTAGCTGTATAACTGATGCGCTCAATGGGTAGCTAAGAATTTCACGATCAGGCGCGGATCCACACCGGCTTCTACCGTTTTATGAAAATCGGTCAGATTTTTCGTAAACAAATAATCTTTTCATAAAAAAAAAAAAATTTTCCAAGTCGAAATCTGGCCAATATCCGGTCTGAATGACTCAGAAACCCAGGAAAGAGGACTACAGAATGTTAAAATCCCCCCAAAATTCCCGTTTCCATTTGGTGCAAGTTCTGGATCCACTTGGAAACTAGGAAATCGGTCAGTATTTAAAGACCCGAGCTTGCACGTGTACAGTTTATCCGAATCAGTGATGTAAATTAAAATATTATCTGAGAAGTTTAATAAAATATTTTAATAATCCATGCTTTAAAAACAAGCCGATTAGAGGTAAAGGATATTTTTTATTTTTGGAAATACGTCAGAACATCAAAACACGTCAAGCAACTTCATTTAATTGGCTAATAAAATAAAGGTTAGTCTAGGTCAATAGTTTGGAAAGAAAAGGCTTTCATTATTCTTAGTTTCGCATAGCCGCCTCCTCGATCATCGACAACCACACCTCAAATTTCAAAACTTTCATCTTTGTTCTCGACCTTTTCCATGGATATTAAGACCTTGCTAGACAATCTTCATGATGAAGTGTCCTGTTCTGTGTGCATGTGTACATTCACTGATCCAAAGCAGTTGCCTTGTTTGCACAGTTTCTGTCTTCACTGCCTGAACGGAATCACGAACGAGCGGCCTCCATGGCAAAATTACATGCCCCGAGTGCAGGAGACAGTTTCAAATCCCTGGAAGTGGAAATCCCAGCGAACTTCCCACTAATTTTCGTATCAACAGTTTGCTAGATGTCTTGGCAATAAAAGAGTGCAGCACAGCTAACTTGAAATGTGGAAACTGCGACAAACGGAGCGCCCAGACCTTATATTGCTTCCAGTGTTGTTCTTTCTGGTGCGAAGAATGTATTTTAGGACATAACATAATACGCACCAATAAAGAACACAGAACGCTGGCACTGAAAGATTTTCAAGATCAAGACATCGAGGCCGTGTTAAAGAGACCGGCATTTTGTCAGAAGAAACGACATGAAAACAAAGAGTTGGAGTTCTTTTGCAAGGACTGTAAAGTCGCTATTTGCAACACTTGTGTTGTAACACTTCATGAAGGTCATGGTAAGATGCTTTTGGAAGAAGCTACAGACGAGCGCAAGACTCAGATCAACTCCATGACTCAATCTTTAATAGAAAAAGCACAAGAAAAACGCAAAGAACTCGAGCAATTGAACCAAAAGAGCGCGGACATTACACTGCAAGTTGCCGACTTTAAAAGACAAGTGCAGACGAATGTGGATCATGTTATTGCAATCATCGAAGCGAAGAAACAGAATGTTTTTGATGCAGTCGATAATCAAGCGAAAAAATCACTGGAATCTCTCTCAAAGAAAAAAGACGAAGTTGAAAATCAAGTCAAATTAATTGAATCGGCAATTGAACAAACTAAAGCTCTTGTGAAACGAAGCTTTAGTACTGAAATCCTTGGATTCAGTGAAACATTTGATGCAATCCTACAGGAAAAGGGCACCCAACAAAACCGTGACACTGAATGTATTCCTCGGTTTAGTTTTACTAGAAGTGAAAAACTGATTAACGTGTTGAACAGTGAAGGGATAGGTAATGTAAAAACTGTTTCAAGCGAAACTAAAGTGAAACAATCAGGAGCTAAAGGTAAAGAAAGTAGTAAAGTAATTGCTGGGAATAAAGGGGCAAATGTTCGTGACAGTCCTCTTGAGGCTCAGGTACAAACCAGGCGCTTCAAATCTGTGCTGTCATTTGGACAACATGGTGAGTCTGTTGAAATGCTTAACCCTACGAGGCCTTGGGGGGTGGCAGTGAATGATCATGATGAAATTGCTGTGACTGACTTCTGGAACCACAGGGTTTCAGTGTTTAGTAGTGACGGTACCCACTTAAGATCGTTTGGTAGGAAGGGTAACAATAATGGTGAGTTCCTGTCCCCTAAAGGGATCGCTTTTGATAGCCATGGCAATATTGTAGTGGTAGACTCTAATAACCACAGGGTGCAAGTCTTTGATCGGAATGGTAACTTTCTTAGTAAGTTTGGTGAACAAGGAAGTCTTGATAATCAGCTTAAATTCCCTCGAGGTTTATCAATAAACGGCAACGGTGATATTATTATTGCTGATAGAAATAACAAATTAATAAAGATATTCTCTTCTAGTGGAAAGTATTTACGTAAATTTGGTGGAGCAGGTTCTTTGGTGGAGCCCTGTCATTGTATCCAACATGGTCAATATTTTATAGTCTCAGATTATGGTGATCATTCCATTAAAGTGTTTGATCTTGAGGGAAAGTTTATTTCTAAATGTGGAAAACAGGGGAACAAGGATGGAGAGTTCAATCAGCCCCGTTCCTTGTCAGTTAACAAAGAAGGATTGCTAATGGTCTGTGATTCAGAAAATCACAGAGTTCAAGTATTTGAACCGAGTGGAAAGTTTGTTACAAAATTTGGAAGTGAAGGTAGCGGGAGAGGAGAGTTGAAGAATCCAGTTTTTACAGCAATTCTTAGTGATGGAAGAATAGTTGTGTGTGATTGGTTTAATAATCGAATCCAGGTATTTGAGCAAACATGAAATAATCTATAACCTGCGAATAAAACCGTCTTTCCTCCTCCTCGTCGTTAGGGACATTTCGCTGATTTCAAACGTCTTTGCCGCGAAATTTCCTAATAGCGGCGAGGAGCGAGGGTAGACGGCTGTACTCACAGCGGGCTTGAAATAATCCTACCTTTGATGAAGTAAGATTTGAGATTCAGGTCCCGCTATAATACATATTGATCATCAGCTCCACAGTTCATTTTTCTGGAGGAATCAGTTTTGTGCGATTATTTTGTTTAGACATTTTGATATGTCGAAATTAACGTATTATGTTCTACTTGTAAATATGTTTTGTCCGTAAATGATATGGATCAGTCCACTGTCGCGTAAAAATTGAGTTTACGCCGGCGCCACCTTCCTTACATTGCCTTTATTTTATTTACGCGTGTAAATACAATGCTTAGAAAAAAAACTGGGGCATATATTGAATTGACTAGTTCCAAAAAAAGCAATTAATTGAGATAATTTTCTCTTACATTGTAATATCACATTATTACTAAATGAATTTGCAAATACTTCATATCTAGAAGTATTATACTGTTTAATATTTACATACATTTTTGAAAGTTTCATTTTTGAATGGGTTTTAACTTGTGCAATAGCGGAGCTAGCAGGGACAGCCTGAGTTGTCAATTTTGTAAGTAAACGGCTTATTTTTACTTACCTTTTTTCAGTAGTAACAGACGTACATATTTCTCAAAAAGCAAAATACTCTTTCGCTGTAAATAACTCAAGTGGATTATGTTTTGTCTAAATAAACAACAGTGTAAATGCTATGTTCCTTGTATTCAATGTCTCCTAATAGTCAAAGGCGGATTTAGGGGCGGGGAAGTGGGGACGAGGAAGCCGCGACCACTCCTTTTTTCTTTGAAATTTTGTATCATTTTTATAGAATTCTCAGTTTATATAGCTGGCAAGTGTCTCGGCCACCCCTTTTTGAATTTTCTGGATTCGCCCCTGCTATTGTATGCAATAACCTGCAAAGGAAAGTCGACAAGGCCACGTAACAACTCGTTTTGCCTCTTGTGTCACTTGAGAAAAACTAAACAAATTTAGCAGTGACGTTGGAAATTGGTGAAGGCCACCTCTCCCATTTTGTCTCATTTACTGCCGGCCACCCAAGCACAGGGTACAAGTGTAATTGGCTGGAATGGTAACTTTCTCAGTAAGTTTGGTGAAAGAGGTGATGACCAGCTTAGTGAACTTGAACATTTCATGATCAAAATACGGTGACAGTAATATTAGGAAGCTTAAGCAACTATGAGGACGACGACGACGACAACTTCAAAAAACAATAGGTTTAATGATCAAAACAACAGCTCTGCACGTGCATCACGCTTTTTAGTACATTTCTTTGACGTCCACTGGACTACGATGTGAAATCTCCTAATTTGACGCTCTATGGAGGACGTGGACATACGACGACGAATTGCCCTTCCTCTTTTTGAACTTGAATAAAATCCTTAAGAATTCAACTCCAGGAAAAGTCGCCTGCATTTGACATATTGAGCGGGTCCAAATAAACGCGATTAAGTTTGAAAGAACGCAAATTCATTTTTTTAGGGACGTTTTCACTGCCGTCGTCTTCGTCGTTGCTTAAGGTCCCTATTATTGTTGCTGATAAAGATAGCAAATTCATCAAGATATTCTGTTATAGAGAGGAGTGTTTATGCACATTTGGTGGAGCAGGTACTCATGTTTACCAATCCCTATCACTGTATCCTACACAGTCAATATCTTATACAGTTGAAACTCTCTACAACAGCCACCTTGGTGACAGAAAAAAGTGGCCATTGTAGAGAGATGGTCGTTGTAAAGGCTGAAACAACAGTGAATGTACGGACAGTCCGCCTAAAAAAAAAAATGGCTGTTGTAAAGAGGTGGCCGTTAGTGGATGTTCAAGTGTAGTCTAAAACTCTGGTTATCATCTCATTAAAATGTTTGATCCTCAGGGAAACTTTGGTTAATTTGTAGAAAAAAGGACCAAGGATGGAGAATTCAACTATCCTCGTTCTCTGTCAGTTAGAAAAGCAGGACTGACTGCTTATGGTCTGTGATTCCACCAACCACGGAACTTAGGTGTTTTAACTGTGTGGAAATTTTGTTGCACTGACAACACTTTTTGTTGTGAGTTATTAAGCCGGGCTGGTTTAGGACAATGTGTAATGCAAGCATCTACAGAACTGTGCCTGGCCTTTCTTGAATTTTTTACTGTTTTAGAAAAAATGGTTTTTTCAACTAGACCCAGTCCCCCAAGGCAGTTTTATCATATCCCAACGCCTTCGCTTTTAAATGTCTAAAAAAGGCCAAGAACAGACTGAAGTGACACATTAAACGGCCGGTATAACAAATGAGGACACAGGAAAAAAAAATTTTGCCGTTTCAAGAACAAGCTTTTTCAGCGTTTTACGTGTCTATATATAAAGCTCTTAGATGTAGACCACCCTCTCACTTTTGACGTGAGCAAATTGAGGCCCATGCCTTAATTTACCCGAGTATTCCGAAACACGGTCAATCGAACCGACGCCCTTAGTCTTCTCAGCAAGATTTCGATGCCCTTGCTTCTCGCCTCTAGCCTGCGGACGCAGACGTATTTCCGGTCGTCGCTTCTCTCCATCCGGGTGGAGAGAAGCGACGACCAGAAATACTTCTTTGTCCGCAGGCTCGCCTCAGGCTCCTAAGAGAAAACTAAAGGAAGAAAGCAGTTTGCTTGGGTGCCAAGTAGGCTAATTCTAATGCGAGTTTGATTTGGAGGTAAAGGTGGGGTCACGTGAAGCTCTCTCTCTCTCTCTCTCTCTCTCCAATCCTCTTCAACTCACTTTTCTCACCGTCTCTTTGCCCCAGTCCCCTTAGAGAACCTGCTCACAGACTATCAACTTATTTCTGGCTCTCGACCCTTGCGAAAAGTGGGGAGGTGAAACAGAATACAAAAACACTTGCAATGTGGGTTCTAAGGCAATCTCGTAGATGATTGCTAGTCACGAAACTTTAACTTGGTTTTAACTGTTAGTGACACACCCTGAAAATAGGCGTTCGAGAGACTTGCCGGGTTACCTTCGGTTTGTAATGACCACAGCTGAAGGCGAAAAGAAAAGGTATTAAAAATATTATCTCAAGATGATAACCATTTTCAACAGCTAGGGTAGTTTTAGTAGCAATATCAGTAAAACTGCTTATCGATGAGCCACTTAAAACTGAAATGATCAAACTTTAGATGCGATGTCCCTTATTTTAGCTGTTTGTTTTTGTTTCACTAATTCAGTTTGCCCTTTTTTCTAATTCCTTTGTTTCAGACTTTCTTTCACCAGCTGTGGTCGTTTCAATAAACCGAGCATAACTTACCTGATTAACTCGGCAAGTCTCGCGAACTTAACACTCATTTTTCAGCGAATGTCCACCACCAAGTTTAGTGCAGAAAATATTGACGATCTATCGATGAGCCTCTCAAACCTGAAACGACCAAACTTGAGATAAGTTATGCCTTCTGTTCATTTTCGTCTCATTCGTTGTAACACCTCACCGCGCAATACAGTGTTGTTACAGTTGTAATATTATAAACCAGAAATAAAGTGATTATGTGGAGCTGTACGTACTAGAGCTAGAGTCAGACAAGTAATCGGGTCAGTAGATCTAATATCCTTTACAGAAAGTGGAGTCTGAAGCTAGAGATTGCAGTTCGTGTCGCGATTCTCAAGCAGGGTCATCTTTGCTTTTCACCTAAAAACTGGTGAGCGATCATTTTCAATTTTCCGATTTTCTCTTCAGGCAATACAAGCTGTTTTTAATTGATATATTCGCAATCGGCGAGTTATTTAATTTGCAAACGAATGGAGAAAATGTACAACTACACCACACTGAGGCTTTTGGCGAGTTGAGAAAAATTCTCCCCCATCATTTAAGAAGAAATCTACACTCAAACTGCAAATGCGCATATTATTCTAATTTCCTTGCTGTGCTACAATGATGGTAGCTAGCTTTGACTTTTTGACTTGGTAAAGAACATAGGAAGCCACCCAAGAATTTTTTGCTCGCGTTCCAAAGGAGTTTAATGTATTCAAATGTATGTTTATTATGATCGAACAATTTGAAGACAGACGAGCCAGCAAGCGATCCAAGCAGTAACCAAAACTATCTCCTATAAAATTTGGGCCAATCATGTTGCAGGGTTTTTTTCGCAATGATCGTTGCAATTAATGGACAAAAAAGGTCGGAGTTTAAATCTAGTACGTAGGTAGAAGCTGCGGGCGAGAACGTCTTCTTCTTCGTACCTGTTTCGCTGTTCGTGAAGTAAGATCTTGTGACCCTTTGTCTCTTTTCTTCCGCTTAATTTCCCATCACGTCGTCCTAGCCTTGTCGTTTTCTCTCCTACCCAAGGCAAATTCTAAGGATTAGCGACGTTGGGAGTCCCCGTTCAAAGTTAATCCACCATAATAGATATCGCACCTTTCTCTGTGAGTTACTTTTTGAACTCCCCGAACGAACAGGTGCACACAACTGACAGAGAAAAGATTTTTTGTTGGAGGTAATACGTTGACGATGAGTTATCTTCATTGACGAATTTTCTATTGCACAACTATTGTTATACTAATGCTCTCGTGAACGAAGCCAGTTTAAAACTTTCAGTTACAATTGTTCACCGCCTATCGTTTTTGGCAAGACAAGCTGCGTATCTTTCCTTCTTCTTTTTCTTTGAAAATTTTTAGGATAAGCAACACGTACTTTCCCGATAACCTAGTACTAGGAGTATTGCAGCACGTGGAAAAGCGTGCGTAGCGAGAGGTCCATTTTGGCTTGTCCTCCGCACATGCCATAGTGTCGACGGCATCGTTTTTCGCTCTTGAAGTTATCTCTGAGGATAACGGAGAGACCAGTGCTAGTACAAGTGTTCTAGTTCGGATGTTTAAAAAAATGGTCTTTCGATGGTTTTCCTTGTCAGCCCCTCGAAACGATATCCAATCTATCTAGTGATAATCTATTCAATTAATTCTACACAAAGTTGCAATTACGCAATAACTTATTCATTCGACAGCTCAAAACGATATTTCGCCACAAAGAATCCGCTAGTTTAACTGCAGAAATGTAATAATCGCAGTTTTAATCAATCAAGCTGTAGCCAGTAGCCGTTAACAAATCTACTGAATTGAACGTAAAACTGATGCCAGCGAGAGTATAATCCTTTGAACAAAATGAAAGAGAAATGAAAGTTTATGAATGTAACGTCAACTTATTTTGAATATACACCCCATTTTACTCGACTTGCCGGCCTCACGAATTTTATGGCAGAAAAGCTGTTAAGCAAGCGGAGCGTGATTTTTGGCAGGTCATTTATAGGAGTCGACACAGATCGATTTGAAAAGCTTTGAAATATTCTAATCTCCACAGTTCTTGGCCCGTAAGTTCATGTACCTGATATACTCAGTCAGACATCCTGGTACAAGTCGCTTTATTGTTGTGATCGCTGCTGTCTAAGACACAAAACCTCAATTGACAACTGTCAACCTCGTACTCAGAGCTATTGGTCATTTCACACCTTAAAAACATGGGCTGGAAGGGTATTTTCGGGATCCTGGATTTGAACAAAATACGGTGCGTGATTCAGGAAAAACACAAAATATCTTGGCGGGAAACGGGATTTGATTGCTACCCGGGAAGCGGGATTCACCAAAATTTAGGGCGCGGGGTGTAGGATTTTTTTCCCTCTCTGTCAGGAACGGGAAATCATGACGACTCAATACGCGTTCTCGGCGGCAAATGCGATTCAACAAGGCGAGCGTTCAGTTGTGTCTCCTATCAACTGAGCAAAATATATGTAGTGATGTGGGTATTGTCTAACTGAAAATTCAAGTGGTGAACAGACGTGCTGAGCGGACAGAAGACTCACTATTTCAACCAGATGCCAAGAAAGTGCGCATGGTGCAACAGCAGTCTAATTAATGAAATTTTCCTTCTATTCTAAAAATACTCCTGATCGCAGGTTTCATTATTAATAAGTACATTCATAGTTTTTGAGTCGCTCTTTCGTACAGCCACAGCCGAGTCAGCTAGCGCCAGAAAAGCCTATTCCAGGCGCCAGACTGAGTGGGAACAGCGCAAAGAAAAGCAAGCAGAAGAAAAAGAGTTGGGGGCAGGGAGAGAGGGGGAAGAAACCTTCCTCTCTCCCCTCTCTCCCAATTCCTTTATTTCGCTTTTTTTCCTCCGCTCTATTTTGCGCCACCTTGGAACAGGCTAGCACCAGAAGTAACGCAGCGATCCAAAAAGACTAAATTTTCTTTATCCCACTACGCAACGAACACAAAGAGCTGTAGAGATTCCAGAAGCAGTTTAAAAACTTCAGGGCGTTAAGATGTTACACGATGACGATCAGCGCAACGAGGATTTTTAGTGCAATGCACTAGCATTACAACATATTGCTGTGAGTTTCGAATGGTTGCAACATTGTTTCAACATTCCAACACCGTGTTGCGCGAAAAATCGCCCTTGCGAATCGTCTCGTGTAACACTACCTTTAGAGGAAATCACAAAGAGTAAAGGCCTAAGTGACTTTTCTCAATGAGAACGCAAGTTGTGTGTCAATATGAGTTTGACACACTTATCCATGTCATCCAGGGAAGCCGTGGATGCTAGCTATTCTCAGGTATTCGATATAGTAACTACTAGATGTCGGTAGGCACACGTGCTGGACGGCATATCACGGTTAATGTATGGTGCTCTTTCGTCGTACTCCGATATAAAAAGCCATTTGTTTTATGGAATGGCATTGGCATCGCAAATCGTAAGGACCAATCTAAATCTTACACTTGTTAGCTTTTGTAGCAAAATCAGTCTTTTCTAACGAACGTCTCGGGTTTGGACACAAAACACAGGATACGGAAAAGCGATGAAACGTAAAGAAGTGCAGGATGCGGGATTAACGTGAAATAGTACCGGGAATAAGGAATCAAGATCCCGCCTCCCCAGCCCCCTTCCAGTCCCTGTAAAAATGGTCATTCCGGAAACACTAGTATCATGTCGGTCAACTTTTTTTTATTATGACTCATTTAGTGTCCGAGTGATCATGATTTAGACGATTTGGCTTGCACGAGATTATTCCCCACCCTCACCCGTTTGCTGTATCGGCCGGCGGTTCCAACAAGAATATAATTCAAAACCACTTAAACATAGCATTGATCAACGTATTCTCGTATTTAAATGGTAGATATAGGCATACTTTTATCTCCTAAAATTTTTTCCACTGTTCGGATTTCCTGGCTCAAAGTCTAGTGATCCGAAAATTATAGGGACCCAGCCTAGTCCCTAGGCGTTCTCGGCTCGGTCAATCCTGGATGCTACCCTGAGCTGTGACGTCACCGAGAGATACTCGCGCGGAGAACGGGGCTAGACAGAACGCCTAGGGACTAGGCTGATAGGGACCAAAACTTACCTTTTCGACAATTTCAGCCAGAAAAAAGGCTCCCGAAAATTCTAGGTGACCATTTTGGGGTAAAAATCCGTTAAAAATGGGCAATTATACCATTTTTCATATGTTCGAAAATCCTAGGAGAGACACGCAAGCAAAAATGCTAGATCTCAAATCGTCTTCCGAACAGATATTTTCCGAAAATTGACGTTGGGTGCCCCTGTTTTTATTAGGGAGCTTAAGCAAAGGCGTTTTTGAGCGATGCAAGTCAACCGGAAAAGAGAACTTTTCCCTTGATTGCCTGTTGACGATAGCAATTTTGAACTACTTAGTGTCTTTACTCTTTTAGAGGCGATTTGCTCGAAAAATGATGAGCAAAACCACAGCCCAAACATGCAAAAGGTCCACTTGCGGTTGACTTGCATCGTTCTAAAACATCTTTACTTCAGATTTTCTCTATTTTCAAACGCCACGCGCCCTCGACGAGCTCTGTAGGGAAAAAAATATCTGTAAAGTGGCTATATCACAGCACAGAGTTCAAGCAAAAGCTAATAAAATGATGATCTATTATTGGTGTTTTACAGTATTATGGCCATTGTTTTAAATTACCGTTTTTCCTCGAATAATAGCCGGGGGCAATTATTTCTTTTTTCGCAAAAAAAGGGGGCGAGATTATTAGTCGAGGGAAGGCGATTATTTCAAATATTGCTCACTGGAAGTCGTGCCCTAAATATTTTGTTTTATTTTCCCGTTAAATAAAAAAATAATCACGCCAAACATTTTAATGTTACAAATTTAATTCCTTGATTAATTTTCAGAGCTGGAATCGTCACTGATCTCATTAGACGAGGTTGCTTCAACCTGACAGGGAGAGGATAAAAGGAAGAGAAGACGGCGAGAGGGGCGGGAGAGGGGCGATTATTCGAGGGAGGCGATTATTTTAAGTATTTCCGTCAAAGGGGGGCGATTATTCGAGGGAGGCGATTATTTTAAGTATTTCCGTCAAAGGGGGGCGATTATTCGAGGGAGGCGATTGATCGAGCGACGGCTATTATTCGAGGAAATACGGTAGCTGTAAAACTAATGCACTCAATGACTAGCTAAGAATTTCACGATCAGGAGCGAGCGGATCCACACCGGCTTCTACCGTTTTATGAAAATCGGTCAGATTTTTCATAAACAAATATTCTTTTAATAAAAAAAAACTTTCCAAGTTCAAATCTGGCCAACATCCCGTCTGAATGACTCAGAAACCCAGGAAAGAGGACTTCAGAAAGTTAAAATCCCAAAAAAATCCCCTTTCCATTTGGTACAAGTCCAGATCCACCTGGAAGCTAGGAAAACGGTCAGTATTTATAGATCCGAGCTTGCACGTGTACAGTTTATCTATCAGTGATGTAAAATATTATCTGACAAGTTTAATAAAATATTTTAATAGTCCATGCTTTAAAAACAAGCCGATTAGAGGTAAACGATATTTTTTATTTTTGGAAATACGTCAGAACATCAAAACACGTCAAGCAACTTCATTTAATTGGCTGATAAAATAAAGGTTAGTCTGGGTCAATAGTTTGGAAAGAAAAGGCTTTCATTATTATTAGTTTCGCATAGCCGCCTCCTCGATCATCGACAACCACACCTACTGTATTTCAAAACATTCATGTTTGTTCTCGACCTTTTCCATGGATATAAAGACCCTGCTGGACAATCTTCATGATGAAGTATCCTGTTCTGTGTGCATGTGTACATTCACTGATCCAAAGCAGTTGCCTTGTTTGCACAGTTTCTGTCTTCACTGCCTGAACGGAATTCAACGAACGAGCGGCGTCCATGGCAAAATTACATGCCCCGAGTGCAGAAGACAGTTTCAAATCCCTGGAAGTGGAAATCCCAGCGAACTTCCCACCAATTTTCGTATCAACAGTTTGCTAGATGTCTTGGCAATAAAAGAATGCAATACAGCTAACGTGAAATGTGGAAACTGCGACAAGCGGAGCGCCCAGACCTTATATTGCTTCCAGTGTTGTTCTTTCTGGTGCGAGGAATGTATGTTAGGACATAACATAATACGCACCAATAAAGAACACAGAACGCTGGCACTGAAGGATTTTCAAGATCAAGACATCGAGGCCGTGTTAAAGAGACCGGCATTTTGTCAGAAGAAACGACATGAAAACAAAGAGTTGGAGTTCTTTTGCAAGGACTGTAAAGTCGCTATTTGCAACACTTGTGTTGTTACACTTCATGAAGGTCATGGTAAGATGCTTTTGGAAGAGGCTACAGACGCGCGCAAGACTCAGATCAACTCCATGACTCAATCTTTAATAGAAAAAGCACAAGAAAAACGCAAAGAACTCAAGCAATTGAACCAAAAGAGCGCGGACATTAAACTACAAGTTTCCGACTTTAAAAGCCAAGTGCAGACGAATGTGGATCAAGTTATTGCAATCATCGAAGCGAGGAAACAGGATGTTTTTGATGCAGTCGATAATCAAGCGAAAAAATCACTGGAATCTCTCTCAGAGAAAAAAGGACAAGTTGAAAATCAAGTGATATTAATTGAATCAGCAATTGAACAAACTGACACTCTGTTGAAACGAAGCTTTAGTACTGAAATCCTTGGATTCAGTGAAACATTTGATGCAATACTAAAGGAACAGGGCACCCAAGGAAACCGTGACACTGAATGTATCCCTCGGTTTAGTTTTACTAAAAGTGACAAACTGATGAACGTGTTGAACAATGAAGGGATAGGTAATGTAAAAATTGTTTTAAGCGAAACTAAAGCGCAACAATCAGGAGCTAAAGGTAAAGAAAGTAGTAAAGTAATTGCTGGGAATAAAGGGGCAAATGTTCGTGACAGTCCTCTTGAGACTCAGGTACAAACCAGGTGCTTCAGATCTGTGCTGTCATTTGGACAAAAAGGTAAGTCTGTTGGAATGCTTAACATTCCCTGGGGGATGGCAGTGAATGATCAGGATGAAATTGCTGTGACTGATTGCGGTAACCACAGGGTTTCAGTGTTTAGTAGTGACGGTACCCACTTAAGATCGTTTGGTAGGAAGGGTAACAATAATGGTGAGTTCCAGCACCCTTCAGGGATCGCTTTTGATAGTCATGGCAATATTGTAGTGGCAGACTGTTATAACCACAGGGTGCAAGTCTTTGATAGGAATGGTAACTTTCTTAGTAAGTTTGGTGAAAAAGGAAGACGTGATAATCAGTTTATTTACCCCATAGGTTTATCAATAAACGATAACGGTGATATTATTGTTGCTGATGAGGGTAACAAATTAATCAAGATATTCTCCTCTAGTCACAACTATTTACGTAAGTTTGGTGGAGCAGGTTCATTGGTCAGTCCCTTTCACTGTATCCAACACGGTCAATATTTTATAGTCTCTGATTACGGTGATCATTCCATTAAGATGTTTGATCTTGAGGGAAAATTTATTTCTAAATTTGGAAAACAGGGGAACAAAGATGGAGAGTTCAATGGGCCCTGTTTCTCGTCAGTTAACAAAGAAGGATTGCTAGTGGTCTGTGATGAACAAAATCACAGAGTTCAAGTATTTGAACTGAGTGGAAAGTTCGTTACAAAATTTGGAAGTAAAGGTAGCGGGAGAGGAGAGTTGAAGAATCCATTTTCTACAGCAATTCTTAGTGATGGAAGAATAGTTGTGTGTGAATTTAATAACGATCGAATCCAGGTATTTGAGCATACATGAAATAATCTATAACTTGCGAATACAACCGTCTTTCCTCGCCCCTCGTCGTTAGGGACCTTTAGCGGAAAACGTCTCTGCCGCAAAACTTCCTAATAGCGGCGATGAGCGAGGAGAGTCAGCTGTATTCGCAGCGGGCTACAAATAATCTTACCTTTGAGATTCAGTTCACTATTATATATTCCGATCATTAATCAGCACCGTTCATGTTTCGGGAGGAAATCCATTTCGTGCGATTATTTTGTTTAGACATTTTGATATGTCGAAATTGGTGTATGTTCTACTTGTAAATATATTTTGCCCCATAAATGATATGGATATCCAGTGTCGCTTTAAAGTTGAGTTTTCGCCGGCGCGACCCTCCTTACATTGCCTCTATTTCATTTACGCCGTAAATGCAATACCTGGAAAAAAATAAACTGCAATAGATTGACTAGATCCACAGATTATTATTATGAAAAGAAAAACTCTGTTACATTTTAAGCTCACAGTATTACTAATTTGGAATTATTTATCTTCAAACTCTGTTCAATATTTAGATACATTCACTGGACGAAAAAACGGATTTACCTCTATAGCAAATTTGGAGCAAATCATCTGCAAATGCCACATTTGCTTAATTTTGCTCAATTTTGCCACATGACATAGGACCAACTTTGCCATAATTTTGCATCAGTGGCAAAGGTGGTAAATGCCGAATTTGCCTCAAATTTGCCCCGTGTGTAAAAACAAGGATAACCTTTACTTTATCAAGGCATTTACAGGGGTGTCAAACTTGATAGCAAAACTGACATTTGTCAGGTTTTTGCCCAAATGGGCAAAAGCGATCGAAGATGAATTTTTGAATGCTTTTTGCTCTCTATAGCAAATTCGGTCAAAGTAGTAATTTGCCACATTTTTGCTCAATGTAGCAAAAGTGACCAAAACTCATTTTTCAACAGTTTTGCCCAGGATAGTAAATCTGAGCAAAAATTCACTTTTATTTGTGTATCGCCCAGTGTAGTAAATGAGGTCAAATTATCACTTCTTCCGTATCTTTGCTCAGTGTGGTAAATATGATCAAAATAGGCGTTTGCCACTGTTTTGCTCAGGGTAGCAAATTTGGCCAAATACCACTTTTTCTCAAGTTTGCTCAGGATGGCAGATATGATCAAAACAGTAGTTTCCCATACTTTTCCCCATTGTAGCAAAGTTCATCAAATATCAGTTCTTCTGTATCTTTGCTCAGGATGGCAAATATTGCCATGATAGCAGTTTTCCATACTTAAAGTAAGGTAAACAAAGTTGATTAAAATATCACTTTTTTACACTTTCACTCAAGATAGCAAATTTGATCAAAACATCATTATCCAGATGTTTCTTATTTTTATTTGGTACCATAAATGACTCACAAACAATTAAGACACCAAACAAAATTTCAAGAATAAAATGACTTTATTATCTTTAATATACACTGTACAATAAAAAGCAAGATAAATTAAAAGAAAGTTCCATTGGCCTCTGCAGGGCACTGCATGTACCACAAAATATATGCCTTTAAATAAAAAGCACATACAATGTGAAACTGTCTAAATTCATAAGTGTATAAGAATGTACATTGGGTTTGAAAGTGCAAGTCAACACTAGCTGGTTCATAATTATCTAAGGTTGGTACAGGTAAAACGTAACTCCATTTGAGTGGTATACTTCAAATATACTCTTTCTAGATTCAATTGATACTATTGGCAAATGGTTGTACGATGACAACAAGTACACATCACTCCCAATGTAGATGTGACATCCTTATTAACGGACAGAACATCAACCACAGGAAATAAAATTAGCCTCAAATTATTATGATAAGCGATATTCCTCTAATTATTATTTATAAGAACTTGTTTTCATCTGATAAATATTATCCACTACCCAAAATAGGCAGTGAATAATATCATATAGTGTACCTAGTGCTATTCACTTACCTCAAGGGGAGATACATCTGTATGATTCATTTTAACCAAATCAGTTATATAAAAATATTTCTTGTAAATAAAATGAGTTACTATCACAAAGCTCTGCATTTCTATGATTTGGGTACGACTTTGATATATTTTTACCCAGCAGTAAACACTTATAAGGTTAATTTTGTCACCTTTTTAGCATGTACATGTATTTTATTTTACAGGTGCTTTATTTACTGCTAAACCTCTAAAACTAGCATGAAATGACACCCCAATATTACTCTCATCCTATAGGTAGCCAAAAGCTTTTCAAGTTATGAAAGCAAATCTGCTATCCACTGATTTGGTTAAATACTTGTATTATTATTATTATTATTAGTAATGGTAACAGGACTGAGTGGAGTCAATTCGGTCTGTAATCATACGGTGATTAACAAAATCGGACGACCGCGTGGCGGAGTCCGATTTGATTAATCACGAGTATGATTACAGACCGAATTGACGACACGGTTCTGTTACCAATTAATCATAACTTTAACAAAATTTGTGATATATAGGGCTCTTTTTAAATCAAAACACAAGAAATTCCAAGATTTTTTCGCTAGCAATGAAAAAAAAAAAGCCATTTAAGTGCGCGCGTGATGGCGCGTACTGTCCAATTACTTAGGCATGACGCGTACTGTCCAATAAAACTGTCCAATTAAGGCTGAAATCAGGGCAGTTGAGAACCAATCAGATTTGAGAATTTTGTTATAGTTATGATTATTATTATTATTATTATTATTATTATTATTATATCACTGTAAATAATATGATTTGGTGAGATTCTTGTATTATTATATGACCATAAATAATTTATTACATTTGTTTTTTTTAACTAAAATCAAATTATTTGCTAAAAATTTGAGCAATTTTTTTCTGATTCACATGATCAGCTGTTTTGCTTGCAGTATTGGACTGATTAAATATCCAAATTATCCAAACACAATCTATACACTATGAAAGCTCTGTAGAACTTCTTTAATTCATCATCATTATTATTGTTATTGGCATGCAGGTGATTAAAATTTAAGCCATGCTTATCAAAAAACTGTTATCACACACGGTATTTTTTTTTTTGCATAAAACATAAATGCACTCTTTTTTCATAAAATATGCCAAGAACAAAATAGGATCATGGCATTTGGAGTCCAGTAATTACTCTACTATGGGGTGTATTGGCTAGATTTAGTCCTCGGAGTGGCACTTTTTAAGGCAGTGCTTAGGGTAGCCCTAGGAATCTGTCACCACTGTGGAAAGTGGATGCAGATGTATCTCCAATTACATATGTTGGGTGAATGGACACGATGACTGAAAATACAGCTGCATTTACAGGCTACTAGATGGAAGGTTTTTAAAATTCAGTTAAGTTGCCAAGTTACAGAGTGATTCGGTGCAAACTAACAAGGACAGCTCTGCAAAGATGGCAAATTTTGCAGACATTTGTCTGGTAAGGGAAAGTTTGTGGCTCCACCATACCATACAAAGGTCATTGAGATTATGTGACTTTGTGTCAACACTTTATTTCAAATCGGACTAATCACAAACAGCGTAAGAACCTAGCCAATCACAAAACGCTGACATACATGCATGTCTTTGTGACCCAGTGGGATTCAAACATGATATTGTGCACTAATTCTCAGACGGCATGCTCTATACAGAAGGTTTAGAGTGTCTGCAACACAGGCAAGATCTTCATTGGATTGTGACAAATCACTTTGAGATTTGGTAATTTACCTAGTTTTAACGTGGCTCCTTCCCATGGGTGTCAAAGGATATTCACTTACTACATTGTAGGTCTTCATCAAAACTCAAAAATTGTGCAATTGTCTACTGAGTAAATATGGTTCTAGGAACTTAACTGAAAAGGAACTGAATCATGATGCATGTCAACTTCAACTTGAGTGTTATTATTATTTTGCACATTTTTATCTAAAATGTCTTCTTCTTTTCTGAATGTTCTTCAAAAATTATCTGTGTTATGCTTATGATCAAGTTCCTTTTTCTATTGTAAGTGGTGGGTGCCAGAGCAAACTCAGGAGCATCGCCTGGTGCTCCTTGATTAGATGCTGGTCTCACTGTGTGCTCTATTACCATTATTTTCACTTCATTGACTTTGACACCATGCAACTTTGCGGTCCAACTGGGCCATTAAACCATTAACCTCAATGCTCTGCCAGGAAAGTGGCCTTACACAGAGATTTTCCCTGTTTGGGAGGTCCTCATCTGAACCTGAAGAATTACCTTCATGCCACTCTGATATAGCTGTTTCAGACAAAGACTCCTCTGATGACATATATGCAACGGACATACATGCAAGGTACTTGTCCTTGTCTGACTAACTGATGCTAGTTGACTCCCTCAGAGCATATTGGCCTTTTAATTTTTTTTTCTGAAAGAAAAATGACGAACCATGATTTAGCAGCCAACAAGTAACCCACAGTTGGTAAACAAGCATATACTGCTCATACTCAGTGTAAATGATTGGGTTGCAGAACAATGACACGATGCTAAAAGCTGAAAACACTCTCTTAATCAAAGGAACAGTTTGAGGATATTTGTGAGAAAAATTTCTCCCTGCATTTTATTCCTACTAACTTTTTCATTAAATATATAATATGTTTTTGGAACAGGTGTTAAAGTAGAGAGCAGAAATGCCTCTTTCTGTTGAATCTGCATTTGTTTCATTAAGACTCTTTTAAGTGTAAATAAAGACTGAAATAAATTAATTCCCCTGTCATTCAAGAGCAGAACTGATAGTGTCCCACAGGTCACCAGGCTCTAACAGAGCACAACCATGACTCAACTGTACACATAAACCGTAAAACCGGTCAGAACCTGAGAAACGTAACATTAAGGCAACCCACATGTTGCTTAGAACAATAATTGATTAATTGTGGTTATTTGGCATGATAAAGCCAAAGCATTTACTAGCAAAATGAACTAACAAAGATCCCTCAACATCATTGAGCTGTACAAAAGGTATAAATAATGAGGTATTGTCGTTTAAAATGTGGAACAGTAATACAGTGGTCACTTGAATGACACTTATGCTTCAGGATCTGGCAAGTGCCATCATTCGCAAAATGAGCCAAAATTAAGATCTCACAATATCACTGACCCATATTTATAAAGCGTAAGAGTTTTGGATGGTACAATTTATGAAAGAAGAATCACTTGTCATTTAAATGTGGAACAATAATGTGGTGGTCACTCAGAATGACACATAGGCTTCAAGATCTGGCATATGCCGTCACCGCAAAATGAGCCAAAATTAAGATCTCACAATATCACTGAACCATATGTATAAGCCATGAGAGTTTTGGATGGTACAATTTATGAAAGAAGAATCACTTGTCATTTAAATGTGGAACAATAAGACGGTGGTCACTCAGAATGACATATAGGCTTCACTCGCAAAATGAAAAAAATGCCGTCATTCGCAAAATGAACCAAAATTAAGATCTCACAATATCACTGAACCATATGTATAAACCATAAGAGTTTTGGATGGTACAATTTATGAAAGAAGAATCACTTGTCATTTAAATGTGGAACAATAATACGGTGGTCACTCAGAATGCCACATTGGCTTCAAGATCTGGCATATGCCGTCACTTGCAAAATGAGCCAAAATTAAGATCTCACAATATCACTGACCCATATGTATAAAGCATAAGAGTTTTGGATGGTCCAATTTATGAAAGAAGAATCACTTGTCATTTAAATGTGGAACAATAACATGGTGGTCACTCAGAAGGACACATAGACTTCAAGATCTGGCATACGCCGTCACTCGCAAAATGAACCAAAATTAAGATCTCACAATATCACTGAACCATATGTATAAACCATAAGAGTTTTGGAAGGTACAATTTGTGAAAGAAAAATCACTTGTAATTTAAATGTGGAACAATAATATGGTGCTCACTCAGAATGATACATGAGCTTCAAGATCTGGCATATGCCGTCACTCTCAAAATGAACAAAATTAAGATCTCACAATATCACTAAACTATATGTATAAACCATAAGAGTTTTGGATGGTACAATTTATGAAAGAAGAATCAATTGTCATTTAAATGTGGAACAATAATAAGGTGGTCACCAGAGGGACACATAGGCTTCAAGATCTGGCAAGTGCGGTCACTCACAAAATGAAAAAAAAATTAAGATCTCACAATATCACTGAACCATATGTATAAACCATAAGAGTTTTGGATGGTACAATTTATGAAATAAGAATCATTTGTCATTTAAATGTGGAACAATAATACAATGGTCACTCAGAATGACACATATGCTTCAAGATCTGGCAAACTTGTGCCATCACTTGCAAAATGAACCAAATTAAGATTTCACAACATCACTGAACCATAATTATGTATAGATGTAAAACAAGAGTTTTTGACTGTAAAAATTTCAAAAGGGAAATCATTTGTCATTTGAAATGTAGTAGAATATTAAATAATAAATTATAGTGACCACTGCTTTGTCAAGTGCTGTCACCTGAAAAGTACAGTAACCCCAAAGATCTAACATATTAACTCAGCTGTGCAACAAGCCAAATTTCTGAATTATGGGCATGCTAAGGTCACATCACCGACTTATATTGGTGTAAAAGAAATGTTTGCCTGCACAGCTCAAGATCCGGCTACTTAAGATTATTCTATTAATGAAGACGATGCGCAACAAAGAGTACAGTTATTTCTGCAGTAAACAAAAAGGAATCAATCAATGGCATATCTGTGCATGCATCTTAAATTCTAAGATTTATCTTTGAGGCTTTCAGCTTACGCAAAGTTATTAGAAAACCAAAGTAAGTAAACGAACCACGATATCAAGAAGAACATACCTTTCTGCAATCCAGCTGAGTTGATATGACTTGGAAACAGGCTTTATGTGAAGAATATCGCAACTGATCACTGTCTCTCGAAGATAACAAGGTATAAATCGTAATAGAACAGCTGAATAGAAAGACAGGCTTTCTATTATCCGAAAATAACAAAACTACTCGTTTTGCAACGCTGTATCGCTTGTGAAGTCCGCGTGAATTTGAACTGTTCAACGAAAGTTTATTTTACACTATTCTATTGGTTCAAAAGCCACACGTGACAATGTAAATCAAATCGCGCATGTGCCAAAGTCACAGGGAAGCCTGGGCAACAAACATGGCGGCTGATCTTGCGACGGAGTGCATTCAGGACTACATTCACCCGGACGATGAAACTCTGCAATCTACTATTGAAATGACTCCTGGGTTCAGACCTTTCACATATTGTGCATTTTGTTCACCCAAATTGTAAATGGTAACGTTTTACGTCAGGGCCTCCTATTCCGAGACTTCTTGTGATATTTTTTTTCCGAGCCACCGACACAATATCAGGAAACGCATTCGACGCTAAACGAAAAAAAAGGGGGGATGGCCTTACCCGAAATAACCAGCTGCAGCAAGTAATATTATAAACTTTGAGAAGAATGTGATGGTGATTGAAACGGAAAATGCAATGGAAAATCAAAACTTGCGTGAAATAACACTATGAAGTTTGGTAAATGTGCAAACGTTGGTTAAAGTGGTCGTAAAGATAGTTCTTTGATCATATTTTGCTTAAATTTACGCCTCTAGTAACCATAAATTTACACATTAACTTTGCTATGCCAGAAAATATCAAGCAAACATTCAGTTTTGACGCTCGATTTTTACACACAGAACAAAATGGTGGCAAATTTGAATCTAAACACCAAATTTACTATGGGGAGCAAAAGTGAAACAAAATATCTGTAAACTTGATATTTACTCCACATTTACGCCACCCTTGCAGAAAAGTAAACTTTCACTTTCGAACAAAATTTGCACCAAGAACAAATAAGTAGCAACATTAGTACCCTAAATTTACAATAGATTTGCTCAACTAGCAAACTTAGGCAAATCCGTTTTTTCGTCCAGTGATTTTTGAAAGTGTGTTTTTTTCAATGGGTTGTTATCTGTTCAATAGCGAGGACAGCCTGATTGGCTCACAATTTTTTTAACTACAAGACTTATTTTTACTTAGCTTTTTCCAGTAGTAACAGACGTACATATTTCTCAAAAAACAAAATGCTATTCCCTTTGTTAATAACTCAAGCGGATTATGTTTTGTCTAAATAAACAACAGTGTTAGTAAATGCTTTGTTCCTATGTATTCAATGTCTCCTAATCAAGGGGGGATTTAGGGGTGGCCGAGGGGGCCGCGGTCACCACTTTTTCTTTGAAATATAGAATTTTTTTATAGAATTCTCAGCAAAATAAAAAGGAGCTTTAGGTAGGCAACTGTCCCGGCCACCCCTTTCTGACTTTTCTGGATCCGCCCCTGCTAATGTGTGCAATAACGTGCGAAGGAAAGTTTACAACGCCACTTAACAGTCTTGCTTCTTGAGTTTCGCATTTAAGAGAAATACTCCAGGAAAAAACTTTATTTAGCAGTGAGGATGGAAATTGGTGAAGGCCGCCTGTCCCCGCATTTTGTCTCATGAATGTGTCACCCTTGCTCTCCTAGATATCTTTTCAAAGGGGGTTACAAGAAAAGCCCTTTGAGTCTTTTTGTCGAGTTGAAATTTATATTGCGGCCGATTTAAGACGAAATGCACACCAAACTCTAGGCACGCATAATTATTCCAAGTTCTTTAGTGCAACTTGTGCGCTTTGACATTTTGACTTTGTAACCTGCAATAATCCCGGACAAAAGAAGTTGGGAAGGTTTTGGATATAACAAAACAATTACGGGCACAAACACTATTAGTCTTGTACAGCATTGAGCATAGACTGCAAAAAAGTAGGATTTGTTTTTCTCAAAATCGGTTTAGCGTAGTTTTAGCTGTCCTCCCCACTCTCGCCCTCCGTGTTCAGCCTGGCTCTAGACCTTTTTTTGACTGCTCGCGCGGCGTCCTTGAATACGCAAAAATAACGTGACTGTTTTGCAGTCTAAATTGGGGAAGGGGCAGAGGAAATAAGGGGAAAAGAGTTAAAAAATAGTATCCTCCCTACACACTTTTGACGATTGTCCCACTTAGGGTTTCAGTTGCACCCAACATTCCCTTTTAAGCTCGCTATCAAATAAATGCAACTTTACATGCCTTGAAACTGAAGTGGGAAGGTGTTCTTTGTTTATTATGATCGAAAATTTGTAAGACAAGCGATGAAGCAAATGAACCAATTGGAGTCAGGGAATTAACGACCGAAACTATTTCATGATTGCAGGTTTTATTGCAATAATTGTTCTAATTGAAGCTCCTATTTCTGACTTTGTTTTGACTCCTGTTTTCACTCGTCCCCAGTCGTCTTTGCATGACACGCGGCGGGAGCAGGGGGTGATCACACCCCTTGCGCCACTAAGGAGAGACAGAGAGACAGAGACGACCGGGGACGGGGCAGCATCCGCTTAATTTTTAACAACAACAACAACATCAACAGCGACGACAGTTTATCCAATTTGAAAATAATATATGACCGTGTTACCCACAATTAGCGAAGCTATTCCAGGTGGGTAACACTGATAAAACAAATAGTCGCCTTGAGTAAATACAAAGTTCGAAAAAAAAAAAAAAGTGCGTAAAGCAAATTGTAGCGGCGACTTGAGGGTCCCTCCTGTTGAAAGTTGATCGACCAAAATCGGTACACCTTTCGTGGACACGCCTTTCTCCTCCTCTAAAAGAGTTTCTTCTTGATCTCACAGGACACGTACACACCACTGACATCTTAACACTAAAACGCCCCTTAAGCTGACAGGAGCGAGGAGAGAAGGCTGTGTTCGCAGGTTAGAGAAACCAGACGAAGTGCCATAAGTCTAGTTCAGATGACAAAAAAAACAGTCTTCGTTTCCTTGGTCAGTACTGTATCAGTCGGCGCGAAATCACACCCAGTCTATTTGGCGATAATCCATTCAATTAATTATACATGCACAAAGTTGACTACGCACGGCAAGAACTTGTTTGACAGCTCAAAACGATATGTCGCTACAAGGACGGCCTCATTCCAACTGCAGAAATGGAACACTTAGTAGTAGTTTGAATCATTCAAACCGTAGCCGTTTAACTACCGAATTGAAAAACAAAATCACGGGTTAGTCGATGTAGTCGACGTAACTCTTTGTACGGTTTGTGCGAATTAGAAGTTCTGATAACGTATTCAAAACATATCATCAACTTCTTTTTCATATACATCGAGGTTTTTTGTCGAGGGTGAGCCCGTTTAAATAGGTGATTAAGGACGTCAATTTGACTGAGCCATTACTATTTTTAGGTTCTCCGCCTTGGTATGTTCATGAACCTGCTATACTCGCTTATTTTCTTTAAGCTTTATTTTTTTCACAACGTCTTTTCAGCTAATTAGCTTCACTGCTTAACAATTAACTGCTTTTTTTAAAAGAATTTAAGTGAACTTGAGGTGGGCCAACTAAGACCAACTAAACAAAAGAAGCTCTTCCCCTCCCCTTCTAACCTTTTATAAAGGTTATCTCTTTGCCCTTACTCACCCCTTCCCCCTGTTCCTAGGCTACCTACCCATCTGTTGACATTTTGCAAAAAGTAGAAGCGCGCCTGCGAATACAGTCGTCTATCCTCGCTCCTCTCCATGGTCTTGGACGTTTGCCTGGCCGCGAAGAGCGAGGAAAATGAGAGAGCTGTATCGGCAGTCTAGACAAGTAGCTGGTAAACAGTAAATACTTGCCTTATGCCGGTTTGGATAATGATCAAAAGAGGTTTTAAGGTAGTCACTTATATCCTTACAGTCGCTTTGTTTTATAGCTGGAAATTTCTTCTCAACAGTGCGCGGTCTCATTGATTGCTTCGAGGTCACATGAAACTGTTTCCCGCCAAAATCTCTGAGCGAGGGAACAATGCAAAAAAATCAAGACGTCAGAGAGTAACAATTTCCAGCTATATTTGTTTCCTCGGTGACCACTCATTAAGTGTTTATTATTGTTGTGATAGTTGCTGATTGAGACACAAAACCTCAACTGACAACCTCGTTGACTGCTACCCGGGAAGCGGGCAGTTCACCAAAATTTAGGGTGCGGGATGTGGGATTTTTCCCTCTCTGTCGGGAACGGGAAATCATGACGACTCAAATACGCGTTCTCGGCGGCAAATGCGACTCAACAAGGCGAGCGTTCAGTTGTGTCTCCTATCAACTGAGTAAAATATATATAGTGATCTGATTAATGATTGTCTAACTGAAATATTCAAGAAGTAAACAGACGAGCTGAGCTGACAGAAGAACCACTATTTCAACCAGATGCCAAGAAAGGGAGCTAAAGGACGCGTGGCGCAATAGCAGTCTAGTTAATGAAAGTTTTCTTCTATTCTGAAAAAACGCCTGATCGTAGGTTACCTTAAGTACATTAATTCATAGTTTGGTGTCGTTCTTTCTTACAGTCACAGCCAAGTCTGCTAGCGCCAGAAAAGCCTATTCCAGAGGTCCTCCGCTCTTTTTATCCCGCTACACAACGATTACAAAGAGCTGTAGAGATTCCAGAGGCAGTTTAAAAAACTTCAGGGAGTTAAGGTGATGTTACACGATGACGATCAGCGCAACGACGATTTTTAGCGCAATGCAGCATTACAACATTTCTGCGGCATTGTTTAGACATTCCAATGCTGTGTTGCGCGAAAAATTGTCCTTACGAATCTTCTCGTGTGGCGTGTGGCATTACCTTTAGAGCAAATCACAAAGAGTAAAGGCCTAAGAGACTTTTCTTTATGAGAACGCAAGTTGTGTGTCAATATGAGTTTGACACACTTATCCAGGTCGTCAAGGGAAGCCGTTTATTCTAACAATTCGCAGGTATTCGATAGTAACTTCTAGTCAGCAAAGAAGGATCACTAATGGTCTCTGATAAAAGAAATCATAAAGTTCATGTATTGGAACTGAGTGGAAAGTTTGTTACAAAGTTTGGAAGTAAAGGCCTAGCTAGTGTGGAGACTTTAGGAATCTAGACTACGAGTAGTCCCCCATTTTTCCTCGGGGATAGTAGAGCGGGCGAAACGCGAGCGCGCGTGAAAATCACCCCCCGCGAGAAAAGGCGATACGCGGCGGGGAGAGAGAAAAATGGTCGCCTTTTCTCGCGTGGGGTGATTTTCACGCGCGCTCGCGTTTCCCTTGCTCTATTATCCCTGAGGAAAAATGGAGGACTACTCGTAGTCTATTAGGAATCCAGTGTCCACAGCAAATATAGTTGTATCGTGTGATATGAATAACAGCCGAATCCAGCTGTTTGATGATCTGGATTATGAATGATACGATTTTAACTTTGTTGCAATTAACTTGAGAATTTGAACTACTATACATTGACCATGAGATCTAGGTTTTATTTTTGTTAAAGTAAACAATTTTGGGTGATGATTTGGTTAATAAATCTTACCATGATATCGAAATTGGTATAGTACTGGCATGTGCGATGTGAAGGCCGGAAGGAAGGGCCAATGAAACACTTCCCCTCTCCTTCTCTTCTACTCCATTTTCAGGCTATTTTATCGCCCTAACCACCCTACCCATCCAAAACAAGAACCGTGTTCATAGGCTGCCAACCCATCTCATGACATTCAAGAAAAGCGAGTAAACAGTAACCTCTTGCATCGATGGATGAGGATAGAGATCGCACGAGGTTTTTAGGTTATCACGTACATCCTGGTATAAGTTACTGACTACTCAGTTAAAGTTGTTGTCCTAGTGTAATTTAAACCCAGTCCCAACTGTTCGTGGTAACTCCCTACAAAGGCGTCAAACACTTTTTAAAAAGAAGTGAACAGTCACTCACGAAAACTCGCGACATGGTTCGAAATATTGCCACTTTAATTTCTGACACGTGATTCTTCTTCTTTCTTTGTTAGAAACTTCAGGGCGTTAAGGTGATGTTCCACGACGAGGATCAATGCAACGATGATTTTTAGCGCAAAGCAGCATTACAACATTGCTAGCGCTGGGACATTGTTTCGAATGGTTACAACATTGTTTTATTAACATTCCAAAGCTGTGTTGCGCGAAAAATCGTCCTTGCGAATCGTCTCGTGTCAGACATTACCTTTAGAGGAAATCACAAAGAGTAAAGGTCTAAGGGACTTTTCTCAATGAGAACGCAAGTTGTGTGTCAATATGAGTTTGATACACTTATCCAGAGGTCATCCAGGGAAGCTGTGGATGCTAATTCGCAGGCATTCGATGGTAACTACTAGATGTCCGTAGGCGCATGAGCTGGACGACCTATCACGGTTAAATGGTGCTCTTTCGTCGTACTCAGATATAAAAAGCTATTTGTTTTATGGAATAGCCTTGGCATCGTAAGGACCAATCTAAATCTTACATTTGTTAGCTTTTGTAGCAAAATCAGTCTTTGTTAACGTACGTCTCCAGTTTGGAAACAAAAAACAGGATGAAACGTAAAGAAGTGCAGGATGCGGGATTAACGTAAAAAAGTAGCGGGAATGATTAAGGAATCAAGATCCCCTTCCAGTCCCTGTAAAATGGTCACTCTGGAAACACTAGTTGAATCACGAAACTTACTCTCGGTTTGAAACTACCAATGAAAGCTAGCATGTCGGTCCACTTTTTTTATCATATGACTCATTTAGTATCCGAGTGATTTGGACGATTAGCGTGCGCGAGATCATTCCCCACTCCCACCCTCTTGCAGTATCGGCCGGCGTTTTTGAGCGATGTTCGTCAACCGGAAGTGAGAACTTTTCCCTTTCAATTGCCTTCACTTGCCGTTACCAATTTTGTACTACTTATAGTGTCTTTACTCTTTTTTAGAGGCGATTTGCTCGAAAATGTTCAGCAAAACCACAGCCCAAACATGGAAAAAAAAAGTCCACTTACGATTGACGTGCGTCCCTCTAAAACATCTTTACTTATTATTTTCTCTATTTTCAAACGTTACGTTCGCTCGACGAGCTCTGTAGGGAAAAAAGGATATTTCAGTGTAAAGAGGCTATATCACAGCACAGATCAGGAGTTCAAGCAAAAACTAATAAAATGATGATCTATCATTGGTGTTTTACAGTATATGGCCATTATTTTAAATTATCTTTTTTCCTCGAATAATAGTCGGGGCAATTATTTCTTTTTTCTCACGAAAAGAGGGCAGTTAATCCAGGGAAGGCGATTATTTGAGGGAGGTAATTATTTCAAATATTGCTCTCTGGAAGTCGTGGCCTAAATATTTTGTTTTATGTTCCCATTAAATCAAAAAATCATCACATTAATAAACTGAACATGGGCTTTTTAAGTGTTCCAAATTTAGTTTGTTGACTAATTTCCAGAGCTTGAATCGTCACTGATCAGTTTTACTGAATCTCATTGCACTTCAACTTGACAAGGAGGGGATAAAAGGAAGAGAAGGGGAAGATGGCGATAGGGACGGGGGAACGGATTCGAGGGAGGCGATTATTAGAGGAAATAAGGTAGCTGTATAACTGATGCGCTCAATGAGTAGCTAAGAATTTCACGATCAGGCGCGAGCGGATCCACACCGGCTTCTACCGTTTTATGAAAATCGGTCAGATTTTTTCATAACCAAATAATCTTTTAATAAAAACATCTTTCCAAGTTCAAATCTAGCTAATATCCTGTCTGAATGACTCGTGCAGAAACCCAAGAAAGAGGACTTCAGAAAGTTAAAATCCAAAAGGATTTCCCTTTTCATTTGGTGCAAGCTCCGGATTCATCTGGAAGCTAGGAAAACGATCAGTATTTATGTATCCGAGCTTGCACGAGTACAGTTTATCTATTTCAGTGATGTAAAATATTATTTGACAAGTTTAATAAAATATTTTTAAAATAGTCCATGCTTTGAAAACAAGCCAATTAGAGGTAAAGGATATTTTTTACTTTTGAAAATACGTCAGAACATCAAAACACGTCAAGACACCTTATTTGATTGGCTAATAAAATAAAGGTTAGTCTCGGCCAATAGTTTAGAAAGAAAAGGCTTTCATTATTCTTAGTTCCGCATGGCCGCCTCCTCGATCATCGACAACCACACCTACTGTATATTTCAAAACTTTCATGTTTGTTCTCGACCTTTTCCATGGATATAAAGATCCTTCTTGGCAATCTTCATGATGAAGTATCCTGTTCTGTGTGTATGTGTACATTCACTGATCCAAAGCAGCTGCCTTGTTTGCACAGTTTCTGTCTTCACTGCCTGAATGGAATTCAACGAACGAGCGGCGTCCATCGCAAAATTACATGCCCCGAGTGCAGGAGACAGTTTCACATCGCTGGAAGTGGAAATCCCAGCGAGCTTCCAACCAATTTTCGTATAAACAGTTTGCTAGATGTCTTGGCTATAAAGGAGTGCAGTACAGCAAATGTGAAATGCGGAAACTGCAACAAACGGAGCGCCCAGACCTTATATTGCTTCCAGTGTTGTTCTTTCTGGTGCGAGGAATGTATTTTAGCACATAACATTATACGCATCAATAAAAAACACAGAACGCTGGCCCTGAAAGATTTTCAAGATCAGGACATCGAAGCCGTGTTAAAGAGACCGGCATTTTGTAAAGAGAAACGACATGAAAACAAAGAGTTGGAGCTCTTTTGCAAGGACTGTAAAGTCGCCATCTGTAACACTTGTGCTGTAACACTCCATGAAGGTCATGGTAAGATGCTTTTGGAAGAAGCTACAGACGCGCGCAAGACTCAGATCAACTCCATGACTCAATCCTTAATAGAAAAAGCACAGGAAAAACGCAAAGAACTCGAGCAATTGAACCAAAAGAGCACGGACATTACACTCCAAGTTGCCGACTTTAAAAGCCAAGTGCAGACGAATGTGGATCAAGTTATTGCAATCATCGAAGCGAGGAAACACGATGTTTTTGATGCAGTCGATAATCAAGCGAAGAAATCACTGGAATCTCTCTCACAGAAAAAAGACCAAGTTGAAAATCATGTGAAATTAATTGAATCGGCAATTGAACAAACTAAAGCTCTTGTGAAACGAAGCTTTAGTACTGAAATCCTTGGATTCAGTGAAACATTTGATACAATCCTGAAGGAACAGGGCACCCAACAAAACCGTGACACTGAATGTATTCCTCGGTTTAGTTTCACTAAAAATGAAAAACTGATTAACGTGTTGAACAGTGAAGGGATAGGTAATGTAAAAACTGTTTCTAGCGAAAAGAAAGTGCAGCAATCAGGAACTAAAGGTAAAGAAAGTAGTAAAGTAAATGCTGGGAATAAAGTGGCAAATGTTCGTGACAGTCCTCTTGAGACTCTGGTACAAACCAGGTGCCTCAGATCTGTGCTGTCATTTGGACAAAAAGGTAAGTCTGTTGGAATGCTTCACGGGCCCTGTGGTTTGGCAGTGAATGGTCATGATGAAATTGCTGTGACTGAGTACTCGAACCACAGGGTTTCAGTGTTTAGTAGTGACGGTGCCCACTTAAGATCGTTTGGTAGGGAGGGTAACAATAATGCTGAGTTCAAGTTCCCTAGAGGGATCGCTTTTGATCGTCATGGTAATATTGTAGTGACAGACAGCGCTAACAACAGGGTGCAAATCTTTGATAGGAACGGTAACTTTCTTTGTAAGTTTGGTGAACAAGGAAGTCTTGATCATCAGCTTCAATACCCTGAAGGTTTATCAATAAACGGTAACGGTGATATTATTGTTACTGATCCGGGTAACAAATTAATCAAGATATTCTCTTCTAGTGGGGAGTATTTACGTAAATTTGGTGGAGCAGGTTCTTTGGTCAAGCCCTATCACTGTATCCAACATGGTCAATATTTTATAGTCTCAGATTGCGGTGACCATTCCATTAAAATGTTTAACCTGGAAGGAAAGTTTATTTCTAAATTTGGAAAACAGGGAAACAAAGATGGAGAGTTCGATTGGCCCCGTTACTTGTCAGTTAACAAAGAAGGATTACTAATGGTTTGTGATGGGGGGAATCAAAGAGTTCAAGTGTTTGAACTGATCATGAGTGGAAAGTTTGTTACAAACTTTGGAAGTGAAGGTAGTGAGAGTGGAGAAGTGAAGTGTCCAGTGTCTACAGCAATTCTTAGTGATGGAAGAATAGTTGTGTGTGAAATGTTTAACAACCAAATCAAGGTATTTGAGCATTAATAAAATAATCTCGCCTGCGAATACAACCGGCTCTCCTCGCTCCTCGTCGTTAGGGACCTTTCGTGGGAAACGTCTCTGCCGCGAAACTTTCTAATAGTGGCGAGGAGCGAAATAATCCTACCTTTTATGTAAAACTTGAGATTCACCAGTTCACCATCATATATTGATCATTAGATCCACAGTTCATATTTCTGGAGAAAATCAATTTTGTGCGATTATTTTGTTTAGACGTTTTGATGCTTGTCGAAATTGATGTATTATGTTCTACTTGTAAGTATATTTTGCCCATAAATGATATAGATTTCCACTGTCGCGTAAAAGTTAAATTTGAAGCGCGTAAATGCAATACTTGGAAAGAAAAACTGCAATATATTGATTAGATCCACAGTTTATTTTGGTGAAAAAAAAAGCAATTAATTGAGATACTTTTCTCTTACATTGTAAGCTCACATTATTACTAATTTGCAAATACTTTGCTTCATATCTAGAAATGTATTATACTGTTCAATATTTACCGACCGCATTTTTGAAAGTGTTATTTTTTAGTGTGTTTTAACCTGTTCAATAGCGAGCACAGCCTGAATGGTTCACATTTTGTAACTAAACGGCATGTTTTTACTTAGCTTTTTTCAATAGTAACAGACGTACACATTCCTTAAAAAGCAAAATACTATTCCCTGTCAATCTGACTCAAGTCAAGCTGATTACTTTTTGCCTAAATAAACAACAGTGTAAACTAAATGCGTTGTTGCTTTATTTTATGGCTCATAACTGAGTCAAGGGCGAATTTACGGGTTGGGGAGGGGGGAGGCCGCTGTCACCCCTTTTTCTTTGAAATTTTATTTCATTTTTATAGAAAATCAGAAAAATAAAAAGTATCTATATAGCTGACAAGTGTCCCGGCCACTCGTGTCTGAATTTTATGGATCCGCCCCTAGAAGCAGCAAAGTCGACAATGCCACTTAATAGCTTTGCTTCCTGTGTCTCGCTTAAGAGAAAAACTAAACAAAGATAGCAGTGGCGTTGGAAATTGCTGAAGGTCACCTCTCCCGGTATTTTGTCTCATGACTGCGCTACCCTTGCTCTCCTAGATACCTTTCCAAAGGCGGCGACATTAAGCAAACCCTTTTGAGGCTTTTCGTCGAGTTGAAATTTATATTGCGGCCGATTTAAGAAGAAGTCCACACCAAACTTCAGATGATAATTATTCCAAGTCGCTTAGTGCGGATGTACGCTTTATCTTTTTCACTTGGTAACCTGGCTGGAGATATAACAAAACAATTACGCGCACAAATACTTCAGTTTTGTTCAGCATTGCGCGTAGACCGGCAAACAAGTTGGGTTTGTTTTTCTCGAAATCGGTTTAGCATAGTTTTAGCGTTTCTCGCCAGTCTCGCCCTCCGTGTTCAGCCTGGCTCTAGACCTTTTTTTTTTTACTGTTCCCGCGGCGTACTTGAATACGCAAAAATAACGTGACTGTTTTGCAGTCTTAATTGGGGAAGGGTCAGAGGAAATAAAGGAAAAAGAGGTAAAAAATAGTATCCTCCCTACACACTTTTGACGATTGTTCCACTGAGGGTTTCAGTTGCACCCAACATTCCTTTTTAAGCTCGCTATCAAATAAATGCAGTTTACATGCGTTGAAACTGAATTGGGAAGGTATTCGATTCTTTGTTTATTATGATCGAAAATTTGTAAGACAAGCGATGAAGCAAATGAACCAATTAGAGTCAGGGAATTAACCGTAACCATTTGATGATTGCAGGTTTTATTGTAATAATGTTAGGGGTGACGAATTGTCTTTGCGAGCATTCGCGAGCATGCCGAGCACTGCGATTTTTTGCGCAGGAAAAAAAAATTTGCTTTGCGAGCAACGAGCAGTTTAGAGAGTACAACTCGCGAGTAGCGAGCACTTCTTATATTTTCCGCTTGCAGCAATCCATACGGAAATCCTTTTCTTTAAAATAAAACAGAAAATATTTTAAAACGGGGTTTTAATTTAGAGCGCACCAAGTTCTTTGAAGCTAGTTTGAGTGACACCTTATCAAGATCTAACCAATTACAGTCGCGTTTGATGCCAAATGACGTCACATTTACGCCCCCTTTACTTCATCATGCTCGTGTTCGTACGGATCAGAAAGCAAAGGTCGCAAGAAGAACAACCATATAGAACAACCATATATAACCTGACCTTATATAGCTAGATTAGCTAATTTATTATTTATCGTTGTCATTTATCGCGTGCATTTCCACTGAACTTGATAGCCATATTTATAGGAATTAAGCATCATACAGAATTACATTTACTTTAACCCAAAGAAGGATTTACAAAATTTCGAGCAATACTGACAAGAAAGCGAGCTTGCGAGCAACTGCAAAAATTTTGGGAGCACGAGCAAGCGAGCACTCGTTTAAATTTTGCGAGCAAATCGAGCAAAGGTAAAATTTTGCGAGCAGTTAAAAATTTTAATGGACCATTCATCACCCTAATGTTCTAATTGAAGCTGCTGCTTTGTTGTAATAAGAAAACAGGAGTTAAACTGATATATTACGTCAAGAGCGTAAAAAAGTATGAGCCAAGGCGTCTTCCATCGAATCCCTTCCCCTAGCTGTCTACAAGTTCGTCCATGAGGTAAGACTTGCCCTCACTTATAATGTCGTTTCTCATAGGCTTGATTTTTAACAACAAAAACATCAACATCGACAACGGTTCATTCAAGTTGAAAATAATTTATGACCGTGTTACACACTATTACAACTGTTAACAACAACTGTTAACTTCGTCCTCAGAACTGTTGGTCATTTCACACCTTAAAAACAGGTAATGAATCACCATCGTGACGGTTATGAATTCATCACCTAAAAACAGGGTGTGGAAGGGTATTTTCAGGATCCGGAATTTGACCAAAATACGGTGCAAGATTAAAGAAAATGCAAAATATCTTGGCGAAAAGCGGGATTTGACTGCTACCCGGGAAGCGGGATTCACCAGAATTTAGGGCGCGGGATGTGGGATTTTATTCCCTCTCTGTCGACAAGGGGAAGTCATGACTACTCAAATACGCGATCTAGCTTCCCATCTCCTTCTCTTCTACTCAATTTTCAGGCTATTTTATCGCCCTAACCACCCTAACCTTCCAAAAAAAGAACCGTGTTCATAAGCTGCTTATGACATTCAAGAAAAGGTAGTAAACATTAACCTCCGTGCATCATGGATGAGGATAGAGATCGTACTACTTAGCTTAAAAGTTATCACGTACATCCCGGTATAATTTACTGACTACCCAGTTAAAGTAGTTGTCCTAGTGTAATTTAAACCGAGTCCCAACTGTCCGTGGTAACGCCCTACAAAGCCGTCAAAAACTTTATAAAAAGAAGTGAACAGTCACTCACGAAAACTCGCGACATGGTTTGAAATATTGCCACTTTAATTCCTGACACGTGATTCTTCTTCTCTCTTTGTTCATCTACGTGATAAAGACGTGATAAACCGTCGTTCATAAAAAGCCATTCATATAATTCATTTCGCTCTTTTAATAGGCAGAATATAATAAATCGATTCTCGTGCGACATCTTGCTATTGTTGCTAAATGCATATGAATTATAACTTAGTCAGTTTGAGTAGGCTAACTTAATTTGCCTACTCTGGATCTCGATCTGATAGTAAGCTTGGGCTACCTGTGGCTTTATAAATATTTCAAAAAGTTTATGCTTTGTAAACAGATTATCAGTTCTCAGAAATAATGATTTTTTTTGGATTCTTCATGTCGTCAAAACTCAAAACACGTCAAGGCACTATTTGATTGATAGCCAAAATAAAGTTTAGTCTGGGCCAAAAGACAAGACCCCTTTGGCGGTTTCTGAGAACACCAAGCGACTGCACCTCGGAGTATTTCCAGACTTAATTTGTGTCCCACTTTTTCCATGGATTTAAAGACCTTGCTGGACAACCTTTATGATGAAGTATCCTGTTCTGTGTGCATGTTCCCATTCTGGAGTATGTAATTTGAACAGTATCAGGGATGACTTGGCCGAAGGTTGATTAATGTATTTCCTCGAGACACAGGGATTAACTACCACGCGTGCACAATCTTGGACAAAATAGACGAAAAAATTAATGCGCCCACCCTCCTGTAAAATAATGGATGAGGATTGGGGGTAGAATGGCGCTTTCCGGCTTTCGCGTGGCTTTTCTGCTCCTGATCTTTGAGCCAACGGGGACTTGATTTCCCAGTTTATTCTGTCCAAGGATTGAACACGTGTCGGTAACGTGTTAAGGGTACACAAATATTCCAACAATTTCAGTAGTCTATGCTTTAGTCTGCCTAGCAAACGTTTCCAAATGAATTAGAGAGAGAGAGAGCTCTTTCATTCCTCTTTTCTGCTCTCGCTCAGACTTTCTTGCCGACCTTGCGCGGAAACTATTGCCGCAGGCAGGTTATCCATGCTTCAAAGAACTGATTAAAAATTCTCGGAAATACAGGATGTTTTTTAATCTTCCGTCAAACCATCAAAACATGTCAAGAAACGCTATTTGATTGGTTAATGATACAGAGTTAATTAAGTCTGGATGACAAGACAAAACTTCATTGTTCCTTTTCAAAGCCATTCCCTAAATCGTCAACAACTAGGCCGAAATTTTTGAAAAGTAACCCTGTTTCCGACCTTTCCATGGATGTAAAGACCTTGCTGGACAATCTTCATGATGAAGTATCCTGTTCAGTGTGCAAGTGCGCATTCACTGATCCTAAACAGTTGCCTTGTTTGCACAGTTTCTGTCTTCATTGCCTGAACGGAATTCAACGAACGAGCGGCGTCCATGGCAAAATTACATGCCCCGAGTGCAGGAGACAGTTTCAAATCCCTGGAAGTGGAAATCCTAGCGAACTTCCCACCAATTTTCGTATTAACAGTTTGCTAGATGTCTTGGCAATAAAAGAATGCAGCACAGCTAACGTGAAATGTGCAAACTGCGACAAGCGGAGCGCCCAGACCTTATATTGCTTCCAGTGTTGTTCTTTCTGGTGCGAGGAATGTATCTTAGGACATAACATGATACGCATCAATAAAGAACACAGAACGCTGGCACTGAAAGATTTTCAAGATCAAGACATCGAGGCCGTGTTAAAGAGACCGGCATTTTGTCAGAAGAAACGACATGAAAAAGAAGAGTTGAAATTCTTTTGCAAGGACTGTGAGGTCGCCATTTGCAACACTTGTGCTGTAACACTCCATGAAGGTCACGGAAAGATGCGTTTGGAAGAAGCTGCAGAAGAGTGCAAGACTCAGATCAACTCTATGACTCAATCTTTAAAAGAAAAAGCACAAGAAAAACGAAAAGAACTCGAGCAATTGAACCAAAAGAGCGAGGAGATTAAACTGCAAGCAGCCTACTTAAAAAGCCAAGTGCAGACGAATGTAGATCAGGTTATTGCAATCATCGAAGCGTGGAAACAGGATGTTTTTAATGCAGTCGATTTTCAAGCGAAGAATATCACCGGAATCTCTCTCACAGAAAAAAGACCAAGTTGAAAATCAAGTAAATATTATTGAATCAGCAATTGAACAAACTTAGTTCTGAAATCCTTGGATTCAGTGAAACATTTGATACAATCTTGCAGGAAGAGGGAACCCAAGGAAACCGTGACATTGAATGTATTCCTTGGTTTAGTTTCACTAAAAGTGAAAAACTGATGAACGAGTTGAACAGTGAAGGGATACGAAATATAAAAGCTGTTTTAAGCGAAACTAAAATTCAACAATTAGGAGCTAAAGGTAAAGAAAGTAGTAAAGTAGTTGTCCGCAATAAAAAGGGGCAAATGTTCGTGAGAGTCCTCTTGAGACTCAGGTACAAACCAGGAGTTTCAGATCTGTGCTGTCATTTGGACAAGAAGGTGAGTCTTCTGGAATGCTTGCAGGGCCCTGTGGTGTGGCAGTGAATGATCAGGATGAAATTGCTGTAACTGAGTGTGGTAACCACAGGGTTTCAGTGTTTAGTAGTGACGGTACACACTTAAGATCGTTTGGTTGGGAGGGTCAGAATAATGGTGCATTCCAGTTCCCTTCATGGATCGCTTTTGATAGTCTTGGCAATATTGTGGTGCCCCCCGCCCCCCAAAAAAAAAAAAAAAATATTGTACTGGCAGACTACGATAACCACAGGGTGCAAGTCTTTGATAGGAATGGTAACTTTGTTAGTAGGTTTGGTGAACTTGGAAGTCTTGATAACCAGCTTAGTGACCCTGAAGGTTTATCAATAAACGGCAAGGATAATATTATTGTTGCTGATAGAGATAACAAATTAATCAAGACATTCTCTTCTAGTGGGGAGTATTTGCGTAAATTTGGTGGAGCAAGTTCTTTGGTCAATCCCTATCACTGTATCCAACACGGTCAATATTTTATAGTCTCAGAGGAAATCAATTTTGTGCGATTATTTTGTTTAGACATTTTGATATGTCGAAATTGGTTGTGTTCTTGGTTATGTTCTACTTGTAAATATATTTTGTGCATATAAATGATTTGGATTTCCACTGTCGGGTAAAAGTTGAGATTACACTGGCGCCACCTTCCTTACATTGCCTCTATTTTATTTACACGCGTAAATACAATACTTGGAAAGAAAAACTGCAGCATATATTGAATTGACTAGATCCAAACAAAGCAATTAATTGAGGTAATTTTCTCTTACATTGTAATCTCACATTATTACTAAATAAGTTTGCAAATACTTCATATCTAGAAATAATATACTGATTAATATTTACATACTTTTTTGAAAGCGTGATTTTTGAATGGGTTTTAACCTGTTCAATAGCGAGGACAGCCTGAATTGTCAATTTTGTCAGGAGCCCTGATTTTGTAACTAAACGGCTTATTTTTACTTACCTTATTTCAGTAGTAATAGACATACATATTTCAGTTTCTCAAAAAGCAAAATACTATTCCCTGTAAATAACTCAAGTGGATTTTTTTTTGTCGTAATAAACAACAGTGTAAATGCTTTGTTCCTTGTATTCAATGTCTCCTAATAGTGAAAGGCGGATTTAGTGGGGGGGAGTGGGTACGAGGAAGCCGCGACCACTCCCTTTTTCTTTGAAATTTTGTATCATTTTTATAGAATTCTCACTTTGTATAGCTGGCAAGTGTCTCGGCCACCCCTTTCTGAATTTTCTGGATTCGCCCCTGCTAATGTATGCAATAACCTGCGCAGGAAAGTCGACAAGGCCTCTTAGCAGCTAGTCTTGCTTCTTGTGTCACTTGATAAAAACTAAACAAATTTAGCAGTGGCGTTGGAAATTGGTGAAGGCCACCTCTCCCATTTTGTCTCATTTACTGCCGGCCACCCAAGCACAGGGTACAAGTCTAATTGGCTGGAATGGTAACTTTCTTTGTAAGTTTGGTGAAAGAGGTGATGACCAGCTTAGTGAACCTGAAGATTTCATGATCAGTAAACGGCGACAGTAATATTAGGGATCTTAAGCAACTACGACGACGACGACGACGACAACTTCAAAAAACAATAAGTTTAATGATCAAAACAACAGCTCTGCACGTGCATCACGCTTTTTAGTACATTTCTTTGACGTTCACTGGACTACGACGTGAAACCTCCTAATTTGACGTTCTATGGAGGACGTGGACATACGACGACGAATTTCCTTCCTCTTTTTGAACTTGAATTACACTCAACTCTAGCCTTGCGGACACCCCGCTATAACGGACACCCCGATAATATGGACAGCAGCTAAATCCCCAGTAAAAACAAATTACAGATGTTTGACTGAAATCAACTCCCGCTATTAAGGACTCTCGCTAATGAGTACACCAACTAGAGGTCCTTACAGTGTCGGCTATAAAGGGAGTTGACAGTAAATCCTTACGAATTCAACTCTAGGAAAAGTCGCCTGCATTTGACATATTGAGCGGGTCCAAATAGACGCGGTTAAGTTTGAAAGAACGCAAATTCATTTGTTTTAGGGACGTTTTCACTGCCGTCGTCTTCATCCTTGCTTAAGGTCCATATTATTGTTGCTGATAAAGGTAACAAATTCATCAAGATATTCTGTTATAGAGACGAGTATTTATTCAAATTTGGTGGAGCAGGTACTCATGTTTGCTAATCTCTATCACTGTATCCTACACAATCAATATCTTATACAGTTAAAACTGTCCACAACAGTCCGCCTAAAAAAAATGGCCGTTGTAGAGAGGTGGTCGTTAGTGGATGTTCGAGTGTAGTCTAAAACTATGGTTATCATCTCATTAAAATGTTTGATCCTGAGGGAAACTTTTGTTAATTTGGAAAACGGGACCAAGGATGGAGAATTCAACTAACCTCGTTCCCTGTCAGTTAGAAAAGCAGGACTGAGTGCTTATGGTCTGTGATTCCACCAACCACAGAACTCAGGTGCTTAAACTGTGTGGAAAGTTTGTTACAACGACACTTTTTGTTGTGAGTTTTTAAACCGGGCTGGTTTAGGACAATGTATAATGCAAGCATCTACAGAACTGTACTTGGCCTTTTTTGAATTTTTTACTGTTTAGAAAACTTTACGGTTTTTTCAACTAGACCCAGTTCCCCAAGGCGGTTTTATCATATCTCAACGCCTTCGCTTTTAAATATCTAAAAAAGGCCAAGTACAGAAGTGATATATTGAACGGCCGGTAAAACAATTGAGGACACAGGAAAAAAGTGTTGCCTTTTCGAGAACAAGCTTTTTCAGCGTTTTACGTGTCTACATATAAATCTCTTAGATGTAGACCACCCTCTCACTTTTGAAGTGAGCAAATTGAGGCCCATGCTTTAATTTACCCGAGTAATCCGAAACACGATCAATCGAACCGACGCCCTTACTCTTCTCAGCAAGATTTCGATGCCCTTTCTTCTCGCCTCAAGCCTGCGGACACAGACGTATATCCGGTCGTCGCTTCTCTCCATCCGGGTGGAGAGAAGCGACGACCAGAAATACTTCTTTGTCCGCAGGCTATCTCGCCTCAGGTTCCTGAGAGAAAACTAAAGAAGAAAAGCAGTTTACTTGGATGCTAAGTAGGCTTCTAATGCGAGTTTGATTTGGAGGTTAAGGTGGGAGCACGTGAAGCTCTCTCTCCCCAATCCCCTTTAACTCTCTTTTCTCTCCGTCTCTTTGCCCTAACTCCTTAAAAACCCGCTCACAGACTATCAACTTATTTCCGGTTCTTGACGTTTAAGAAAAGTAGGGAGCAAACCAGGTCCTGGAGCAAACAGAATACAAAAACACTTGGATTGTGGGTTTTGAAGGTGATCACGCGGTTTAAAGGCAATCACGTAGATGGCTGCTAGTCACGAAACTTTAACTTGATTTTAACTGTTAGAAAATGAGCGTTCGAAAGACTTACCGAGTTACCTTCGGTTTGTAATGACCACAGCTGAAGGTGAAAGGAAAAGGTATTAAAAACATTTTCTCTTGACATGACCATTTTCAACAGCTAGGGTAGTTTTAGTAGCAATATCAGTAGAAATGCTTATCGATGAGCCACTTAAAACTGAAATGATCAAACTTTAGATACGATGTCCCTTGCTTATTTTAGCTGTTTAGTTTTGTTTCACTCATTCAGTTTGCCCTTTTTTCTATTTCCTTTTGTTTCAGAATTTCTTTCACCAGCTGTAGTCGTTTCAATAAACCGAGCATAACTTACCTGAGTAACTCGGTAAGTCTCTCGAACTTAACACGTATTTCTCAGAGGGTGTCCACCACCAAGTTGAGAGTAGAAAATATTGACGATCTATCGATGAGCCACTCAAACCTGAAATGACCAAACTTAAGATAAGTTATACCTTCTGTTCATTTTCGTTTCATTCCTTGTAACACCTCACCGCACTATACAGTATTGTTGGAGTTGTAATACATACACCAGAAAAGGGATTATGTGGAGCTGTACTACAACTATAGTCGACAATTAATCAGGTCAGTAAATCTAGAAAGTGGAGTCTGAAACTAGAGATTGCGGTTCGTGTGTCACTATTCTCAAGACGGTTCATCTTTGCTTTTCACCGAAAAACTGGTGAGCGATCATTTTCCATTCTTCGATTTCCTCAGGCAATAGAAGCTGTTTTCAAATGGTATATTCGCAAGTGGCAAATTATTGTGCAAACGAATGCAGAAAATATACAACCACACCACACTGAGGCTTTTGTCGAGTTGAGAAAAATTTTCCCCGATCATTTAAGAAGAAATCCACACTCAAACTGCAAATGCGCATATTATTCTAATTTCCTTGCTGTACTACAATCGGTGACAAGGTATTTAGCACGAAAGTTCTAAAGAGTCGAGACCGCCATTTTACATAGTCATCCGAGCCGCGTAGTGCATCCTCGGAGACCTAGGGGGCATCTAGTTGGGTCGATAAAATGTTTGTGGTGAACGTTTACTGTAAGATCGAGATGAGCCCGAGCTTTCGAGACCAGCTTTCAAATAAGCTTGAGTCAACTCAAAAAAGGACACTACATATTATCTATCCATGCCATAGTTAGTTAGATGCCCTTAATACTACCAACCTTAGCAGCTTGAAAGAAAGACGAACTCAGCTCTGCTGTAAATATATTCAGAAGATGACTCATAATGACCACCCCATTAACTTCCTCAAGCTGAGAACAGCAATTAGTGGTCATAGTTACAACTTGCGGGCCAGCGAAAATAGAAATATCGTTTACGCTGATAGGAGTTGTTGCCGGACCCAGCGTTCAGGTTCCTTAATTTATTTCATTCGCTAGTAAATATCTGAATATGAAAATAGTTATTTAAGATATTTTTATTGTTTCTAGTAGTAGTGTTTAAAATTATTGTTGATTGTTAATTTATAGCCTTTTAATTCAGTTAATTCTGCAATGTGGCAAATAAACGGTATATTTATTTATTTATTTATTTAGCCCCTCGCCTCGATCTTACAGTAAGCTTTCACCACGAACATTTTATCGTCCCGACTGGATGGGTCTCCGAGGATGAGCCAAGCGAAGGTCTGGCCGCTTGCATTGCAAAGACCCTGGGCGCGATCCATTCAACCAAAATTCCAACCGGTCCGACCGGGAAAATTGGTCCACCTCAAAAGGTGGACCCGTTTGTTCCAAACTTTTCCGGTTGGACCGAACCGATCCATTGAGTTTTGGACCGAAATTTCCGGAAATTTTGGTTGAATGGATCGCGCGGCTTCGCGCCCCCTGTCAGAATTGGTCCGGCCCTGTTAATCGAGCCACGAACCTTTTGTCATTCTGCAGAATATGCCGACGGGTTTTTAGCTTTCTAATTGGATATATTCTTTATGGCATGGGAGCATGGAAGGATAAATACGGAGTACATATGAATATAAGAATCAACCGAGTTCTTAGCCGCCGAGTAAATTAACTTTCCGCTAACATACGAGTAACACAGTTATATGCTTCAGTAACCTACTACAGTAAAACCTGGTAAAACGAGCAACAAAAAACTTACAAGTTGTTTTGCAGCATTGGTGCTATAAACATTGTTGAATTGCGATGCTTACCCCGTTTTACCCGCACCCACTTTTGAACCTGTCTTACAACAAAGGTAAAGGTTGTAGGATTTTTTTTGTGAGCGGTACAGACGCACAACATCGCTATTCAACTCGTGTTGCGGCAAACTCCCCGGGGGTGGGGGTACTCCTTTATATAACTGAACATAAATCCGTGTGTTATTCGTTTGTAACCCTTATGAGTGTACACAAATATTCAAACAATTTCAGTAGTCCATGCTTTAGCCTGTCTCGCAAACTTTTCCGAACGAATTTCCTCTTTTCTGCTCCCCCCCGACTTTCTTGACCACCTCGAGCGGAAACGCTTGCCGCCGCCATGACGAACAGCTGATTATAAATTCTCGGAATTACAGGATGTTTATTATTATTCCGTCAAACCATCAAAACATGTCAAGAAACACTATTTCATTGGTTGATAATACAGAGTTTAGTCTGGGTCACAAGACAAGACTTTATTGTTCATTCGCAAAGCCATTCCCTTGATCGTCAACAACTAGGCCACTAAATTTTTGAAAAGTAACCTTAACTTGTTTCCATCCTTTTCCATGGATATAAAGACCCTGCTGGACAATCTTCATGATGAAGTATCCTGTTCTGTGTGCATGTGTGCATTCACGGATCCAAAGCAGTTGCCTTGTTTGCACAGTTTCTGTCTTCATTGCCTGAACGGAATTCAACGAACGAGCGCCGCCCATGGCAAAATTACATGCCCCGACTGCAGGAGACAGTTTCAAATCCCTGGAAGTGGAAATCCTAGCGAACTTCCCACTAATTTTCGTATCAATAGTTTGCTTGATGTCTTGGCAATAAAAGAGTGCAGCACAGCTAACGTGAAATGTGCAAACTGTGACAAACGGAGCCCCCAGACGTTCTATTGCTTCCAGTGTTCTTGTTTCTGGTGCGACGAATGTGTTTTAGCACATAACTTAATACGCACCAATAAAGAACACAGAACGCTGGCACTGAAAGATTTTCAAGATCAAGACATCGAGGCCGTGTTAAAGAGACCGGCATTTTGTCAGAAGAAACGACATGAAAGAGAAGAGTTGAAGTTCTTTTGCAAGGACTGTAAAGTCGCCATTTGCAGCACTTGTGTTCTAATACTCCATGCCTGTCACAGAATGATGCTTTTGGAAGAAGCTACAGACGTGCGCAAGACTCAGATCAACTCCATGACTCAATCTTTAATGGAAAAAGCACAAGATAAACGAAAAGAACTCGAGCAATTGAACCAAAAGAGCACGGACATTAAACTGCAAGTAGCCTACTTAAAAAGCCAAGTGCAGACGAATGTAGATCAAGTTATTGCAATCATCGAAGAGAGGAAACAGGATGTTTTTGATGCAGTCGATAATCAAGCAAAAAAATCACTGGAATCTCTCTCACATCAAAAAGACCAAGTTGAAAATCAAATGGAAATAATTGAATCGATAATTGAACAAACTACAGCTCTTGTGAAACGAAGCTTTAGTACTGAAATCCTTGGATTCAGTGAAACATTTGATACAATCCAACAGGAACAGGGCACCCAAGGAAACCGTGACACTGAATGTATTCCTCAGTTTAGTTTCACTAAAAGTGAAAAACTGATTAACGTGTTGAACAGTGAAGGGATAGGTAATTTAAAAACTGTTTTAAGCGAAACTAAAGTGCAACAATCAGGAACTAAAGGTAAAGAAAGTAGTAAAGTAGTTGGTGGGGATAAAGGGGCAAATGTTCATGACAGTCCTCTTGAGACTCAGGTACAAACCAGGCGCTTCAGATCTGTGCTGTCATTTGGACGGCAAGGTAAGTCTGTTGGAATGCTTGACGGGCCCTGGGGGGTGGCAGTGAATGATCGTGATGAAATTGCTGTGACTGAGCACTGGAACCACAGGGTTTCAATGTTTAGTAGTGACGGTACCCACTTAAGATCGTTTGGTAGATGGGGTTATAGTAATGGTGAGTTCCAGTTCCCTACAGGGATCGCTTTTGATAGTCATGGCAATATTGTAGTGGCAGACTATAACCACAGGGTGCAAGTCTTTGATAGGAATGGTAACTTTCTTAGTAAGTTTGGTGAAAAAGTAAGTCATCATCACCAGCTTAGTTGTCCTGAAGGTTTATCAATCATAATAAACGGTAACAGTGATATTATTGTTGCTGATAAAGGTAACAAATTAATCAAGATATTCTCTTCTAGTGGGGAGTATTTACGTAAATTTGGTGGAGCAGGTACTTTGGTCGAACCCTATCACTGTATCCAACATGGTCTATATTTTATAGTCACAGATGGTGGTGATGATTCCATTAAAATGTTTGATCTGGAGGGAAAGTTTATTTCTAAATTTGGAAAACAGGGAAACGAGGGTGGGGAGTTCAATGAGCCCAGTTACTTGTCAGTCAACAAAGAAGGATTGCTAATGGTTTGTGATACATACAATCACAGAGTTCAGGTATTTGAACTGAGTGGAAAGTTTGTTACAAAATTTGGAAGTGAAGGTAGGGAGAGTGGAGAGTTTAAGTACCCAATTTCTACAGCAAATCTTAGTGATGGAAGAATAGTTGTGTGTGAATGGTTTAACAACCGAATCCAGGAATTTGAGCATAAATGAAATAGTGTAAAGCCTGCGAATGCAACGGTCTTACCTAGCTCCTTGTCATTAAGAAACCTTTCGCGGGAAGTCACTGTCATGAAACTTCCTAACAGCGGCGAGGAGAGACAGCTGTATTCGCAGCGGGCTGGAAATAATCCTACCTTTGATGTAAGACTTGAAATTCAGTTCACTAGCATAAATTGATCATTAGATCCACAGTTCACTTTTCTGGAGCAAATCAATTTTGTGTGATTATTTTGTTTAGACATTTTGATATGTAGAAATTGGTGTTATGTTCTACTTGTAAATATATTTTACCCCATAAATGATATGGATTTCCACTGTCGCGTAAAAGTTGAGTTTTCGCCGGCGCGACCCTCCTTTCATGGCCTCTATTTTACTTACGCGCATAAATACAATACTTGCACCGTAATTTTTAGGGAGTTATTATCACTCCAAAAATGGAGTAAACTGAATTTTAGGTACAGGATAACTCTTTTTGGGGGGTTACTTTATCTCCTAATTTAACTCCGAATTTGGGGTCATTTTTACTCCTGAAAAAGAGTTCTTTTTACTCCCAGTCTGGGGTTATTTTTACTCCTTACATGGCTTGTTTTTACTCTTTTTGGAGTTAATTTAACTCTGAAGGTGGAGTAAAAATTTTAGGTATAGGATAACTCCTATTTTGGGGTTATTTTAACTCCTCAATATCTGGGGTCACTTTGACTCCTGAAAAAGAGTTCTTTAAATCCCTTTTTAGAGTTAAAATAACTCTCCAAAAAATAACTCCACTGTAAGGAGTTAAATTAGCCCCACTAGAGGAGTTATTATAACTCCTTGAAAATTACTGTGTGGGAAAAAAAAGCTGCAATAGATTGACTAGATGCACAGTTTATTATTATGAAAAAAAAGTTTCCCTTACATTTTAAGCTCACATTATTACTAATTTGCAAATAGTTTTCTTCAAACTCTGTTCATTATTCAGATACACTTTTGAAAGTGTGTATTTTGAATGGGTTGTAATCTGTTCAATAGCGAGGACAGCCTGATTGGTTCACATTGTTTGACTAAACGGCTTATTTTTAATTAGCTTTTTTCAGTGGTAACAGGCGTACATATTTCTTAAAAAACAAAATGCTATTCCCTGTAAATAACTCAAGTGGATTATGTTTTGTCTAAATAAACAACAGTGTTAGTAAATGCTTTGTTCCGTGTATTCAATGTCTCCTAATCAAGGCGGATTTAGGGGTGGCCGAGGGGGCCGCGGTCATCACTTTTTCTTTGAAATGTAGATTTGTTTTTTACAGAATACTCAGCAAAATAAAAAGTATCTAGTAGGCAATTGTCCCGGCCATCCCTTTCTGAATTTTCTGGATCCGCCCCTGCTAATGTATGCAATAACGTGCGACGGAAAGTCGACAACGCCACTTAACAGTCTTGCTCTTGAGTTTCGCGCTTAAGAGAAATACTACAGAAAAAACATAGCAGTGACGATGGACGATGGTGAAGGCTGCCTGTCCCCGCATTTTGTCTCAGGAATGTGCCACCCTTGCTCTCCTAGATACCTTTTCAAGGGGGGTTACAAGAAAAGCCCTTTGAGGCTTTTCGTCGAGTTGAAATTTATATTGCGGCCGATTTAACACGAAATCCACACCAAACTCCAGATACGCATAATTATTTCTAGTTCTTTAGTGCGGCTTGTCCGCTTTGACATTTTACTTTGTAACCTGCAATAATCCAGGACAAAAGAAGTTAGGGAGGTTTTGGATATAACAAAACAATTACGCGCACAAACACTTTAGTTTCGTACAACATTCGCACAGCATAGACTGCAAACAAGTGGGGTTAGTGTTTTTTCTTAAAATCGGTTAATTAGCGGTGGTTGTAGCTAGTCTCCCCTCCGTGTCTATCCTGGCTATAGACCTTTTTTTTTGACTGCTCGCGCGGCCTACTTGAGTATGCAAAAATAACGTGACTGTTTTGCAGTCTTCATTGGGCAAGGGCCAGAAGAAATAAGGAAAGAAGAGGTAAAAAATAGTATCCTCCCTACAGACTTTGACGATCGTCCCAGTTGCACCCAGCATTCCTTTTTGAAGCTTGCAGTTTACATGCCTTGAAACTGAAGTGGGATGGTATTCGATTCTTTGTTTATTATGATCGAGAATTTGTAAGACAAGCGATGAAGCAAATGAACCAATTAGAGTCAGGGAATTAACCGAAACTATTTCATGATTGCAGTTTTTATTGCAATAATTGTTCTAATTGAAGCTGCGTATTTGTTGTAATTAAGAAAACAGGAGTTAAACTGATATATTACGTCAAGAGCGTAAAAAAGTATAAGCGGCGAAAGCGTCGTCTATCGCATCCCTTCCCCTAGCAGTCTGACAAGTTCGTGCATGAGGTAAGACTTGACCTTATAATTTCGTTTCTAATAGGCTCAATTTTTAACAACAAAAACATCAACATCGACAACGGTTTATTCAAGTTGAAAATGATTTATGACCGTGTTACACACTATTACCTGACAACTGTTAACCTCGTCCTCAGAACTGTTGCATGGTCTTTTCACACCCTAAAAACAGGTAATGAATGACCATCGTGACGGTTTTGAATCCATTACCTGAAAACAGGGTCTGGAAGGGTATTTTCGGGATCCAGAATTTGACCAAAATACGGTGCAGGATTCAGGAAAATCCAAAATATCTTGGCAGGAAACGGGATTTGACTGCTACCCGGGAAGCCTGCTTCACCGAAATTTAGGGATGTGGTATTTTATTCCCTCTCTGTCGGGAATGGAAAGTCATAACGACTCAAATACGCGTTCTCGCGGCAAATGCGATTTAACAAGGCGAGCGTTCAGTTGTGTCTCCTATCAACTGAGCAAAATATATATAGTGATCTGGTTAATGATTGCCTAACTGAAATAGTGAACAGACGAGCTGAACGGACAGAAGAACCACTATTTCAACCAGATGCCAAGAAAGTGCGCGTGGTGCAATAGCAGTAGTCTAGTTAATGAAATTTTCCTTCTATTCTCAAAAAAAACCTGATCGCTGGTTACCGCACATTCTTAGTTTTGGTGTCGTTCTTTCTTACAGCCACAGCCAAGTTTGCTAGCGCCAGAGAAGCCTATTCCAGAGGTCCTCCGCTCTATTTGTGTCACCTTGGATAGGCTAGCGGCAGAAGTAACGCAGCGAACCAAAAAACTAAATGTTTTTTTATCCCGCTACGCATAAAACACAAAGAGCTGTAGAGATTCCAGAAGCAGTTTAAAAACTTCAGAGAGTTAAGGTGATGTTACACGATGACGATCAGCGCAACGACGATTTTTAGCGCAGCATTACAACATTGTGCGACATTGTTTCGAATGGTTACAACATTGTTTTATTAACATTCCAAAGCTGTGTTACGCGAAAAATCGTCCTTGCGAATCGTCTCGTGTCAGACACTACCTTTAGAGGAAATCACAAAGAGTAACGGCCTAAGGGACTTTTCTTAATGAGAATGCAAGTTGTGTGTCAATATGAGTTTGACACACTTATCCAGGTCATCCAGGGAAGCCGTGGATGCTGGCAGGTATTCGCTAGTAACTACACTAGATGTCGGTAGGCACACGAGCTGGACGACCTATCACGGTTAAATGGTGCTCTTTCGTCGTACTCAGATATAAAAGCTATTTGTTTTATGGAATGGCCTTGGCATCGTAAGGGCCAATCTAAATCTTACATTTGTCAGCTTTTGTAGCAAAAGTCTTTTTTAACGTACGTCTCCAGTTTGGAAACAAAAAACAGGATACGGAAAAGCGATGAAACGTAAACAACTGCAGGATGCGGGATTAACGTGAAAAAGTAGCGGGAATAAGGAATCAAGATCCCCCCTTCAAGTCCCTGTAAAAATGGTCATTCCAGAAACACCAGTTGAATCACGAAAATTACTCTGGGTTTGAAACTATCAATGAAAGCTAGTATGTCGGTCAACTTTTTTTTATTTTGACTCCTTTAGTGTCCGATTTGGACGATTTGGCGTGCACGAGATCATTCCCCACCCCCACGTTCTTGCAGTATCGGTCGGCAGTTTTTATTAGGTATTAAGCCGAGAAAGGCATTTTTGAGCGATGTACGTCAACCGAAAGTGAGAACTTTTCCCTTTTACTTGCCTTGACGATACCAATTTTGAACTACTTAGTGTCTTTACTCTTTTAGAGGCGATTTGCTCGAAAAATGATGAGCAAAACCACAGCCCAAACATGCTAAAAGTCCACATACGGTTGACGTGCGTCGCTCAAAAACATCTTTACTTAATATTATTTTCTTTATTTTCAAACGCCACGCGCGCTCGACGAGTTCTGAGGGGACAAAAGGATATCTCAGCGTAAAGTGGCTATATCACAGCAGAGAGTTCAAGCAAAAGCTAATAAAATGATGATCTATCATTGGTGTTTGACAGTATATGGCCATTATTTGAAATTACCGTTTTTCCTCGAGTAATAGCCGAGGGCAATTATTTATTTTTTCGCACAAAAAGGAGGCGATTAATCCAGGGAAGGCGATTATTTCAAATATTGCTCTCTGGAAGTCGTGGCCTAAATATTTTGTTTTATTTTCCCATTAAATCAAAAAATAATCACGTCAAATAAACTGAGCATGGGCTTTAATTTTTTAATGTTCCAAATTTAGTTACTTGACTAATTTCCAGAGCTTGAATCGTCACTGATCAGTTTTACTGAATCTCATTGCACTTCAACTTGACAAGGAGGGGATAAAAGAAAGAGGAAGAAAAGATGGCCAGGGGGACGGGGAAGAGCGATTATTCGAGGGTGGCGATTAATCGAGGGAAGGCTATTATTAGAGGAAATAAGGTAGCTGTATATAACTGATGCGCTCAATGAGTAGCTAAGAATTTCACGATCAGGCGCGGATCCACACCGGCTTCTACCGTTTTATGAAAATCGGTCAGGTTTTTCAAGGTTAAATCTGGCTAATATCCTGTCTGAATGACTCGTGCAGAAATCCAAGAAAGAGTACTTCAGAAAGTTAAAACCAAAAGAATTTGTCTTTTCCATTTGGTGCAAGTTCCGGATTCACCTAGAAGCCAGGAAATCGGTTAGTATTTATGGATCCGAGCTTGCACCTGTACAGTTTATGTATTTCTGTTCAGTGATGTAAAATATTATCTGAGAAGTTTAATGAAATACTCTAATAGTCCATGTTTTAAAAGCAAGCCGATTAGAGGTAAAGGATATTTTTTATTTTTGAAAATACGTCAGAACATCAAAACACGTCATTAAGCAACTTTATTACGTTTGATTGGCTAATAAAATGAAGGTTATTATTATATGGCTGAGTCTATTTTCGCTATTCGATTGGTCAATTTGCGGTCCGTAACTTGCTATACGGACCAAAATTTTTAAAGAAAATGCTCATTTCGGAGGTCTAAATCTCTTTACCTGGGAAAAAATGTGTAAATAAAGTTATAAGACGCCTGTCAACCTTGAGGACTTGGGTGTTGACTTTGGCCCTCAACATTTTAAACTGTGTTTATTTGTGAACGAAGGCGATAAAGAAACTAACTCGTAATCTTATCGAAGAGGATTCTAGTCAGTGTTTGAATATTTTATTGTAGTACACAGTTAAGAAGACGAAAATCGACTGGCAGAGATTCGAGACGTTTTGCCTAAGAGAAAATGAGTAATTCCTTCAACAAATATGATAACAAACATACCTGCACCCGATCATCTTGACAAGCTTCTTTGCCATTTGCAGTGTTTTTTCAAAGACCAACGAAAGAAAGATAGAAGCCAGTTCGAGCCAGACACAATAATATCCAGTTTTCAAAAGACTCCAGCGTTACATTAACGAGTGAATACTTACAGTGCTCTTCGTTTCCACCGAATAAACTTTGAAATATGTATGTAAACCCTGAGGACTGGGATGTTGACTTTGCCTTTCCAAATTTTAACCTGGCTTTGTTTTAATGAGAACAAAGCTGTTGTAGAAACTGAAACGTAACCTTACCGAGGAAGAGAATTCTAGTCAGTGTTTGAACATTTCAACGCAGATCACAATTGAAGACGAGAATGGACTGGCAGAAAGCGAGGTTTTCCCAAAAACAATTAACGAGCGAATCTTTTGACAATGACAACAAACTTACCTTGAAAAGCATCTTTGCCTTTTGCAGTGTTTTTTCACAAGGACAAACGGCGGAAAGATGAAAACGACTTCGAGAAAGACACAGTGCCCGTTTCCAAAATACTCCAGCTTTACACTAAGAGCTAAAACTTACAGTGCTCTTAGTTTTGACCGAATAAACTTTTTTAACTTGGCGAATTTGTTTTTACTTTCTCGGAAAGCCTTTGTTATGTCCTATTGTTTTCGTGCGCCAATGAAAACTTTCTTTTTGACACCTGTCAAATGACTGTCAAATCGTGCGTCCTGCACTTGTTTCCGGTCCCCCAAACAGGAAGAAGCCATCTAATAAACATTTTATTAGCCTCGTTTTTTCGGTCCGTACTGTAAATTAGGGATCCTCCTTTTTTTCCATCGATTTATGGCCCAAGCGCGAACCATAAATCGATGGAAAAAAACTCGGTCCGTAATTTACGGTACGGACCGAAAACTCGGGTAATAAGAGGTATGTCTGGGTCAATGGTTTAGAAAGAAGAGGCTTTCATAGTTCCGCATAGCCGCCTCCTCGATCATCGACAACAAAACCTGCTGTATTTCAAAACTTTCATGTTTGTTCTCGACCTTTTCCATGGATATAAATACCCTTCTTGGCAATCTTCTTGATGAAGTATCCTGTTCTGTGTGTATGTGTACATTCACTGATCCAAAGCAGTTGCCTTGTTTGCACAGTTTCTGTCTTCACTGCCTGAATGGAATTCAACGAACGAGCGGCGTCCATGGCAAAATTACATGCCCCGAGTGCAGGAGACAGTTTCACATCGCTGGAAGTGGAAAGCCCAGCGAGCTTCCAACCAATTTTCGCATAAACAGTTTGCTAGATGTCTTGGCAATAAAAGAGTGCAGTATAGCTAACGTAAAATGTGGAAACTGCAACAAACGGAATACCCAGACCTTATATTGTTTCCAGTGTTGTTCCTTCTGGTGCGACGAATGTGTTTTAGCACATAACATTATACGCACCAATAAAGAACACAGAACGCTGGCACTGAAGGATTTTCAAGATCAAGACATCGAGGCCGTGTTAAAGAGACCGGCATTTTGTCAAGAAAAACGACATGAAAAAGAAGAGTTGAAGCTCTTTTGTAAGGACTGTAAAGTCGCCATCTGCAACACTTGTGCTGTAACACTCCATGAAGGTCACGGAAAGATGCTTTTGGAAGAAGCTACAGACGCGCGCAAGACTCAGATCCCCAGATCAACTCCATGACTCAATCTTTCATAGAAAACGCACAAGAAAAACAAAAAGAACTCGAGCAATTGAACCAAAAGAGCACGGACATTAAACTGCAAGTTGCCGACTTTAAAAGCCAAGTGCAGACCAATGTGGATCAAGTTATTGCAATCATCGAAGCGAGGAAACAGGATGTTTTTGAGTGCAGTCGATAATCAAGCGAAAAACTCTCTGGAATCCCTCTCAAAGAAAAAAGACGAAGTTGAAAATCAAGTGAAATTAATTGAATCGGCAATTGAACAAACTAAAGCCCTTGTCAAACGAAGCTTTAGTACTGAAATCCTTGGATTCAGTGAAACATTTGATTCAATCCTTCAGGGACAGGGCACCCAAGGAAACCGTGACATTGAATGTATTCCTCGGTTTAGTTTCACTAAAAGTGAAAAATTGATTAACGTGTTGAACAATGAAGGGATAGGTAATGTAAATATTGTTTTAAGCGAGACTAAAGTGCAACAATCAGGAGCTAAAGGTAAAGAAAGTAATAAAGTAATTGCTGCGATTAAAGGGGCAAATGTTCATGACAGTCCTCTTGAGACTCAGATACAAACCAGGCGCTTCAGATCTGTGCTGTCATTTGGACAAAACGGTGAGTCTGTTGGAATGCTTAAGGGGCCCTATGGGGTGGCAGTGAATGATCGTGATGAAATTGCTGTGACTGATTACGGTAACCACGGTGATGGTACCCACTTAAGATCGTTTGGTAGGTCGGGTAAGAATAATGGTGAGTTCCAGGGCCCTAGAGGGATCGCTTTTGATAGTCTTGGCAACATTGTACTGGCAGATAGTAAAAACCACGGGGTGCAAGTCTTTGATAGGAATGGAAACTTTCTTAGTAAGTTTGGTGAACAAGAAAGTCATGATAATCAGCTTAAATACCCTGAAGGTTTATCAATAAACGGTAACGGTGATATTGTTGTTGCTGATAGAGATAACAAATTAATCAAGAGATTCTCCTCTAGTCGCAACTATTTGCGTAAGTTTGGTGGAGCAGGTTCATTGGTCACTCCCAATCACTGTATCCAACACGGTCAATATTTTATCGTCTCAGATGATGGTGATCATTCCATTAAAACGTTTGATCTTGAGGGGAAATTTATTTCTAAATTTGGAAAAAAGGGGAACAAGGATGGAGAGTTCAATTGGCCCCTTGGCCTGTCAGTTAACAAAGAAGGATTGCTAATGGTCTGTGATTCAGAAAATCACACAGTTCAAGTATTTGAACTGAGTGGAAAGTTTGTTACAAAATTTGGAAGTAAAGGCAGCGGGAGAGGAGAGTTGAAGCATCCATTTTCAACAGCAATTCTTAGTGATGGAAGAATAGTTGTGTGTGATTCCAATTACTCTCGAGTCCAGGTATTTGAGCATACATGAAGTAATCTATAACCTGCGAATACAACCGTCTTTCCTCGCTTCTCGTCGTTAGGGACCTTTCGCGGAAAACATCTCTGCCGCAAAACTTCGTAATAGCAGCGATGAGCGAGGAGAGTCATGATCAGCTGTATTCGCAGAGGGCTACAAATAATCCTACCTTTGAGATTCAGTTCACTATTATATATTCCGATCATTAATCAGCACCGTTCATGTTTCGGGAGGAAATCCATTTTGTGCGATTATTTTGTTTAGACATTTTGATATGTTGAAATTGGTGTTTTAAGTTCTACTTGCAAATACATTTTGCCCCATAAATGATATGGATTTCCACTGTCGCGTAAAAGTTGAGTTTTCGCCAGCGCGACCATCCTTACATTGCTTCTATTTTATTTACGCCGTAAATGCAATACTTGAAAAAAAACTGCAATAGATTGACTAGATCCACAGTTTATTATTATGAAAAAAAAATTCTGTTACATTTTAAGCTCATATTATTACTAATTTGCAATTATTTATCTTCAGACTCTGTTCAATATTTAGATACATTTTTGAAAGTGTGTTTTTGAAATGGGTTAATTGTTATCTGTTCAATAGCGAGGACAGACTGATTGGTTCACAATTTTTTAACAACAAGGCTTATTTTTACTTAGCTTTACTTAGTCAGTTTGAGTAGGCTAGCTTAATTTGCCTACTCTGGATCTCGATCTGATAGTAAGCTTAGGCTATCTGTGGCTTTATAAATATTTCAAAAAGTTTATGCTTTGTAAACAGATTATCAGTTCTCAGAAATAATGATTATTTTTGGATTCTTCATGTCGTCAAAACTTAAAACATGTCAAGACACTATTTGATCGATGGCCAAAACAAAGTTTAGTCTGCGCCAAAAGACAAGACCTCTTTGGCCGTTTCTGAGAACACCAACCGACTGCACCTCGGAGTATTTCCAGACTTAATTTGTGTCCCACTTTTTCCATGGATTTAAAGACCTTGCTGGACAACCTTTATGATGAAGTATCCTGTTCTGTGTGCATGTTCCCATTCTGGAGTATGTAATTTGAACAGTATCAGGGATGACTTGGCCGAAGGTTGATTAATGTATTTCCTCGAGACACAGGGATTAACTAACACACATGCACAATCTTGGACAAAATAGGCGAAAAAATTAATGCGTCCACCCTCCTGTAAAATAAAGGATCAGGATTGGGGATATAATGGCGCGTTTTGGCTTTCGCATGGCTTTTTGCTCCTGATCTTTGAGCCAACGGGGACTTGATTTCCCAGTGTCCAAGGATTTTTAAATCCCGTGTCGGTAACGGTGTTGAGGGTACAAAAATATTCAAACAATTTCAGTAGTCTATGCTTTAGCCTGCCTAGCAAACTTTTCCAAATGAATTAGGGAGAGAGAGCTCCTTCATTCCTCTTTTCTGCTCTCGCTCTGACTTTCATGACGACCTCGCGCGGAAACTATTGCCGCAGGCAGGTTATCCATGCTTCAAAGAACTGATTTAAAATTCTCGGAAATACAGAATGTTTTTTATTCTTCCGTCAAACCATCAAAACATGTCAAGAAACGCTATTTGATTGGTTAATGATACAGAATTAATTAAGTCTGGGTGACAAGACAAAACTTCATTGTTCCTTTTCAAAGCCATTCCCTAAATCGTCAACAATTAGGCCGAAATTTTTGAAAAGTAACCTTGTTTCCGACCTTTCCATGGATATAAAGACCTTGCTGGACAATCTTCATGATGAAATATCCTGTTCAGTGTGCAAGTGCGCATTCACTGATCCCAAACAGTTGCCTTGTTTGCACAGTTTCTGTCTTCATTGCCTGAACGGAATTCAACGAACGAGCGGCGTCCATGCCAAAATTACATGCCCCGAGTGCAAGAGACAGTTTCAAATCCCTGGAAGTGGAAATCCCAGCGAACTTCCCACCAATTTTCGTATTAACAATTTGCTAGAAGTCTTGGCAATAAAAGAATGCAATACAACTAACGTGAAATGTGGAAACTGCGACAAGCGGAGCGCCCAGACCTTATATTGCTTCCAGTGTTGTTCTTTCTGGTGCGAGGAATGTATCTTAGGACATAACATGATACGCATCAATAAAGAACACAGAACGCTGGCACTGAAAGATTTTCAAGATCAAGACATCGAGGCCGTGTTAAAGAGACCGGCATTTTGTCAGAAGAAACGACATGAAAAAGAAGAGTTGAAATTCTTTTGCAAGGACTGTAAAGTCGCCATTTGCAACACTTGTGCTGTAACACTCCATGAAGGTCACGGAAAGATGCTTTTGGAAGAAGCTGCAGAAGAGTGCAAGACTCAGATCAAATCCATGACTCAATCTTTAATAGAAAAAGCACAAGAAAAACGGAAAGAACTCGAGCAATTGAACCAAAAGAGCGCGGAGATTAAAATGCAAGCAGCCTACTTAAAAAGCCAAGTGCAGACGAATGTAGATCAGGTTATTGCAATCATCGAAGCGTGGAAACAGGATGTTTTTAATGCAGTCGATTTTCAAGCGAAAAATATCACCGGAATCTCTCTCACAGAAAAAAGACCAAGTTGAAAATCAAGTAAATATTATTGAATCAGCAATTGAACAAACTTAGTTCTGAAATCCTTGGATTCAGTGAAACATTTGATACAATCTTGCAGGAAGAGGGAACCCAAGGAAACCGTGACATTGAATGTATTCCTTGGTTTAGTTTCACTAAAAGTGAAAAACTGATTAACGAGTTGAACAGTGAAGGGATATGAAATATGTTTTAACCGAAACTAAAATTCAACAATTAGGAGCTAAAGGTAAAGAAAGTAGTAATGTAATTGTCCGCAATAAAAAGGTGCAAATGTTCGTGACAGTCCTCTTGAGACTCAGGTACAAACCAGGAGTTTCAGATCTGCGCTGTCATTTGGACAAGAAGGTGAGTGTTTTGGAATGCTTGCAGGGCCCTGTGGTGTGGCAGTAAATGATCAGGATGAAATTGCTGTAACTGAGTGTGGTAACCACAGGGTTTCAGTGTTTAGTAGTGACGGTACACACTTAAGATCGTTTGGTTGGGAGGGTCAGAATAATGGTGCATTCCAGTTCCCTTCATGGATCGCTTTTGATAGTCTTGGCAATATTGTGGTGCCCCCTGCCCCCCAAAAAAAATATATATATATTGTAGTGGCAGACTGCGATAACCACAGGGTGCATGTTTTTGATGGGAATGGTAACTTCGTTAGTAGGTTTAATTGGTGAAAGTGGAAGTCTTCAGTGATCACCAGCTTAGTGACCCTGAAGGTTTATCAATAAACGGCAAGGATGATATTATTCTTGCTGATAGAGATAACAAATTAATCAAGATATTCTCTTCTAGTGGGGAGTATTTACGTAAATTTGGTGGAGCAGGTTCTTTGGTCAATCCCTATCACTGTATCTAACACGGTCAATATTTTATAGTCTTAGAGGAAATCAATTTTGTGCGATTATTTTGTTTAGACATTTTGATATGTCGAAATTGGTTTATTATGTTCTACTTGTAAATATATTTTGTCCATAACTGATATGGATCAGTCCACTGTCCCGTAAAAGTTACGCCGGCGCCACCTTCCTTACATTGCCTCTATTTTATTTACACGCGTAAATACAATACTTGGAAAGAAAAACTGCAGCATATATTGAATTGACTAAATCCAAACAAAGCAATTAATTGAGATAATTTTCTCTTACATTGTAATCTCGCATTATTACTAAATAAATTTGCAAATACTTCATATCTAGAAATGTTATACTGTTTAATATTTACATACTTTTTTGAAAGCGTGATTTTTGAATGGGTTTTAACCTGTTCAATAGCGAGGACTTATTTCTACCTTTTTTCAGTAGTAACGGACGTACATATTTCTCAAAAAGCAAAATGCTATTTCCTGTAAATGACTCAAGTGGATTACGTTTTGTCTAAATAAACAACAGGGTAAATGCTTTGTTCCTTGTATTCAATGTCTCCTAATAGTCAAAGACGGATTTAGTGGGGGGTGGGGGGGGGGGGACGAGGAAGCCGCAACTACTCCTTTTTTCTTTGAAATTTTGTATCATTTTTTTATAGAATTCTCAGTTTATATAGCTGGCAAGTGTCCCGGCCACTCCTTTCTGAATTTTTTGGATTCGCCCCTGCTAATGTATGCAATAACCTGCGCAGGAAAGTCGACAAGGCCACTTAACAGCTAGTCTTGCTTCTTGTGTCACTTGAGAAAAAGTAAAAAAAATTAGCAGTGCCGTTGGAAATTGGTGAAGGCCACCTCTCCCAATTTGTCTCATTTACTGCCGGCCACCCAAGCACAGGGCACAAGTCTTTGGTTGGAATGGTAATTTTCTTTATAGTAAGTTTGGTGAAAGAGGTGATGACCAGCTTCGTGAACCTGAAGGTTCGTGATGAAGGTGAAATTAATCAAGATATTCTCGCATAGAGAGGAGTGTTTATGCAAATTTGGTGGAACAGGTACTCATGTTTGCCAATCCCTATCACTGTATCCTACAAAGTCAATATCTTATACAGTTGAAACTCTCTTCAACAGCCACCTTGGGGGCAGAAAAAAGTGGCCATTGTAGAGGCTGAAACAACAGCAAATGTCAGTAGACAGTCCGCCTAAAAAAAAATGGCCGTTGTAGAGAGGTGGCCGTTATTGGCGCTTCGAGTGTAGTCTAAAACTGTGGTTATCATCTCAGTAAAATGTTTGATCCTCAGGGAAACTTTTGTAAATTTGGAAAACGGGACCAAGGAAGCAGAATTCAACTATCCTCGTTCCCTATCAGTTAGAAAAGCAGGACTGAGTGTTATGGTCCGTGATTCCACTAACCACAGAACTCAGGTCTTTGAACTGTGTGGAAAGTTTGTTACAAAGTTTGGAAGTAAGGGTAGTGAGAGAGGACAGTTTATGTTTCCAAGTTCAACAGCAAATCCCACTGATGCAGAGGGATATAGTGACACGCATAACTCCGCAGTCACCTTAATATAATAACAACTGGTAAATCCATGTTGGAAATTATAGTGTTCAATTTGTAAATACGATTTTTTCAGCGTGATTTTTGAATGCGTGCTAACCTGTTCAATAGCCTGAGGCTCACATTTCTCTACCAAAAAAGGTCCAACCTCTTTTAATTTTCCTTTATTTACCATTTTTAACAGAAAAATGACCTTTTTCGTTTATTTTTTGTTGACAAATGGTATCCCTTTCACATACTAGTTTAGAACGCTGCTTTCCTTTTAGTTGCTATGAATGCAACGTCTTATAAATATGGCACAGCCCGTGTTAGCCCTTTTGGGTCCTTTCACAGACCGCAATGACAGTTATTCCAACCTTTTCATGTACTTCAACCAGTAAAGCCTTAATGTCTGAGTTGCCTGAAGCCTGAAAAAGCCTCCCCGTATAGGCCATCATAAGGAGTACCCCCCTCCCCCTCTCTTCCAGTTTTACGATTAAATTTTCCTTTAATTTTCTCAAAACAAAAATTACCAGGCAATACCTTCAGTGAATTACTTTTTGTCGTATAATAAGCAATTTTCTATGAAGGAAATGAAAGCGAGACTCGAGGGAAAAGCAAGATTTCGATGCCCTTGCTTCTCGCTTCTAGCCTGCGAACACAGAAGTATTGCTTCTCTCCATCCGGGTGGAGAGAAGCGTCGACCGCAAATTTGTCATCTTTTGTTCGCGTTCGCAGGCTATCTCGCCTCACGTTCCAACGCCATGATAAACTAAAGAGGGAAAGCAGTTTACTTGGATGCTAAGTAGGCTTCACATGCGAGTTTGATTTGGAGGTAAATAGGGGCCATGGGGCACGTGAAGCTCTCTCTCTCCAATCCTCTTCAACTCACTTTTCTCACCGTCTCTTTGCCCTAGCCCCTCAGAGAACCTGCTCACAGACTATCAACTTATTTCTGGCTCTCGACGTTTAAGAAAAGTAGGGAGCAAACGGAATACAAAAACACTTGGAATGTGGGTTTTGAAGGTGATCACGCGGTTTAAAGGCAATCACGTAGATGACTGCTAGTCACGAAACTTTAACTTGATTTTAACTGTTAATGGTCACGCCCTGAAAATAAGTGTTCGAGAGACTTGCCGAGTTACCTTCGGTTTGTAATCAGACCACAGCTGAAGGCGAAAGGAACAGGTATAAAAAATATTATCTCAAGATATAACCATTTTCAACAGCTAGGGTAGTTTTAGTAGCAATATCAGTAAAAATGCTTTTCGATGAGCCACTTAAAACTGAAATGATCAAACTTTAGATGCGATGTCCCTTATTTTAGCTGTTTAGTTTTATTTCACTCATTCAGTTTGCCCTTTTTTCTAATTCCTTTTGTTTCAGAATTTCTTTCACCAGCTGTAGTCGTTTCAATAAACCGAGCATAACTTACCTGAGTAACTCGGCAAGTCTCTCGAACTTAACACTCATTTTTCAGATGGTTTCCACCACCAAGTTGAGAGGAGAAAATATTGACGATCTATCGATGAGCCACTCAAACCTGAAATGACCAAACTTGAGATAAGTTATACCTTCTGTTCATTTTCGTTTCATTCCTTGTAACACCTCACCGCACTATACAGTATTGTTACAGTTGTAATATTATACACCAGAAAGGTGATTATGTGGAACTGTACTACAGCTATTTATAATCGACAGTTAATCAGGTCAGTATCTCTAATATCCTTTACAGAAAGTGGAGTCTGAAGCTAGAGACTACAGTTCGTGTCGCGATTTTTAAGTCGGGTCACGGTCGTCTTTGCTTTTCACCGAAAAACTGGTGAGCGATCATTTTCAATTCTTCGATTTTCTCCTCAGGCAATACAAGCTGTTTTTAACTGATATATTCGCAAGTGGCAAGTTATTCTGCAAACGAATAGAGAAAATATACAACTACACCACACTGAGGCTTTTGTCGAGTTGAGAAAAACATTTCTCCAATCATTTAAGAAGAAATCCACATTCAAACTGTAAATGCTGTGCTGCAATCGGTGACAAAATTGTTGAGACATTGTACTCAAATAGGGTAACTTCAGAGAACAAAGTAATCTACCCCCCTTCCCCCTCCCCTCCATTCAAAGTTGGCGAGGGGTTGTTTTCTATAGGTAGCTCGAACAGCGGCACAACATTGCATGGGGGAGGCAAAAGCTATATTATTCCCCCCTTTTCAAGTCAGTAAAACGAAAAAAAAGCCCAGTTTAGGGCAAAGTTTCTTAACTCATTTTGTCGCCGATTGACTTGGTAAGAACATAGGAAGCCACCCAAGAATTTTTTGCTCGCGATCCACTGAATGGAGTTTGCACGGCTTTAAATTAGAGTGGGGAAATGTATTCAAATGTACGTTTATTACGATCGAACAATTTGAAGACAGACTAGCCAGAAAATGAACCAATTAGAGCCAAGGAATTAACCAAAACTATCCCCTATAAAATTTGGGCCAATCATGTTACAGGGTTTTTTTCGCATACAATGATCGTTGCAATTAATGGAAAAAACAGGTCGGAGTTGAAATCTAGTACGTAGGCAGAAGCTGCGGGCGAGAACGTCTTCTTCTTCGTACCCGTTTCTCTGTTCGTGAGGTAAGATCTTGTGACCCTTTGTCTCTTTTCTTCCGCTTAATTTCCCATCATGTCGTCCTAGCCTTGTCGTTTTCTCTCCTACGCAAGGCAAATTCTAAAGATTAGCGACGTTGGGAGTCCCTGTTCAAAGTTAATCCACCATAATACACACCTTAGTATTCAGAACACAGCTTTCTGTATGAGTTACTTTTTGATCTCCACGAACGCACAGGTGCACACAACTGACAAAGGAAAGATTTCTTCAGTTTTTGGCGATAAATTATCTTCATTGACGAATTTTCTATTGCACAACTATTGCTATACTAATGCTCTCGTGAACGACGCCAGTTTAAAACCGTTTCAGTTACAATTGTTCACCGCCTCTCGTTTTTGGCAAGACAAGCTGCGTATCTTTCCTTCTTCTTTTTCTTTGAAAATTTCAAGGATAAGGAACAAGTACTTTCTCGTTAACCTAGTACTAGGAGTATTGCGGCACGTGGAAAAGCGTAGCGGGAGGTCCATTTTGGCTTATCCTCCGCACAGGCCATAGTGTCGGCATCGTTTTTCACTCTTGAAGCTATCTCTGAGGATAATGAGAGACCAGTACTAGTATTCTAGTTCGGATGTTAAAAAAAAATTGGTCTTTCGATCTGGTTTTCATTGTCAGTCCCTCGAAACGATATCCAATCTATCTAGTGATAGTCTATTCAATTAATTCTAAAGTTGCAATTACGCACACACACACACACCAAAAGCTTTATTTGCATGACCATAAAGGAATTACAGTATTGCAAAAGCTATTAATCTAAATTTAAGTACTAATTCAACTAATTAGTACGTGCAAAACATTACAAAACGTGACAGTTCTCATTCATTCATTCATTGATATTAATTTGGTCCTTAATTCAAAGCATTGCGAGATAAATGAAACTAATTGACAGTTAATTAAATAATCAGAAGAATTCATAAGAAGAGATATTAAAGTATCGTGTGAAAGTGATTTGAAGTCAGGTATTTTAGTTTCTAGTTTCGAGAAAAATATGTCTCTGATCTGAGAGTAAGCCTTACAATCTAGTAAGAAATGATTTTCATCTTCGATTTTCTTACTTGTACAAAAGTGACATATCCTTTCATTGCGAGGAATGTTTTCGTATCTACCTGTTTCAATTCTAAGTTGATGACTACTTATTCTAAATCTAACTAATGTTTTTCTCGAAGGGTTTTTTCTTGTTAAAACTAGGTACGGCGAGGGGCTATAGTCGTCTTTGATTGTACAATAAAAACTGAGTTTTTGTGATTGTTGAAGTGTCTGATTCCAGTAAGAGACGTATTTATTTTTCATTATGCCGACATACCTATTAACTATTGAGTCACTCAATGAATTACAGGAAAAGTCATAGTTTAGATCATAGTAGTCAACCATTTTTATGAGATTAGAGTAAAAGCTAGTTTTTCCGTTATGATGAAGGTCAATTGAAATTTGTAAGGCCTGTTTAACTATAGAATCTTCATCCTTACCTCTCAGATAGTCTAAGTAATTTAGAATCTTTTTATTTATATCAATGATCATGGGAAATTTACCGAGTTCAGCTCTACAAGCAATGTTGGATGCCTTGTTATGTACTTGTAAATAACGTTTACAGAATTGCAAATGGGTTTTTTCAATTGCAGAGCTGTCCCAGGACTTAAAATCTGATTTAACAAAAGCACCCCAAACTTCGCTGTTGTAGGTTAGAATTGGTGAAATCATAGAGTCAAAAATTTTACACGCAAGTGAGGGCTTAAGATTATTCAAATCCGTGTGTCGCCTGAGGCTGAAGAGCGCGTGAAGAGCTTTTTGTCGGAGATGTTCAAGCGAAAGTGTAAAATTTCCGGAAGATGTAATTCGAGTTCCTAAGTAAGTATAGTTTTGGACAACTTCGATTACTTCATTGCCTATGCGGAAGTTATGTTCACATTTTCGTGTGCATCGTTGAAAAATCATTATTTTGGTTTTCTTAGGATTTATTCTAAGCATCCATGAGTTGCAATATGAAGATAGTACGTTAAGGCAGTTTTGTAGACCAAGTTTGGATCGCGATAATATTATCAAGTCATCTGCGTAAAGGAGAGAGTTGAGTCTGGTGCCATTTGGTAACACGAAGGGGTCTGATAAAACATTGTCAAATGAGAACGCTAGATCGTTAAGGTATAAGTTAAAGAGCAGAGGGCTTAAAATGCAGCCTTGCCGCACTCCTCTTGCGTATTGAAAAGATCGCGTTTTGTTATTTCCAATCCTGACAGAGCAGGTAGACTTCGAGTATAGACTCTTAATTAGACTATAAAACTTTCCTTGGACATTGATCTTAGATAACTTATAGAGAAGCCCATCATGCCAAACCGAATCAAAGGCTTTCCTAAAGTCAACAAAACACGCATATATTTTCTCCTTGTGACAATGGACATATTTGTCTATTAATGTTCGAAGTGTGAAGACGTGATCTGCTGTTCTATTATTTGCTAGAAAACCAATTTGAGACTTGTGAAGTATATTATTTAAGTCAACGTGCTTTAGAAGTCTCTGACTGAGAATTGAACAAAATAGTTTTCCAATACAACTGGAAATACAAATTCCACGGTAGTTTGATGGATCGCTTTTAGTACCACATTTAAAAATTGGTGTAATGAGGCCATCACACCACATTTGCGGCATAGTTCCTAAGTCGAGGACCGTGTTAAATAGTTTTAGATAAACAGGCATTAATTCGTTTAGGCTAGATTTGATCATTTCGTTTTGATTTTGTCTGAAAAAGAAGATTTGTTGTTTTTGAGTTTTCCAACTGCAGTGCGAATTTCACTTTCAGTGATGAGGTAATCCAAGGAGTGAGATCGTGACGTAATATCCTCTGAATTCTGCAACTCATCTATAATTGCCTCCTGCTGTTCATTAAGGGGTTCATTCGAGTGCAAAGATTGAAAGTGGGACATCCATTTTTCTTCAGAAATTGGAGGGGTGTAGGTTTCCTTCATAGTGTCGTCCATTGACTTCAAACAGTTCCAAAAGCTCTTATTGTTCGAATTTTCGACCGTATTTTCAAGTTCACAGATCTTATTGCTATAGTATTCGTTTCTCTTATGTTTCAAAAGGTTTTTATATTGTTTTAAGACGTTGTGAAACTCTTCTCTGAGGGTAGTGTTTAGAGGATCTCTATGTTTTTGATTAGAAAGTTTCCGCAGTTCATGTCTTTTATAGCGGCATTCTTTGTCGAACCATTTTTTGTTCGAAGATATTTTGCAACGTCGCTTTTTTGCTGTTTTGATCTTCAAACAGCGTCTGGCGGTTGAAATAAGAATATTTTCTACAGCATGAAGGTTCATGTCAACATTTCTCGTGATTGTTGTAGTATTCATAAAATCGTGGATCATTCTTTGAATGTCTTCAGACTGTAATGTAGCCCTAAATTTTTGTGACGAATCGTTTTCCCAAAAAAACTGTTTTGGTAGAGGAGTCAAAGAATCATTTATAATTGCCTCGTTTGATGAATCATTATCTAAATGACGATTAACCTTAAGCCATGTTATTATTGGACTATGATCTGATAAACTGTTCGGCTCTTTCACTACAAAAGATGTTATATTTCGTAGCAAATCTTGGTCACATACGGAGTAATCAATGACACTGATTCCCGATTTACCATGAAATGTAGGTCTGCCTAACGAGTCGCCATTAATTCTACCATTTAAAATTCTTAAATCCGCGCTTCTACAAATTTCCAAGAGTCGTTTTCCGTGATTATTCAAATCATTGTCAAAACTTTTTCTTTGGGTGGCGCATAACGAAGATTCAGAAAAATCGTTTGTTATTATCTTATTGCCTTCTTGACAAACACTGTCCGGGTGTTTTCCGACTCTGGAGTTAAAGTCTCCCATAATAAGAATTGAACCAAGGGAGGAGAATTTCTCGATGTCGCTTTCAAGCTCTTCAAATAGTTCAGGTCGAAAGTAGCGGGAATTGTATGGTGGAATGTACGTTCCACAGACATAAATGTCTTTTGTAGTTTTTGTGTGGCGATTACTAATTTTAAACCATAAAAAATTTGGTGATTCTTTTTGCACTGAAATCCAATCGTCAAACTTTAGTTTGTATAGCAGAGCTAATCCACCCGAGTTACGTCCGCATTTTCCTGTTTTCAAGGTATCTGTAGTCACAATCTTGTAACCGTTTACTTCAACAGTCACTTTTTTCCATGTTTCGGAGAGAATTACGAAATCAAAAGAATTAATCATGTTTTTACAATCCAAATTTTGCAATTTTTCCCCTAATAATGTCGAGGATAGCCCATTAATGTTCCAAGCGAAAAAAGATAATTTGCTGGGGAAACTTAAGGGCCCTGGCATATTGTATCAAACTTAGTACCTGAAGAAAAGAAAGCTTAAATCAGATATCCCGGCAAACTAGCTAACAACTAGCATTGAAAGTTGTGGGTTATGTATAAGATATTATACAAGGGTCTTAAAAAATTGGATTAAAGATACCAGTTCCTTTGGGATTTCAACTGCCGGGACTTTTCCAACAGCACAGTCGTTTTGGAGAGGAACAGAAGGAATCGGTCCCACTGCCGCTAAGTGAGACGGTGAGAAGCTCTGTACATTGTAGTGTTGCGGCGGAAAGTTCTGTTGCTGTTGCGGTGATTGCGGAATGTTGTAGGTGTTGTGACCGTTTTTAACAGCATTAGTATAAGAGGCATCACCCGAGGAAGTTGTATATGGGAAACGGGAAGGTAAAGGTTGTTGCTGCCGCGAAGTTTGGTGGACTTGGCTGTGTATGTTCCGAACACCATTGCTGGAGGGAGGATAGCCTTCCGAAGGGCTAGTGTGAAACGAGTGCGGCGAAGAGAGTGAGGATCGGTACAATTGGCTGGAGTTGGCGCGAGGTGGTTTTCCTCTACCACGAATGGCTGCTTTTAAGTTTGCTGCGAACAAACCAAGGTGTCTTTTTTTAAGATGTTTTCTGTCATGCAACACTTCAGTTCCCTTGGAGAAGATATTGTCATGATTAACTAGATGGACGTTTGGTAGTTTTGAGCAGCTGTCAATAAGGTTTGTGTTTATTTTGGATAAAGTATGCAGGGGAATGTCAGTTCGCGGCAAGAGAGTTGAATAAACGATTTTGCTCTTTGGGAACTTTGTAGATGCTTGAGTGATTAATACAGATATATCAGAGATGAAGTCGTCTATTGGCGTGGTTGTAGTAAGATCATTTGTTCCGGTGTGGATTATGATTAATTGAGGATGTCCAGCCGATTCTTTATCAATTTCATTTTGTAAAATAGCCCTTGCGTGTTCAATTTTGGGACATCTGAAGAATGTGAAATCTTGTGTTGGCTGAAAAAGCTTTCTTTTGTCGATAAATTTTCCATTCGAATCGCACAGAAAAACGGCTTTATTGTTTACTGATGCTTGGATCGGCGGTGGCGCGATGTCTTGTGGAGTAGGTGGAGTCATATTTTCTGTGTTTGTCTCCGAGACAATTTCTTGCTGTGTGTTGGATAAGCTGTCAGATGTGTCACAATTCTGGAGCAGCGAAAACCTGTTTTCCGTGGGAATATTTACTGTAAGCTTTTGAGCTGTGATGGGTAGTCGAGATGCCTCACAGTCCGTATTTTTTTGTTCGCTGTCAGTGGTGTTTTCGGAGCAAGAAGACTCGGGTTGTGAGGAAGGGCTGGAGGGGTCAGGTTCCTTCGAGTTTTGCCAAAGCGCTGTCATTTGTTCTTTAAGGAAATGAATTTCTGTCATCAGATTATTTTGTGATTCTTGCAGGGCCTGATTTGCTTTGTCAATTTGTACGTGTTTCTTGTGGAGGATCTGGTTTTCATCTTGCAATTTTTTAATGATGCTTGATTGTTGAGAGACTATTCTCGGTTTTCACTGTCACGCAATCAAAAATAAAATTGCAAACCATTCAATACAGAAAGTCCCGAATCTAGGAAATAGAAGAAGATAAATAAGCAAAAGGCCTCGCCAAGAATCAGGTCTGTGCGATATTTCATATGTGAGATATTAGGAAAAACGTTTTACCAAAATTTAGAAAGCTTTGTATGGAGACGCCATGTTTGTGTCCCTTTGCGGGGCACAAATATGGCCGCCGGAAACCAACAGAAACATCTGTTTTTGAGTTTTCGTACTAATGCGTTAATTCATCGCTTGAAAAACTCATAAAATATTAAAGTGATATTTATTCTGAGACAAGGAATGTTTAGAAAGCAAAATCTCCCAAAATTGGTAATGTTTGTAACCCACATAAGAGCCGTTGTGGCCGCCAGCTAAATGCCGCGTCACGCAAAAGCCTAGAAATTCAAACGTCCTCTATCGCAAAACGAAGAACCCTTTCGAACCAAAACTCTCTTTAAATAAAGGTGTTTAGGTGCTGTAATACTTCATGAAACTCAGAAACTCAGAAGAATCGATCGTTTCTTAGTTTGAATTTTAGTGACGTCATGTGAAAACCGAGAATTTTTTGGAGTGATGTAATCTGCGAGGAAAAATCATTGAGTAGATCGTCAGATGATTGTTTTTGTAGCTTAATTAAGTGATCTTGTTTAACGGTTTTGTCTTTTAGCTGTTCCAAATCCCCGGTAGTGGTCATATGAAATTCTGTAAAATCTGCCTCTAGCTGCCCGAGTGTGTCTCGCATGGATGAGATTGTCTTTAAACGGGTTGGCGAGATTGTTAGTGTTTCAGTTGGCAATAAAGCTTCCGGTTTGGTTGTTGAGGGAAGTTCGGCGTCCAAATTATTTGATGATGGGATGTCATCATCTCTGACAAATGTTATGAAATTCGTAAAAAAGTTTTGAAGCGAGGCTCCAAAGAGAGAAACATCTCCAACTGAAGAGAGTGAAGAGAGAGGTTGAAGATCGCTGAGAGTGTTGACAATTTTCAGCATCACCGGAAAGTCGAATTTGCTCCATTCATCATATTTTTTCCCTTGCACGAGGATCCTCCCAGTTGTACCAAAAACTGTAATGGTTACCAATTTTTCTTCGCCAGTGGATGTATTCATTGAAAGATGAATACAGATTTTATCGCACTTCGAGGTTGAGCTTGGGTTGTCTTGCTCTTCCCATATCACAGTATAATCGGTTCCATTTCCGGTTATTTCATAATAGCGAAATTGGAAAGCTACAATCCATAATAACAGGCGATCTTCAGATGTCGAGAAAGCAAGGCATCTAGCTGAAGGTTTATAGATGGAAAGATCGATGGCTTCAAAAGGAGCGGCCTTTGATTTGGCTGTAGGTTGATGGAACTTGTCCACTATATATCTATTTAGATCCTTGCTTGGGTGGATAGCTCTCACGTGCGACGATTTGTTTTCGCTTTTTTCATTGCTTACCTCCAATGGATCTTCGTCCAAAACACAACTTTCGGTTTCTTGTTGCATTTGTTGAACAGATGTAGTTAGCTCGTTGACCAGGATATCAGAAGGAAGCAAAAAATATCATTTCTTGCCTCTCATGATAAAACACATGCGTTCACTCAAGAACTTTGCACTCAAATAACTTATTCATGCGACCGTGCTCAAAAACGATCCTTCGCCACAAAGAACCCTAGTTTAACTGCAGAAATGTAACAATAGCAGTTTTAATCAATCAAACTGTAGCCAGTAGCCGTTAACAAATCTACTGAATTGAACGTAAAACTGATGCCAGCGAGAGTGTAACCCCTTGAACAAAATGAAAGAGAAATGAAAGTTTATAATTCAAGAACGCATCTAGAATGTATCATCAACTTATTTTGGATATACACCCCATTTTACTCGACTTGCCGGCCTCACGAATTCAGAAAAGCTGTTAAGCAAGCGGAGCGTGCTTTTTGGCAGGTCATTTTAGGAGTCGACACAGATCGATTTGAAAAGCTTTGAAATGTTCTAATCTCCACAGTTCTTGGCCCGTATGTTCATGTACCTGATATACTCAGTCAGACATCCTGGTACAAGTCGCTTTATTGTTGTGATTGCTGCTGTCTAAGACACAAAACCTCAATTGACAACTGTCAACCTCGTACTCAGAGCTATTGGTCATTTCACACCCTACAAAGATGGTCTGGAAGGGTATTTTCGGGATCCTGGATTTGAACAAAATACGGTGCGTGATTCAGGAAAAACACAAAATATCTTGGCGGGAAACGGGATTTGATTGCTACCCAGGAAGCGGGATTCACCAAAATTTAGGGCGCGGGATGTGGGATTTTTTTCCCTCTCTGTCGGGAACGGGAAATCATGACGACTCAATACGCGTTCTCGGCGGCAAATGCGAGCGTTCAGTTGTGTCTCTTATCAACTGAGTAAAATATATAAAGTGATCTGGTTAATGATTGTCTAACTGAAATGTTCAAGTAGTGAACAGACGAGCTGAGCGGACACAAGACTCACTATTTTGCCAGATGCCAAGAAAGTGCGCATTGTGCAACAGCAGTCTAATTAATGAAATTTTCCTTTTATTCTAAACAAACTCCTGATCGCAGGTTTCCTTATTAATAAGTACATTCGTAGTTTTGGTGTCGTTCTTTCGTACAGCCAAAGCCGAGTCTGCTAGTGCCAGAAAAGCCTGTTCCAGGCGCCAGACTGAGTGGGGACAGTGCAAAGAAAAGCAAGCAGAAAAAAAGAGTTGGGGGCAGGGAGAGACGGGGAAGAAACCCTCCTCTCTCCCCTCTCTCCCAATTCCTTTATTTCGCTTTTTTTCCTACGCTCTATTTTGCGCCACCTTGGAACAGGCTAGCACCAGAAGTAACGCAGCGATCCAAAAAGACTAAATTTTCTTTATCCCACTACGCAACGAACACAAAGAGCTGTAGAGATTCCAGAAGTAGTTTAAAAACTTCAGGGCGTTAAGATGTTACACGATGACGATCAGCGCAACGAGGATTTTTAGTGCAATGCACCAGCATTACAACATATTGCTGTGAGTTTCGAATGGTTGCAACATTGTTCCAACATTCCAACACCGTGTTGCGCGAAAAATCGCCCTTGCGAATCGTCTGGTGTAACACTACCTTTAGAGGAAATCACAAAGAGTAAAGGCCTAAGTGACTTTTCTCAACGAGAACGCAAGTTGTGTGTCAATATGAGTTTGACACACTTATCCAGGGCGACATCGAGGGAAGCGGTGGATGTTAGCTATTCTCAGGTATTCGATATAGTAACTACTAGATGTCGGTAGGCACACGTGCTGGACGACCTATCACGGTTAATGTATGGTCCTCTTTCGTCGTACTCCGATATAAAAGGCTATTTGTTTTATGGAATGGCCTTGACATCGTAAGGACCAATCCAAATCTTACATTTGTTAGCTTTTGCATCAAAATCAGTCTTTTCTAACGAACGTCTCGGGTTTGGACACAAAACACAGGATACGGAAAAGCGATGAAACGTAAAGAAGTGCAGGATGCGGGATTAACGTGAAAAAGTAGCGGGAATAAGGAATCAAGATCCCCCCCCCCCCCAGCCCCCTTCCAGTCCCTGTAAAAATGGTCATTCCGGAAACACTAGTATCATGTCGGTCAACTTTTTTTTTTTTATTCTGACTCATTTAGTGTCCGAGTGATCATGATTTAGACGATTTGGCGTGCACGAGATTATTCCCCACCCTCACCCGTTTCCTGTATCGGCCGGCGGTTCCAACAAGAATATAACTCAAAACCACTTAAACATAGCATTGATCAACGTATTCTCGTATTTAAATGGTAGATATAGGCATACTTTTATCTCCTAAAATTTTTTCCACCGTTCGGATTTCCTAGCTCAAAGTTTAGTGATCCGAAAATTATAGGGACCCAGCCTAGTCCCTAGGCGTTCTCGGCTCGGTCAATCCTGGACTCTACCGTGAGCTGTGACGTCACCGAGAGATACTCGCGCGGACAACGGGGCAAGACAGAATGCCTAGGGATTAGGCTGATAGGGACCAAAACTTACCTTTTCGAGAATTTCAGCAAGAAAAAAGGCTCCCGAAAATTCTAGGTGACCATTTTGGGGTAAAAATCCGTTAAAAATGGGCAATTATACCATTTTTTATATGTTCGAAAATCCTAGGAGAGGCAGGCAAGCAAGAAATTTTACAACAAATGCTTCCAAAAATGCTAGATCTCAAATCGTCTTCAGAACAGATATTTTCCGAAAATTGACTTTGGGTGCCCCTGTTTTTATTAGGGAGCTTAAGCAAAGGCGTTTTTGAGCGATGCAAGTCAACCGGAAAAGAGAACTTTTCCCTTGATTGCCTGTTGACCATACCAATTTTGAACTACTTATATTTAATGCCTTTACTCTTTTAGAGGCGATTTGCTCGAAAAATGATGAGCAAAACCACAGCCCAAACATGCAAAAAGTCCACTTACGGTTGACTTGCGTCGCTCTAAAACATCTTTACTTCAGATTTTCTCTATTTTCAAACGCCACGCGCCCTCGACGAGCTCTGTGGGGAAAAGAATATCTGTAAAGTGGCTATATCACAGCACAGAGTTCAAGCCAAAGGAAATAAAATGATGATCTATCATTGGTGTTTTACAGTATATGGCCATTATTTTAAATTACCGTTTTTTCTTCGAATAATAGCCGGGGGCAATTACTTCTTTTTTCGCATAAAAAGGGGGCGAGATTATTCGTCGGGGGAAGGCGATTATTCGAGGGAGGCGATTATTTCAAATGTTGCTCACGGGAAGTCGTGCCCTAAATATTTTGTTTTATTTTCCCTTTAAATAAAAAAATAATCACGTCAAATAAACTGAGCATGGGCTTTTTTAATATTCCGAATTAATTTCCTTGATTAATTTTCAGAGCTGGAATCGTCACTAATCAGTTTTGCTGAATCTCATTGCACTTCAGCCTGACAAGGAGGGGATAAAAGGAAGAGAAGATGGCAAGAGGGGCTGGAGAGGGGCGATTATTTTAAGTATTTCCGTCAAAGGGGGGTGATTGTTCGAGGGAGGCGATTAATTGAGCGACGGCTATTATTCGAGGAAATACGGTAGCTGTATAACTAAAGCACTCAATGACTAGCTAAGAATTTCCCGATCAGGAGCGAGCGGATCCACACCGGCTTCTACCGTTTTATGAAAATCGGTCAGATTTTTCATAAACAAACATTCTTTTAATAAAAAAAAAAACTTTCCAAGTTGAAATCTGGACAATATCCCGTCTGAATGACTCAGAAACCAAGGAAAGAGGACTTCAGAAGGTTAAAATCCCCCCAAAATTCCCATTTCCATTTGGTGCACGTTCTGGATCCACCTGGAAGCTAGGAAATCGGTCAGTATTTATAGACCCGAGCTTGCACGTGTACAGTTTATCCGAATCAGTGATGTGAATTAAAATATTATCTGACAATTTTAATAAAATATTTTAATAATCCATGCTTTAAAAACAAGCCGATTAGAGGTAAAGGATATTTTTTAGTTTTGGAAATACGTCAGAACATCAAAACACGTCAAGCAACTTCAGTTAGTCTGGGTCAATAGTGTAGAAAGAAAAGGCTTTCATTATTCTTGGTTTCGCGTAGCCGCCTCCTCGATTATCGATAACCACACCTACTGTATTTCAAAACTTTCATGTTTCTTCTCGACCTTTTCCACGGATATAAAGACCTCGCTAGACAATCTTCATGATGAAGTATCCTGTTCTGTGTGTATGTGTACATTCACAGATCCAAAGCAGTTGCCTTGTTTGCACAGTTTCTGTCTTCACTGCCTGAACGGAATTCAACGAACGAGCGGCGTCCATGGCAAAATTACATGCCCCGAGTGCAGAAGACAGTTTCAAATCCCTGGAAGTGGAAATCCCAGCGAACTTCCCACCAATTTTCGTATCAACAGTTTGCTAGATGTCTTGGCAATAAAAGAATGCAGCACAGCTAACGTGAAATGCGGAAATTGCAACAAACGGAGCACCCAGACCTTATATTGCTTCCAGTGTTGTTCTTTCTGGTGCGAGGAATGTATTTTAGCACATAACATAATACGCACCAATAAAGAACACAGAACGCTGGCACTGAAGGATTTTCAAGATCAAGACATCGAGGCCGTGTTAAAGAGACCGGCATTTTGTCAGAAGAAACGACATGAAAACAAAGAGTTGGAGTTCTTTTGCAAGGACTGTAAAGTCGCTATTTGCAACACTTGTGTTGTTACACTCCATGAAGGTCATGGTAAGATGCTTTTGGAAGAAGCTACAGACGCGCGCAAGACTCAGATCAACTCCATGACTCACTCTTTAATAGAAAAAGCTCAAGAAAAACGGAAAGAACTCGAGCAATTGAACCAAAAGAGCACGGACATTAAACTACAAGTTGCCGACTTTAAAAGACAAGTGCAGACGAATGTGGATCAAGTTATTGCAATCATCGAAGCGAGGAAACAGGATGTTTTTGATGCAGTCGATAATCAGGCGAAAAAATCACTGGAATCTCTCTCAGAGAAAAAAGGACAAGTTGAAAATCAAGTGATATTAATTGAATCGGCAATTGAACAAACTAAAGCTTTTGTCAAACGAAGCTTTACTACTGAAATCCTTGGATTCAGTGAAACATTTGATGCAATACTAAAGGAACAGGGCACCCAAGGAAACCGTGACACTGAATGTATCCCTCGGTTTAGTTTTACTAAAAGTGACAAACTGATTAACGTGTTGAACAATGAAGGGATAGGTAATGTAAAAATTGTTTTCAGCGAAACTAAAGCGCAACTATCAGGAGCTAAAGGTAAAGAAAGTAGTAAAGTAATTGCTGGGATTAAAGGGGCAAATGTTCGTGACAGTCCTCTTGAGACTCAGGTACAAACCAGGCGCTTCAGATCTGTGCTGTCATTTGGACAAAAAGGTGAGTCTGTTGGAATGCTTGATGGGCCCTGTGGGGTGGCAGTGAATGATCGTGATGAAATTGCTGTGACTGAATTCTGTAACCACAGGGTTTCAGTGTTTAGTAGTGCCGGTACGCACTTAAGATCGTTTGGTAGAATCGGTAACAATAATGGTGAGTTCAGGTACCCTACAGGGATCGCTTTTGATAGTCATGGCAATATTGTAGTGGCAGACCGTTATAACCACAGGGTGCAAGTCTTTGATAGGAATGGTAACTTTCTTAGTAAGTTTGGTGAACAAGGAAGTCGTGATTATCAGCTTAAATTCCCCCAAGGTTTATCAATAGACGGTAACGGTGACATTATTATTCCTGATACCAATAACCCATTAATCAAGATATTCTCCTCTAGTCGCAAATATATGCGTAAGTTTGGTGGAGCAGGTTCATTGGTCGGTCCCTATCACTGTATCCAACACGGTCAATATTTTATAGTCTCAGATTACGGTGATCATTCCATTAAGATGTTTGATCTTGAGGGAAAATTTATTTCTAAATTTGGAAAACAGGGGAACAAGGATGGAGAGTTCAATGAGCCCCGTTGCATGTTAGTTAACAAAGAAGGATTGCTAATGGTCTGTGATTCATTCAATCACAGAGTTCAAGTATTTGAACTGAGTGGAAAGTTTGTTACAAAATTTTGAAGTGAAAGTAGCGGGAGAGGAGAGTTGAAGAATCCATTTTCTACAGCAATTCTTAGTGATGGAAGAATAGTTGTGTGTGATTTTAATAACGATAGAATCCAGGTATTTGAGCATACATGAAATAATCCATAACCTGCGAATAAGACCGTCTTTTCTCGCTCCTCGTCGTTAGGGACCTTTCGCGGAAAACGTCTTTGCCGCGAAACTTCCTAATAGTAGCGGTGAGCGCACACATGTCCAATACTCTCGACCAGATTCCAGTGGACAAAACAAGAACGTCCACATTTATATAGTAATACCTCGTTCTTTGAACCATGAATCGGAACAAGAGCCTAAAAATGGGTGTATACGAGTATATTCCTACCTCTATGAGCTATGAAGGGAACAACAGAGGTAAGAGAGAAGCCCCTGCTCGCACGGGACGAGAACACGCTACACGCGAAACAAAGACCACCAAAGTTATTAAACTCGATCATGTAGCTGCATATTCGATCCTGAAACATCATAATCTTAATCATCATTATGATTACTATTGGACTATTAGTAAAATCATCTTTGGAATCTTAACTATGGTTTACAGTGCTGTTAATCATAGCTATGATTCCAAAAGGACCATTAAAATCATCTCTGGAACCATAACCATAATTAATAGTTCTGTTAATCATAGCTATGATTCCAATAGGACTAATAGAATCATCTCTGGAATCAGAACCGTGATTCAATGATCACTTCACAGGTGGCCCTTGCAGGCTCAGCACTTTAGCACCCACTAATAAAACACAATCCATTATGACAACATGAATAATTATACACTGGTCTGAATGTGGGTCACTTCCAAAAGACCATGATTCTTCTGAATGATGTTCACTGCATATTATTCTAAGCATGTTGTCATAACTGATTGTGTTTCTTAAGTGAACGCTTAAGTACTGAGCCTGCATGGGCCACCTGTGAAGTGATTTGTTAATTGTTAAGGTACCTCCAAATTCTTTTTGTATTTAGATAACACTTAGGGGCCAACAATCAAGCCCTCCTTTTCAGTATACCAACAAACCTGACTTGAGTTAGCAAATACTCAACGACACTGGTTTGCATTTCTCACTTTTTCGTGGGAACAAATTCTCCTAGTCTATTATACTTAAGTATCGTTGTAGTCCAACTCATCTTTAAAATAATGGAATGTAAAATCGTGATCAGGTATACGTACAGTTCAATATTTTACAGTGCACTTGGCCTCCTACTGAATTTATGCTAAAATATTACAACATGTATCCATAGTCATATTTGAGATGCTTTTAGAACACCACTGTATCTAATGGTAACTATAATTTATGAGCTACACTTGAGTAGAATAATTATTAAAAGAAACATACTGGTAGGCGTAACATTGAAACTGATACCACATGGATACAAAATCTATGACGTTATTGAAACCTGAATAGAATCAGCTGAAGTTTTAAACCTGAGCAATTTTGAATTATTATTTGTTTTGTAAAATACTTGTGAAAAACATTAAGTGATAAAAAGCTATATAAAACATTACATAAATCAGTGCTGGTCACTTTACACATCAACCAGCCGTAGACAGAAATTGAAGCTGGATGATTCCAGATCTCTTCCATAAGGGCCAAATCCAGAAAAATGAAAGAAAATATGCTTTTTATTATATTTTTATAAATGCCAATGAAATAACAGGTGAGCTTGTGTTCGAAAACATGATATCTTCACATGTCAAAATAACATGTTATCTTTGCACGTAAAGATCACCATTGCTATGGTACATAACAAATCACACCTTTTACAGCAAAAAACATTATTTATTTAATAAATGAAATGGCTAAGTATTTCTTATGGTATAAAATAAATGGAACATATTGCATGTGGCCGCTTGGAGATATGAAATTTCTCTTCTCATGTTGAAACAATATTTCACTGCTTCCAGCAAGGCTTACCCTTCCTTCTCTGTTGGATTGGTATAAATCATACCTTTGTTGAGAAAAGCTACAATCATGGACATAATTCTTATAATAAGTTGGAGTTAATTTGTGTTCTTCATGTAAAATCATGCATGCCCAACCCTATTCTGCACCCTACAGAACATTTGTTGGATACATGCATGCAGTTTCAATATGTAAGAGTGTGGGAAAACAGTGATAGATTTAGTACAAGGTATTTTTCAAAAGGGTAGCTCCTTTCTATGAGCCAGGGCAAAAAGAAATTACAAATAAATTACAAATACTGAATCATTGTTCCAAAGACTTTCAATGCAGGATTGTAGCTAATTTAGGCTGAATATTAGACAGTGGTACTACATCTTAAGGAGGAACAGTAAATTCCTTTTAGCTTGTGTTTTGCTTTCCCCCAGTGTGAATGAAGAGGTGTTCCCATAGCAATTTACCCATCATAACCTTAAAATTTATAGTATTCGCTGGAGCACTATCACATGGCTTGGCTTGATTTCCACCAGGGGGGGGGCACTGGCATATATGGCTATATAGGTATGTGCCGCTGTGAAGGGTATGGTTTTCAAGCAGTTTACTCTAGGATAGGGTATATAAATCAGAGCGTTTGGGTCTAGAATAGGGTATTATTTTTCAGGAAACTAATCAGTTGGTTGAAGATGTTATCTAGACTAGGGAAACAGCTACTCTAGGATAGGGGGGATTTGGGAGTTTACTCTAGTATAGGGTAGCAAAATTCAGCTGAACTAGCCCTGGTATAGGTTAAGGGTTCCAGGGTCCCAGCGGCACATCCCCACCCAGAAATTCCTAAAGTACCCCCCCTCCGGAGATTTCCATGCTCTAAATGTTGTCACACACTTACATTGGGGAAACAGAGGGCCAGTTATTTAAATGTAGTTTAGCCAGTGTTTAAGAAAACCACGTTCTAAGCCATTTTCAATTTGCTCAACCGTTTTATCTAAACCATTTATTGTGATAGTTTTATGAAAGCATTATAGAGTAGACTAGAAAAGCATTTATCTTCTTAAAATAAGCCACTACAGGAAGAGATCTGGAGGTCCAAAGATTTGTTAAACCGCGGCTTAGGTTAGACTTCGTTTAAATAACCGACCCATAGTGTCTGTGGTAACAACCACAAGCTAGTAAAGGTCTTTACTATATTACTTCTCTTCTCATAACTGTCCTTAACAAAAACAATTTCTTTGCCATTGCATCATGCACTGTATATATTTTATTAGCTTTATAGCCACTGCACTGCTTTCATCCCATTCTCCCCTGAATTGTGCAATTTCCCATGTGGATCAATGCCCTTGTCAAAGACAACTTTGTCATCTAACTTGTGCAAAGGGAAGAGTGAGCACAAGTATTTAGTACGGGGGGCCAGAGGAAAATAAAAAAAAAACATGTACCATTGATTTGAAAATTGCAATAATAAATATGTTCCAGTTAACCAATCACTTCCTTCTATCCTACTATTCAAAAAGCTATATTTCCCCACCCAAATGAAGCCAGTAACAGTGCTCATTGAAAGAAAAAAAGGGTAGCAATAAAAGTGAAAAAAGGAGGGAGGAGGGAAAGCGAAATTTGTGACTGCAGCCGTCGTCACTTTAAAATGAAGAAACTATCTCACGCTTTGTATGCATGCCCCAACTTTTGAAAATAATATTTTAAATTTGCATCTGTAACTGAACACTGCGAAGTACACAGCCTTTAAACAGTCTTTTCGTAAGTTTTAGCTCTTAATATTATAAGCCAGACAGTGGCTACAAAACGAAGCCACTAGCTCCAAAACAAGTTTTTCAGCAAAATTCCCAGGAGGGGAATGGGATAAAAAACAAAACAAAAACAACAACGAGCTGAACTAAAAGGATAATTGTTACAAAGGGGACTTAGGAATGAAAAGAGGTTTATCAGACTGCTTTGAAGGGGCTGGTCTCACTTGTCCGTTTTCATCAGCCAGCTCTAGGAACTCCTGCACCTGGAGCTAACTGATGCCTGGCCTTTCCAAAGCTTCCAGCAAGGCCCGTCCCTTTGCCCTTCTTTCACCTGTCACCATCTGTGCCTTCTTCAGGAATAGCCACCTTCTGCAAATAAGACCTGACTTGTTATCTTCATTGTCAGAATTGAGAGGTGGGATAACAGCTTTCCTTTAGTTAAGGTACAAGGGAGATTTCTGATCTTTTTTTGAGATATCCTCCTTGTTCCTAATGTCAGTGGGGGAACAAGCCCTGATAGGTTTCTTCACTTCCTCATCTCTCTTTACCTATGAAAGATTGCAAGAAAAAGGTATGATGGAGAAAACAAAATTAAATAAGGTGGCTTGACTGGATTTTTTAGGGGGGATACCTTCCAAGTTTAAGCATTAACTACATCAGCGTGAGTAAAGATATGGGAAAAAGGCTACCACAACATTACTGTATTATACAGGGCTTCTGATTTTTCGCGCGGCCGCGGAGCCGCGAAATTCAGGTAAATCCGCGAAATCCTGCGAAATTTGGTAAAAATCTTATCAAATAGATGCCTGTACAACATATCTGAAACTCATTTCAGCTGTTAAGACTATTCACTTGCTGTAAACTTGCAAATTTATCTTGAAACTTCGTCACTGAAACGTGCAAACAACGTCCCGAAACTACCAGGAGTCGATTATGTTGCGAAAAACTGGGCACTAGCCATGATGTTAAAGGCTTTGCCATTGGTTCATTTCGTGAGCGTATTGTTGTTGAAAGAGAAAATGATGATCTGATCAGCGCAAAACCGATCGATCTCCAGCGAAATTTGCCTTGAAAATAACCACAAAATCGGCCGTTTTTTACCGATTGCTTCTTGGCGAAGTTTACCCTGAAATTTCCCGCGAAATTCCCGCGAAATTGGCCGATTTTTCCGCGAATTTGTCCCTAAAAATCCCGCGGAATTTGACTTTTTTCTCCACGACCTATCAGAAGCCCTGATTATATAAACATGAAAATTTCTTATTATCTAGGTTTTATTGCAAATGCAGTCACCATGGCAACCTAATGAAACCAATATGTTTTTTATTTATTTTTGTGTTTCTCTGTACCAGGAGTGTTTTTTAGAAATGGCTTAAGGGAGTATGTACCTGCCATAATTGCTTCAATTATTGCAAAGTTTGAACAAATTCTGTGAGAGCATTTTGGAAATATTTTGAAACAAGTTTTTAGAATCATAAAAACAGTGAAATAGCATGTCATATATCCACACAATTAGCTAATAGGTTCAGAAAATGTTACGCTTTCGAAGCATGGTTTCATCTCATAATGATTTGATTCCATTGAAAACTGTGTACAAAAAAAAAAGGGCAATTGCTCTGGGCGATCGCGAGTGAGAAGAATTTTATTAACCTGGATTCAGCTGCTTTTGTTACAGTTTTTGCACATAATTTGGTCCAGGGGGAGGGTGCAGGGGGTGCGCACCCCCCCCACCTGAGATGACCTGCGGTTTTCTCATACAACTGGTATTCTGCACAAAAAAAAACTATGTGGTTTATTGGTGTTGAAGTAGAGCAAGAGGCGAGTGCACCCCCTCCTAAAAAATATCCTGGATCCGCCCCCGTGCCTACAATAAATTAATAAACCCTGTTAATAAACCCTGCAAGTTTCAAGAACATTGAAAACAGTGAAGGCTTTTAAAAAGGGCCTCCAATATAACCAGGGTTGTCAGAAAGTTTTGAAGTAGACGACTGAGTTGTCAAAGTAAGCAGCCAGTCCAGGGATATTTTATTTAAAAAACGTCATCTGCAAAGAAATGCCAATCAGACTAGCCGGCCGATACTAACCAAGTAGGCGGCACTTTTCACCGGCAGCCGGCTACTTTTGACAACCATGTATAACCAAATTTTCCCTTAGTGAGTGTCCTCATTATTCAGTGGCGTTGTTTTCAAGTTTCATATATATCCACATGTACAATTAGCAAAAGAAATAAATTTACATTTAAAAGAACTCTAAATTACTTTCCAAAGAAATATCCGGAAAATGCTAATAATTGCCTTGTGTCATGGATAGCAGTGAGAATCGAAACGGTGAACATCACGGTTCATCATGTAGGATGTAATACAACTAACTACATGTACAAGAGAACTACTGGAGAACTGACAATTTTTTTTAACTGTGACAATAGACGGATCGAAATGCAACAATTACTGATTACGAGTCTTCATAGCGAATAACATCACGGCTTAACTGACAGACGACCAATAACATTGCAACGTAATTTACCAATCAGATCAATAACCAGAGTATAATACCATCAACTGACGTGATACACCTCACTTTGACTCTGAAGATGACTACCGCACAGGTTGTCGAAACGTCAGTCACTGACTGTCATCAACAACAGTCCTATTCAGGACTATGATCACCCGGACGATCAAACTCAACCTACTTTTGAAATGACTCCTGGGTTCAAACCTTTCACAAATAATTATCTTACTTGGGTTAAAACATCACAGCAACTTTTAGAAAGAGTTGCTGTGTTTTTCTTAAAAGATTAGCTAGTTGTGTGGATAGCATGCTATTTCATTGCTTTTATGATTCTTAAAACTTTGTTTGAAAATACACTGTATTTCCAAAATGCCTTAATTGAGGCAATTATGGCAGGTACATAATCTCTTAAGCGTTTTCTTAAAAACACTCCTGGTACAGAGAAACACAAAGATAAATAAAAAATTGTAATGGTGTCATTACATTGCCATGGTGACCGTGACTCCGATAATTGCAATAAAACCCAGATTATAAGAAATTTTCATCTTTATATAATACAGTTGGGGTAACCTTTTTCCCCTGGATATCTTTACTCATGCTGACATAGTTAACCCTTTAAGTCCCAATAGTGACCACCAACAATTTTCTCCTAATGATATCCATACATTGTCATGAGATTAGGTTATGAGAATTGATAAAATGATCACCAAAGAGAAAATACCTTGATCTTTTATCAAATTCTCTCAACTCATTCTTTAAGGAAATATATAGAGATCAGTTTGGACAATTAGTATGTGGATATTGGGACTTGAGGGGTTAATGCTCAAACTTGGGGGGTATCCCCCCTAAATCCAGTCAAGCCACCTTAATTTTGGCTCTGTTCAACAAACTCTTAAAATAAAATTTTTAACAATTCCAAAGTCAACAGTTACATGTATTACAGTACCTCACTGTAACTATTAATTTTTCTCTCTCTCTTTTTCTCTTGAGGGCATGACAAGTCATAAGAGGCCCAGTAGAGGTCAAATATCTGACATAAAGAGGACATAGCTTGATCATCTTGTTTTGGCTTGAATGTGTTTTCAAAAATAACATAGAAGAATTCCTCACATCAGATGTTGCCAGAGCGTTTCTTTTTCTATCTGCTTTTACTCACTGCCATAAGAGTTTCTGAGTTGCAAAACACACCCTAATACGAGACTCAGTTTGATTGGAGGGGAAGGAGATATTCTGCAGATTAATTTTGTTGGAAAAAAGTTTTGCAAGAAAATCTCTCTCTGATCATGAGCAAAAAATATAGTATCAAGGTCATTTCATGCCAACATAATTACTGAAATTTGTTTAACACCTTCTGGTAGTTTATTATTCAAAATCACGACAAACTTGCAGAAACTATATTCTATACCTGATGCTATATGTGGTGTATGTGCTATAGTAGCTGAAATGCATTCTTGTCTTAAATCAGAGCTTTCTTTAGCCTAATTTTTCTGTGCTGGAGACTTTCATTCTATTCCTCTAAACTACAATGAACAAGTTATTACTAGTGTTATTGTAATAATGAACTTCTAAGAGTATCCTTTCACTAAAATCTGTTATATTTGATTGCTGCATTGTCAAATAGAAGTCCATGACAGAAAATAGCATTGTGTACATATTTTATGTTGCAGATTGGGTTCTCCCCACTTTGTTCAGGTATAGCAGATAACAAAAAGTAAATACTTTATGGAAAATGTAATAAGTTTGAGGGCATTTAAAAAAGATCATTACTTTCGATTCAACATATTTTGCTTTTTTTTGATTGCTTGCCCATGGGAAAATTTAACCTGAGATCAGGTCCAATTTTAGCGGTTCTCAGAGCATGATCTCAGGTTAGGGAAAATTGGAATTTTAGGTGACATCTTTACTGCCTCTAAAAATATTACATGGCCATGGTTATATTTCCACTCGAGGGGTGTATTTTGCAGTGTGCAGGTCAGAATTTAGAAAAAAATGTCCTGAATGGTTTACAGATCTTCCCATACTCTTAAAAAAGAACATTACAATGATGTTTTGGTGATATCATATTCTTCACAGGGTCACGCAAAACTGGAAATATCAGATCTCATTTCTATAAATTGATTCTTTAGTCCCAGGTCTTTCAAGGCAAGAAGGAAGGTTTTAAAATTGTCAGATCAGCTGATCTCATCACTCCTGCCAAAGCTAGCATATATAGTTAAAGAAAAGACCGGTTCCTTGTCGCTATCATTGTCTGCCGTACCTACGATAGAAAAGGAAATTACACAGCCAAGGTGACCCAATTTATAAGTGCACTCGACTAAACGCACAATAAAGTTTCATCTAAGTTTAAAAGCAAAAACAAATTTCACTGAAATCCATGTTGGATGGACGTTGTGGATAGCCAGCACCATTCGTTATTCTTTTTTTTTTAAAGTGTAAAGCGACAAGCCAAAACAAAAATATATGATCTCGAATTCCAACTGAGCTTGAGAAATTCTGATTTGTAGTGCAGTGTGGTACTATGGCCAGACTTGAATTTAAAACTTACCTCTTTGTATAAAGAGGGAATCGCAAAATCTAACTCCCTCCAAACAATTATTTAAAACCTTCCTTCTTGCCTTGAAAGGTCTGGAACTAAAGGATCAATTTACAGAACTGAGATTTGAAATTTCCAGTTTTGAATGATCCTGTCAAAAAAATAATATCAACAAAACATCAGGAGCATAGCTAGGAATTTTCAAAGGGGGGATCACACCGTGTGACACCCAGGGTACTTTTGCATGTAGTTTGGGGTGTGGATTATTTATGGTGAGTGTTTTGGATGTCTAAAAGTAAGTTGGGCGTATTTCTACCAATGATAATAAGACTGTTGTTGACGGTAACTGATCAGTGGAATAGCCAGAGGAGTGTTCGAGGGGTTCCGGAACCCCCCTTAGGCTGCAGCACTAGATATAATTTTAAGAGGAATGAGATTTTAGCTTTTAAAGAAAATGAGAAGAAAAAATAAAAAGCATCACATTCTATTTCAAGGGTTACATATGTTGAGGTTTAATCAGTCTTTGCAGTAGTCTTTTTTACTTTAATTCTATTACTGTGAGGAAGATCAAACGTGGCCCCTGTGTATACAAGCCTGCAATGTGTGATTCAGCACCTTTGTTGGTCTCGATTGCTTTCAGTTGCATGTTGTAATGGTTTGAGTATGAGACAGCTTAATAGAAACTCGGTAGAGGCATAAAAGTGAAAAGGTAGAATGAAATCAGCCTTGATGTTTGCAAATCAGTCTGAGGAAATTGTCTGAAACTGGGGCACAAACACTAACAGAACAGCAAACTGCCTAAAACGTATAGTATTCAGGAATTCATCATATGCCATCCAGGTTACCACGATGCAGTGCCTTTTCCTTACATAAAAGCTACTCAGTATCAGGCTCCAAAAGCGAGACACTGATGTCTATTAGGATATCATCAGCTCTAATTTTCATGTGGCGGCTTTTTTGTTGGCAGTGCAAGTGTTTCAAAGTGGAAAAAGACCTTTCTGGTACTACTGCGTATTTCAAGTACTACATTACTTAGCCTGCGTAGCGGGCGCCTGGAAGTAGTGACCCAAGAAAGAATGGGTGCGCGAGAAGGAGACACACGAAGGGTCTTCCTCTCCCCTCGCGTGTCTCCCTCTTGTGCGCCCGTCCTTTCTTGCGTCCACTACTTCCAAGCACCTGCTACGCAGGCCATTCATTATAACAAATTACATCAGCAGAATGTGAGCGACGGCTTAGCCCATTGCACAGACTTAAAAGGCAATTGGCGACGACCATGACTGAATCGAGAGTCTGCTACTCTTACTATGATTGTTGTGAAATCGTATATTGCGTTACGCTCGTTTGTATTTTTGTTTAATTCGTTAATTTTTTACCAGTTTGACATATATCATTATTATCACAGTTGTCTAGCCCCGGAGTTTTTTTACCAGATCTAATCGGAGAGTACAAGGAGTTTTTTACGGAGTTATTTCACTCAGTTTTTTCCTATTTTGTTGTTCCTTTCTTTAATACGCTTGGAGGAACTATAACGTAAGTTCTTTTCCATTTTTGTCTTTCATTTTAGGTTTGTTTTACGCTCGATTTCCTTTTAATTTTAGTTATATTTTCTTGCGTAACGCGTGTCTATGTATGTTTTTAGTTCTCACCATATGCTTCATTGATACTGCAATAAACGAACTTTAATCGAGTACGGAGCGTGTGGTTGATCACAGCGAACTCCACCCGTGGGAACGCGACAGTGAGAAGTTTTAGTGAGAAGCTTATTTCGACCTATTCTACTGGAGTTCTAAGAATCGCATCAAGCAAGCAACTTGGTTATGCAATAGCACATGGCGCACCGCCCCCAAGATCAGTATTCGTATATTTTCGCCGATATATGTTAACATGGCACAAAGGAGCGGGAGTTTAACAATAGGAAACAATTCGGAAAATCCCTTGGAGCCACTTTTAAGCGAAAAATGGATTCTGCTTCGCAAAGTTCTCGGAAACATTCGCGAACGCGTTCGACCCTCTCGTCTCGCGCGTCTACCTCGTCTAGCGCGGCACGAAGGAAAGCCTTGGCCGAAGCCGCTGCAGCGAGACAAGAAGCGGAATATGACCGATTACTGGCCGAGAAAGAAAGGGAGAGAATTGAAATGGAAGCCGAAGAAGAGAGAAAACGTCAGTCTCAGAGGGCAAGATTCGAGTGCGACAAAGCTGTGTTAACAGCAAATAAGAAGCTGGCAATCGCCGAGGCCAAACTAAAAGCTATTGAGCAGTCTATCGAGGAGGAAGACGAGAAAGCCACTATGGTTACTATCCCAGGTTTGGACAACTCTATCGACACACAAGAGATAACGCGAGCCTGGATTAATGCACAAGGGACTATGGAGACACTGGATCGCACAGGGTACCCAAGCCCCCAACACGACTCGGGAAAGGTATCACACACTAAGCTCATTCAAAGCGAACTAACGAATGCTCGCTCATGCGCAAAAGAAGAGCCCTTACCCAGCACAAATGCTACCAGCTTTGAAAAGTCGCCGCCAGGGAAAAGTGTTACAGTAAGCACGCCCCTTTTTGGCCTCCGAGGAACAAATCCCTTCGCGTCGACTCCCACAGATGATCTCACGACAGTAAATCAAAGGCTAGTTGCAACGTTAGCGCGACAGAACCTTCCTAAGTGCCACCCGGAGATATTCACAGGAGACGTGACACTCTTCCACCCATGGAAAAGTGCTTTTCGTGCCATGATAGAAGATGCAAACGTGTCACCGGATCAGGAGATCAACTACTTAAGAAGCTATACAAAAGGAGATGCACAAAAAGTAGTTAATAACTACCGTCAGAGACAATATAGGAATCCTGCCGACGCCTTGCGCGACGTGTGGAAGGAGCTGGAGAGACGCTTCGGGAATACCGCCGCCATCACGAACGTTCTCTTAGTGCGACTTCAGACAGCGGCCAAATTTGGAGAAGAAGACAGCGACAAACTTCAGGCTTTCGCTGACGTATGTGCTGACGTGGACAGCCAATTGGATTTTCTTCCAGGACTCGGGTGCCTGAACTACTTAACCGCGATAGGCCCTATTGTCGAGAACTTACCCCGTTCTCTTCGTTCGAAATGGGAGAAGCGTGTAGTCCAGTATGCAGAGAAATACGACGATGCCTACCCTAGCTTCAAAGACTTTGCCGCAATGGTCCAAGAGCAAGCTCGATTAAAGAATCACCCGAACGTTTTGGCAGCAGCTCAGCCTAGTAATCGTAAACCGAAAGGCCGCGAACACAGACCACGACTTCCCGAAACAGACGCTGACCCAAATAGGAGAGTCCTCAAGACAGGCTTGGACGGCAAAAACGAGCCAAAGAAGGAGCCCGAGCTTGGAGAAGAGAAGTACTGTCATTATCACCAGCGAAAGGGACACCTTTTAGCCGAATGCAAAGCCTTTGAAAACAAGCACTAGCAGTGAGAAACGAATGTGTTCTCAAAGCAGGACTGTGTTTTCGCTGTTTATCAGCAGGACATAGATCGAGCGAATGCAATACAACCGTGAAATGCGCCAAATGCGGGGACGATCGTCATCCCACGGCACTTCACAAAGAGAAGCCTGGCACGACACGTACGGAGCACGGCGAGGAGCTTAAAACGGCCTGCACTTCGGTTGGCCACAACCCCTTCAGCGGCGGAGTGTCTTGTAGCAAGATTGTTCTCGTTGACGTTCTCTGTGAGAATCGCCCTCGGCAGTCCCATCGCACGTACGCAATCATAGACGACCAGAGCAATGCTTCTATGATAACTCCAAACCTAGCGAATAGGTTGGGCGCAACCGGACCGATTGTGAAGTACTTCCTGACTACATGCAGCGGTGGAAGAGAAGAAAAGTCTGGACGGCGAATTTCCGGTGTTGTGCTACGCTCTCTGACCGGCATAATTGCGAAGCTACCCCAGCTCGTCGAGTGCACAAACATCCCTGAGGACAAGCGCGAAATCGCAACACCAGAGATGGCCAGACAGTTTTCTCACCTCAAGGAGATTGCCGATGAAATCCCGCCTTACGACCCTAAGGCAAGTGTCGAGATCCTTATCGGAAGGGACGCGCCGGAGTTGTTGAAGATAAGAGCTAGCAGAAACGGACCTAAAGGAGCGCCATGGGCCCAGAAACTAGACTTAGGCTGGACCATCTCGGGCCAAATGTGTTTAGATCGAGTCGGTGGTCCAGTCCACATCTCAGCACACCGCACATCATTGGAGCGTTTAGACAGGCTTGTTACCAGTTATCCTCGGAACGTGCAAGCTTCACATCATCATGCTGAAGAAAGTGAAATCGTGCCCTGCCCAAATCATTTCCAGGTCAAAGAAAGATATGCAGAGAAAGGAGAAATCGGAGACAACCTCTTTCAATCGACACCCGGCGACAATTTGGTCAGTTTGTCGCAAGAAGACAAACGCTTCCTGAAAATAATGGAGACGGGGACTCGCAAGAACCAACAGGGAAACTGGGAGATGCCGCTACCGTTTCGCTCACCTACCGCCTCGATGCCTAACAACCGACCTTTGGCTGTCAACCGCCTTAACGGCCTGCTTCGCACCCTCAATAGAAAACCAAAGATGAAAGAAGATTACTTCCAGTTCATGGGCAAAGTCTTCGAACTCGGTCATGCGGTTCCAGTGCCACAGTACGAGTTGTTAACACCAAACGACTATCCCAATAGGAAAGAACCATTGAAACTCACCGAATCAGAGCGAGAGCACGTGGCAGGAGTCAGAGGCGAGGGACGCACATGGTACTTACCTCACTTTGGGGTGTACCATCCCAGGAAACCGGATCAGATCCGCGTGGTGTTCGACTCGTCAGCCGAGTTCCAAGGGGTCTCCCTCAATAAAGAACTTCTTCCAGGTCCCGACCTTATGAATAGCCTTGTTGGAGTGTTAATCCGCTTTCGTCAGGATAACATCGCCGTGATGTGCGACATTGAACAAATGTTCCACTCGTTTCACGTGGACCCAAAGCACCAGAACTTTCTCCGATTCCTTTGGTTTAAAGATAACGATCCGTCCAAGCGAATCATAGAGAACAAGATGACAGTGCACCTGTTCGGCAACGGGCCCAGTCCTGCTATAGCCACCTTTGGGCTACGAAAAACAGCAGACGACGGCGAGGAGAAATACGGGAAAGAAACAAGAGACTTCGTCCACAGAAACTTTTACGTAGACGACGGGCTGACCTCCCGCCCCACGGAGAACGAAGCTATTACCCTCATCAGAAACGCCCAAGCCATGTTAGCGACCGCGAATTTACGCCTACACAAAGTAGTCTCCAACTCGGTCCTCGTCATGGAAGCCTTCCCAGCTGAAGATCGCGCCAAGAACATCAAAGATCTAGACCTACGCCGCGATGTACTACCATCGCAACGCTCTCTTGGGGTCCACTGGAACATCGAGAAGGACCATTTCACCTTCCATGTCTCCCTCCCAGAAAAGCCCTTCACACGGAGAGGAGTTTTGTCTGTCATAAACTCGGTGTACGACCCTCTGGGATTTGTATCCCCAGTCATCCTGGAAGGGAAACTAATACTACGGCAGCTCGTCATCATGGGGAAGAAGGTGAACGGCAACGATCCTCTTGGATGGGACGATCCACTTCCCGAGAAGATGAAACACCGCTGGAGTCGATGGAGAGACGCACTCCCCAAACTGGAAGAAGTATTGATTCCTCGTTGCCATCACCCCAAAGGATTCGGCACAGTCACAAGAAGGGAGATACACGCGTTTTCTGACGCAAGTAAGGAGGCCATCGGAGCTGCCGTGTACCTGCGCGAATTCAACAATGATGGAGCTGTAAGCGTTTCGCTTCTGTTCGGACGATCTAAGATGGCACCAACTCAAACGACGAGCATCCCTAGATTAGAGTTGTGCAGCGCAGTACTTGCAACACAAGCCGTAATGATGATTCGCAGGGAGCTTGACGTTCAAATTGATGAAGAAATCTACTACTCAGACTCGAAGGTTGTACTTGGCTACATTCAGAACGAAAGTAGAAGATTCTACGTCTATGTCGCGAACCGCGTCCAGCATATCCGTAACGCAACTGCACCAAGTCAATGGAGATACATAGACACTGCAAGAAATCCTGCTGACCTCGCAACTCGCTGCGTTACCCCAGAGAAACTGGTAGAATCGCCATGGATACTTGGACCTGAATTTCTACGAAACCCGCAGCTTCAGCCTCAAGCTTCACTCCTGGAGGTACCCCTCAACGAAAGCGATCCAGAGGTGAAAAGAGAAGTCACCACCTGTGCCACTGCAACACACTCACCCCAGAGTCTTGGCTGCGAGAGATTCAAGCGCTTTTCCAGCTGGTCCTTCCTGAGGCGCGCAATTGCAAGTCTTATTGCGTTCATAAGAAAGTTCAAGGAGAGAAATCAAGTACTCTCAAACAAGCCAGTCATCCCCCGGCCTACTCCGTCTGCAGCCGAACTCGAACAAGCTGGCCAGGTTGTAATCAAGGCAGTACAGAAAGAAGTCTTCTCCGCAGAGCTTAAAGGGTTGACATCTGCTAAAATGGAGAAATCAGTTCCAAAGCATTCAAACCTGTTGCAACTTGATCCCTTGGTAGATTCTAATGGACTACTCCGCGTTGGAGGCCGTCTCGAAAACTCGACGCTCGAATATCAAGAGAAACACCCAGTCATTTTACCAAAAGGTCATCATGTATCAGAGTTGATCATCCGCCACTTCCACGAAAGCGTCCATCACCAAGGACGCCTCATCACGAGCGGGGCAGTTCGCGAGGCCGGCTACTGGGTTGTCGGAGCTCATCGAATGATATCCAGCCTTATTGAATCCTGTGTAAATTGCAAGAAGTTGAGAGGAGCAACCTTAACGCAACACATGGCAAACTTACCACTAGATCGAACGGAGACCAGCCCGCCCTTCACAAATGTCGGCTTCGATGTCTTTGGCCCCTGGGAAATCTCAATGAGAAGACTCAGAGGTGGTGCAGCAAACGCAAAACGCTGGGGTCTCATCTTCACCTGTCTGAGTAGTCGTGCCATTCATATCGAGGTACTAGAAACTATGGACGCCAACTCGTTCATCTGTGCACTGCGACGGTTTTTCGCCATTCGTGGATCAGTGACGAAACTCAGATGTGATCGTGGCACTAACTTTGTTGGAGGAAAATCACAGTTGGAACGAGCACTTTCGGAGATGGACCAAACACGAGTCCAGAAGTTTGTAGCTGAACAAGGTTGCGAGTGGATATTTAACCCTCCACACGCATCGCATTTTGGAGGCGTATGGGAGCGACAGATTGGCACTGTACGACGCGTTTTGGACGGAATGTTACTGGGGATTGGACGCGCACAGCTAACCCACGAACTACTAGTGACTCTCATGGCAGAGGTGACTGGAATCGTCAACAGCCGCCCTATTTCAGCAGTACCCTCTGACGTCCACGAACCGCAACCACTAACCCCTGCCATGCTGCTTACAATGAAGACTCGCCCCCTAGCACCCCACCCTGGTAACTTCGTGCCACAGGACCTGTATGCCCGTAACTGGTGGAGAAGGGCACAATACCTGGCCGATCAGTTCTGGGTCAGATGGAAAAGAGAGTATCTGCAGAACCTTCAGAACAGATCGAAGTGGCAGAAACGCGAACGTAACCTCGCTGTCGGTGACATAGTCCTGGTTAAGGGGGACAACACAACCAGAAACGACTGGTCGCTCGGAAGGATTTCAGAAGTAACCCAGAGTACCGACGGCAAAGTGCGGAGTGCCAAAGTGACTTCATGTAGAGCGGGAAACGTAAAGACCTACGAACGACCAATTTCCAGTTTCGTCGTTCTACTCAAACGGGAAGACGAAGCCTAATCTTGCGGACAATATAATTTGATTCCACGGACTTGATTTATATAATGTTGACGGAAGCAAGGATTTTCAATCCTTGGGCGAGGAGTGTTGTGAAATCGTATATTGCGTTACGCTCGTTTGTATTTTTGTTTAATTCGTTAATTTTTTACCAGTTTGACATATATCATTATTATCACAGTTGTCTAGCCCCGGAGTTTTTTACCAGATCTAATCGGAGAGTACAAGGAGTTTTTTACGGAGTTATTTCATTCAGTTTTTTCCTATTTTGTTGTTCCTTTCTTTAATACGCTTGGAGGAACTATAACGTAAGTTCTTTTCCATTTTTGTCTTTCATTTTAGGTTTGTTTTACGCTCGATTTCCTTTTAATTTTAGTTATATTTTCTTGCGTAACGCGTGTCTATGTATGTTTTCAGTTCTCACCATATGCTTCATTGATACTGCAATAAACGAACTTTAATCGAGTACGGAGCGTGTGGTTGATCACAGCGAACTCCACCCGTGGGAACGCGACAATGATGAACATTGCATTATGGACATGGACCCTGAGGCTAACAATTGACACCTTTGCACCAAAGCGTCCATGATGTTTCCTTCTTGCTAATACCCTAACTGAGTAAACAGCAAATCACAGGACTACAGTGTGTGTTTTAATGTATTCAACGATAATGAACATATATGTTGTAGTTCCATCTTTATACCCAAAAACAAAAGAAAAACAAAAATTACCTGAGATAAAAAATTAACAATCTACAACATAAACACTATCTCTTCACTGGAAGCGAAAAAATGCTAGCTTCATATGGCACTGTTACTAGAAATTTGTGCGAAATTTCAGACGACCTAAAGTATTAAAACTTTCCAGGAAACCCTCTGAAGATTTATCGTCAATCTAGACAAAAATACCACATTAGGAACCCCTCTATGCAAAAATGCTGGCTACACCCCTGCTGATGTTTCGACAACCTGTGCGATAGTCATCTTCTGAGTCAAATACTTTTTGTATTACTGAATTAGAGTCATGGCAGCAAAATATCGTGCTTTTAGCTTGTAAAGTCCTTGTTATGTAAGCCGTTCCTTTACAAAAGATGTGCCTTTACCTCTAAACTCCTCCATCTACGTTGTCAGCCAGACCATGAAAACATAAAAAAATGTAAAATTGACATTTGACATACCCAAGCAACGGTCAAATCCACAATTTACCACAAATACCCGCGATGGGGGGCAGGAGGGATGTTGAAATTTTCAATTGATTAGCACATAAGGTTTATGCTTCATTAATATGCTTTTATTATGAAAAGATTCATCATTTTTAAGGAACTGAGGAGTTCCAAACCATTTCATAAACAAACCTAGACTTGCATAATTATCATCACTCGGATAAGTAAATGTTAAAAACTACACTTCAATACCAGCTCTAACACATTATAATGAATTGCCAACTGGTCTACTTGCATGTACTTGCATGCAGTGGTGCGTATAGTAACTGTAAGTACATGCAGATAATAAATAGTGGTATTTTCCTGGCTATACTTACTTTTGGATCAAAATCTCAGGCAAAAGAGATCTCTTTCTGAGCGATGCCAAAGTCCTTCTGAGGGATTCCATTTGCAACACACTTCCTTCTAAGGATACCAAACCCCTTCTGAAACGTCTCCTTGGGAGGGACGCCAAAATCCTACTGAGAGATTCCATTTACGAGTTTCAAAATAGATAACTCCGTCGATTCTTCCCTACGTTTTTGCTTTCTTATAAAGCTCTGATTTAATATCGAAAGATTCCACATTTTCAAGGAACAGTGGAATTTAAGATAATTCCATATGCCTTTTCCTTGCCGTTCGAATTCTTACTCGTAAATTCTTTTAGAAAGCCAATGAAAGATGCGCCATCTTGGCCATTTTGTCGATCAGGCAACTCTTGTTTCTAGTCCCCCTCGATCGCATCCTTCGCGTTCCCAACAGTTCGCGTTACCTGATCCTGTAGCACGCTCACTTTCGGGAGCTGGACGAATAGAGAACGCATATCGCTACCGCCATTCGCTACACAGAAATTGTTATACTGAATTATCTCAAATACGAGTTCGCTTTTAAAAAGAACCTTACCTCATGAAGCGATGCAGTTTTTGATCGATGATCTGACTTCACTAGCCTTTTCTCGCTAACCAAATAATTAAGATTACATACAACATTTTCCCGACCTCTTATACACCTCTCCACTGCGAAAGACTGATGCAGTAGACTCCGTTTCACACTTTTCCACCTCGTTCAACATGATGACAAATGACCTGGCGTTACGAATAGAAAATGTTCTTCTCCAGGCAATCGAATCTATTCGAATCTAATGGATACAATGGATTCCATTGGAACGCCTTTTCATCCCCTTATACAACAGGAGTGGAATTTCCTAAGTCTCTCACGAATAGAAAATGAACTTTTCCATCGGAATCTATTCGTGTCCAATGGATCCGATGGACTCCATCGGAACGACTTTCCACCTCCTCATCCAACATGAGTGAAATTTTTCTAAGTCTCTCACGAATAGAAAATGAACTTTTCCATTGGAATCTATTCGTGTCCAATGGATCCGATGGAGTCCATCGGAACGACTTTCCACCCCCTCATCCAACATGAGCGGAATTTTTCTAAGTCTCTCACGAATAGAAAATGAACTTTTCCACTGGAATCTATTCGTGTCCAATGGATCCGATGGAGTCCATCGGAACGACTTTCCACCCCCTCGTCCAACATGAGCGGAATTTTTCTTAGTCTCTCACGAATAGAAAATGAACTTTTCCATCGGAATCTATTCGTGTCCAATGCATCCAATACACTTGGTAGGACTTTGCACCACTAGACTTCCGGTTTTCCGATGGAAAGCAAGGGGATACGACTGGATTCTGGTCGACAGTATTGGACAACCCTCAAGTAGGAGGAATAGGCCACTTGCACTAGGAGGCCACGTGACCAATGCTTTCTTTAAACAATGAGCTGGAATCTTGTTACTGCCAAAAATTGACAGAGCACATAAAAATTATCTTACACCCGAAATTTGAGAGGAAACGGGTATTTTATGGCACTTTGATTTTTCAACAAAGTAGTATCATTTGTATTGGCCGCCGTGTTGGAGGGTATACTCTTGCCTTCCAACATGGCGGCCAAAACTACTTTTTACTTAGATCTTGTTAAACGTTTGATAGTTGCCCTCAGATGTGCTGTAAACGTTCCCACATCAACTTTTCAACATTTTGCTTGACGTTTAAGTGCAAAGTTTGTGTTCGGAAAGAGGAAATTCACAATAATTTTATTTTAAAAATCGCACTTTGGTCACGTGACCACCTGCGAACTTACTCAATTTAAAAAAATGGTGCAGGTTTGCAAAACCAAATCACTATAATTATTTTATTAAAGATATGACCCACTAGTCGTTTTTGAAGAAAAAATCATATAACTTTCATTTTCATAAAAACGATGTCACATGACCTCTTGGTGCAAATGGCCTACCGGTATTCGGGATTTTTCTTCAATTCAGAAGTTAAATTAAGAGGTATTGCCTTTACAGCTAAATTCGCAATTAGGACAGGAATCTCATAAATTATTTTTTTACTTAGTATACTCCTTAAGCTATACAGTTATAGTTATTCACCAGGCCCAAATTGTTCAACTGGTGCATGGATATCACAACCACCTGACTGGATAAATCTCTCTCCACTGTATAACGCAATTGATTTCTCTAATACTTATCCACTAGATAGCGACGGATTTATCCGGTGTCTGATAGTGCTATCGCACTAATGAACAACTGGTACCTGAGCAATTTGGAAACAAGTAGCAAAAAAGTCAGGCGAAGTTCACAGGGGCGGATCTAGGGGGAGGGTGCAGGGGTGCACCCCCCCCCGAGATAACCTGCAGTTTTCTAATACAACTGGTATTCTGCAAAAAAAAAAAATGTGGTTTATTGGTGTTGAAGTAGAGCAAGGGACGAGTGCACCCCCTCCTAAAAAAAATCCTGGATCCGCCCCTGGTTCATTGTGTATTTTACAAAGTATAGCTTTGTGTTGAGAAAGTGTTTTTCGGGGAAGATCGTCCCAATGATTTGCATTGGAAGTTAATGTCAGTAGACGAAGAGTGTGATACCATACTTCGCTGAACTAATTAAGAGGAAATGTAAACCAACCAGACTGCTTTGGTTTGAAGTCTTCAACGTTAGTTAGTAGACAAGTTTTGAGTGCTCTCTGTGTTGTTCCACAGAGAACTTCAGTAAATAATCGAAGCGAAACTGTACTAAAGATTAATTGTGAAGAGTGTTTGGAAAAAAAGGATGAACATACGGTCTCGTCCGCTTAATCAGCTTAATCATTAGAGAGCTTACTGAGCAACCACGACACAGGCAAACGTCAGTTAAGTTAATTCGTGTTGTTTCAATCTTTATCGCTCCTGTTCAATTTGTCAAATGTTGGTGAATGTTTCTACGTCTAGAAAAGGAAAATCGTTGCTTGTACATTTGTTTACGTCCTCCCGTAAAACGTGAAATTAGGATCGAAGTTTTACGTCATGGTCTTAGCTTGCGACGACGACAAAGAAATGTACAAAAAAAGGTGTAAGGCATGCGAAAAGTTGTTATTTTGCTGATTGCTCTTTGGCCGTTCTCGTTGCCGTCGCCGTGGCCCTCATTGTTGCTTAGTAAGCTCCCTATTACAAAACTCTCCGGCTAGAAAACACTTTGTTGCATGTTCGTTTAAAACAAACACACCATAAGAGAATTAGGATTGCTAAGGTGCTGGGTGCTAGCTATTACCTTAAAATCGCTTTTGACCGTATTGATTTAGCCGAAGTATTGGCATTTAATGGCATATTTCCAGGCAATAGCTTAATTCAGTTAAATGTTTGGAGTAAATAAACAGTAAGTAACTGACGTTAATGTTTTGATTGCTTGTATTAATGTCTGCTCATGTACAGTCGAACCTCCGCTATATAACCACCACCTCTCAACAACGGCTACTTTTTTTGTCCCGGTGGACAAACAATCCATTCATTGACTCTTGTTTAAAACCTCTCTACAACGGCCACCTCTTTGCAACGCGGGCCACTTTCTCTGGCCCCAAGGTGACCGTTGCAGAAAGGTTCAACTGTTTACCGTAACCGGTACCCTGCGAGCAGGTGATCGTGGGCGCCACGACCTCGCCTTTCGAGCCACTCAGCTGAGCATAATCTAGGCATAGATAGGAGTAACCTTGGATTTGAGGGTTGGGTGGTGGGGCAAGGTGAAAAGAGTGCGGTGAGAGTGAAAAACGGAATGAGTTTGCGGAATGGCATGTGGCATGGCTTGCGGAAAGACATAATTATGCAGAATTTAATTTATGGAAAATGGCGCAAAGAAATAAATTAAACAGGAAAGTATGCGCGCGTCTCTGCCGTGCCTTCTTTGGCTCCAAATTCGAAGGAGCAATCGCCAGGCTAAAATTGAAGCACAGCTGATACACCAAATAGGGTCACTCTTTATCATAACGCTATAGGGTAAAAACCGCTCGCTGAACGTGAAGTGGGGATAGCTAGAATTCTAGGGATTTTTAATACGGTGAACGAATCAGATCATATTCGAGACTAAATGAACGCCTCGAGTCAAACATTAATCCGTAATCCACAAATCGAGTGAAGCGGCGAACTTCTCTCTGTCTCCTTTCGGCCTTTCCGCGTTTCCTCGCTGATCGAGAACTGGCCAAGTCATTAACATGTACGGTATTTTTTTAACAGTTAGTTTGATCCCAACCGGCTTTACTAACTTAATAAAGGTAAAGGTGAAGGAGAAAAAATGCTAAAAGTGGGAAAGAAAAGAAAGAAAGAAAGATAAAAAGAACACAAACTCGATTGCTTGGATTTGAGCTCGCGCTTCTCTGCCAGATGTTTTAGCCTCGCTTGTCTGAAACTTCATCACACAGTTAAGGAAACAAAATACAAAATAGGTTTGATCTCTGAATATTATGTCACAATCAAACACGCGACCCACCGTCTTTATAATAAATACTTTTCACGGGGTTTCATTAAATAGAGAAAAAAGTGACGTTAATCGTGCAAATATTTTGACCTTGATATCGTGACCTTCCAAAACATCTTTTCTTCAATGGGTGACTTTCGTGATGTAGTATCGGTGCTGCCAGCAGCCCGACTAATAAAGGCAAGTAGAATCTTTGTGGCTGTGCAAAAAGTTAATGGACCGTGAGAAATCAGGGAGTCTTTCTTGGCTTTTTGATTGTGATCATAGTCGAGCTCGCAACATTAAAAGGCGGCTGCTTGTGAGTTGATTGGCGCTAAAAGAAAGGGCCCAATTTTCAGTTTAATTTATTTCTTTAAAGTGCTACTACGATCAAATCTTTGACTACCATTTTTTTTCGCTAGATTGGCAGTTTAGTACTTGAAGTACATGGTGTGCAAGTTGTAGCTTCATACGATTAGGGAAAGTGGTATTTTTTGGCGCTCAAAAACCATTAATTTTCGTCCGCCATTAAAACGCTATGTTCCTGTGGCCTGGTTACCAAGAACACAAGGCAATTGCTTTGTGACGTCATTTACTTAACGCAGTACACACAGCGTGACAATTTTCTTCCAAGAACCCTGCTCAACAATGTTCCCTTTCCTCCCACTTCGATGCGTTCTTGTTTAGGAAGACTCTTTCGATCTTACCACATTAGGCTCCGTATGAGTGAAGCAACTGCTTCAATCGATAGAATTGAGCTGCACGCGAGTCTGACCAACTGAATGTGAGATTCGAGGAATAGGTTTGTTTCCAGCTGACAGTTTCGCTGTTTTCTCGGTTTGAGAACTTCGAAGAGTGCTGCAATAGCATTTACGGGGCTTTCAACGCAAGCCAGTGGCGTAAAATTAAACTTGGATCGTTTGCTAGCATATGGAAGAAAGATCAATCGACAGATCTTGAATCCGGAAAGAAATCTTCGCATAAAGAGGGAGCGCCTGGAGGTAAGCTTACAGTTCGCAAAACTTGCAGTGAATGTCCCCAACGCTAAGTTTATTTATATCGCCGGTGGTGATTTTTGCTTTTACTACTGGCGAAGTCATCGAAGATAAATTTTTTCTTAGACCTTTCTTCGACTGGAACGCGACGACAACGAAACTTTTAGGAAACTTTCAAAAAGATTTGCCCTAAGGCAACAGATCACAGAGAGCCCTCTAGTTTTGTAAACACTATTATCGCTCACACCTTGCTCTTGCAGTGTACTATTTTTTCTGTTACCACTATTAATATTCCTTTGAGCTTTTATTAAAAGCTTTAAAGCTCTATTTGTAAATTTTTATTATGAAGCATTAAAATCTATCAGGATTATGGTGCAATCTGAATGGTATGATATTTTAATATACAGTAAATTCCTTAGTATTTCCAACATTCTGTTCGCCATAACCCTCACTAAACAAATTAAAGGTATACTTTTTTCAATTTTAGTCTTCCCAAAACTCAGAGCCTGAGCACAGACACACTGTCAGTTCAAACCACAAGCTAAAGCAAGAGAGCCCACACAAGTTTATTGCAAAAACTGTTTTTGCAATTTTACAGCAAGAATTATTACCATTTACTGATGTGGTCTTTAAAATAAAATTGTGATCTTATCTTGAATGTTGTGTATTGTTATTCTTTTGAGTGAATAACGAAAAGTTTTGCAATCTCGCATTGAATACTTATAATAATTATAATTATAGTATATAATTTGAGATGTAAACTCCAACACAGGGGCACTCATGCACTGAATCACTGAAGTGATGTGACTGACAGATTGCAAGTTAAAAATGAATAATAACCAAGGCTTGGTCACTGAAACATTTACTGCAACTGAAGGTTATGTACATGTATGAGATAGTTTCATGGCCCCTGCTCATCACTGCTGCTTTATGTTTCACTACTCAAGGTTGTGCTCTACCAGCACCCATTTGGCCCGTGGTGCTTAACTATTGTTCCGGGGCAACCAGGAAATTTTTTCATAGAAATCATGTGCTGGGCACCCAGGATTTCACGGGTCCGGAGCACTGGGCTCCTTTCAATTTTTCTTAGAGCACAGCCTTGCTACTTCATAAAACCTTGGTGTATCTTTTAATATGGGATAGACTAATGTTATTCCTATAAATGAGGAAGCTTCATGGCCCCTTACCACATACAAAGGCACTGTCCACCCTACTGTAACAATTGATCTGCACACTTGTTGATCACAAGATAAATGTGAGGCCCCAGCTAAGAAGCTGGAGGACAAGTTTAGGTCTTACGTACCGTGTGCAATATACAAATCCATTATTTTTTAGTCATACCAGTGATACTGTTTAAATACTGTTTAAAGGCTGCAATTTTATTGTTCTTTGTTGTCTGATTTAGCATAGTCTATTTAGGGGTTATTATATAGCCTGAGCCAAGCTAGGGCAGGGCCCACGCAGGGCAAAGGGGCTTCCCCACTTTTTGAAAAATAAATAAATAAAATTAAGTACAGTGGAACCTTGATATAATGAAGGGCCAAGGGACTGGCAAAATATGTTTATTATAACAGGGTTTGTTAACTTTTATCGAGGTTCTTTTTCATATTGCCTTATATTTTATTTACTGGAGTAAAAAAAATAGTTTGTTAGACCGAGGACTTAGTTATAGAGGTTCCATTGTAATATACATTTTCATATGAATAGTATCTTTGTTGGAATAAGAATCTTCCAGCATCTAAATTTATTATTGGTCCGTTTTGATACCATCAGTCTGATGCGTGGTAAGCCTCAAAAATTCAATCGTCGTAGATTTCTGCATTTTCAAACCAGCAAAGCTATGTAGCATTTGCAACAATGCGGAATAGTCTTTTTTGACGAAGGTTCTTGATTAAATCTGAAGACTACTCCATGAACTACGGTTTCTTAAAACGAATTATATGATGATTTGGTCTCTGGCACATTTCAATGACATACTAGACAAAATGAAGGCATTACAGGAACCTACAGTGTAATATCATGATCTGCAAACTTCTAGTGGTGGATTCAGCATGTGCAATCACGTTCAGCAGGAGAAAGGTACTTTTCAGCAGCTTGAAATTTATGAACATGACTCTGCTCAACAATGACTCAATAAAGGTTCAGTAATCTGACAGTTCTAAACAGCCACAAAGAGAGAACAGCCAAATTTGCTCTCCCCCCCCCCCTCAATGTAGGTGGTCACCAGCCCCGCGCACGTTAAAAACTGCTTACCAGGCCCTCTTAGGGGTTGTAACTCTTATAAATGCTAGTTTCTAATAATATTTTACAATGGAAAAACCCAGCAAGAAAAACCCACAGAGCGCAATCAAGGATGGGCCTCCATGATGAACATAATTTCCACTGTGTAACACTTCTTCCTAGAGGCAGTGAATTTATGGCACACTGTGTTATCAGCAGAATCGTGCAACCTAGTGATGTACTGAACCATTTAGTTTTTCAACAAGTAAAGTTAGTTGCAGGTAATAATTTATTAATGCAGTGATAACCCAGTACTCTATGATCTACAGACACCCACTTAATTGGACACCCATATATAACAGGCAGTTTTGTTTGTCCCCAGGAAAAGCATACATTTTTTCTTTAAAATTAACCGGCTTAGTACGCACAGTAGTTAGCACAGTAGTTAATGTGGACAACAACCACTTTTCTGTGTTTCAAGTCAGAAATTCCTATATATTCTTAATCCAGCTTTACAGACACTGGTTACCCAGGCACTTTCTATTTTTCTTGTCACAAATGATGTGCCAATTGTAGACATTGTACCAAGTTCACGGGTTAATAAGATTTTATTACCAAAACATCTGAAGCCAAATAGCATGACACATTTGACTTTGATACATCTTTCTTTCTTCCCCTGTTTGTAGTCCTTTGATAAATTTTCTGCCTCCTGCTCAACAAGTTTCACGTCCTTGGCTTTTTGCTACAGTCATTGTTCCTACCCTTCTTTCTCCTTGTTCCTTTATGCTATATATCAAATAAATCACGTGTCTGTCACTTTTTTCCAGAGAGCTAACTTAACATGGACACCCAGATAATATTGACATCATAACACGTCTGTATTAACCTTTCCACTATATATATTTTCTTGTCTAGCCAAAGCTTCAAAGCTGGTCCCTGTAGAGCATCCAAAATATGCACACCTGGGTTTGAATAATAAATAAATTTTAAAAAAAACGTCACATACAACAATTTCATAAAGTTATCTATAAAAGTTATGGGAATACAAGGGGATATCATTGACAATAGTTGGATGAGGTGAAATCTCTGAATTTTTATTAGCGTTGCAATTTATGACTTGCAATAATGATCTGCAGTCAATCGATAGGGAAGGCATAGGCAGACACAGCCTTTTCAAAAAAACATGAGCTACAAAGAATGTGACAGTCTTTAATGTCAGCCCTGAAAATTATTAAATTGATATACCAAATCGAGAGCGAGCGATCCCCTTATTTATCTATTTGTATTGAAAATGAGTAAATTAACTTTTCTGACAAAGAGAACTTAACATTAGATCTAATTTTAAAATCCTCAGCTCAGATACGTAACGCTAAGGTAACAATTAAATTTTCAATAATAAAGGACAGCAGTCAGTTTAAGATGGTAAAAAAAACACATGCATATGACAACGAGCTGGCTGCTTTAGAACTGAAACTTAGCTGAACAGAAAACTGTACCCACTCTGATTCGCTGTGCCTGAAGAGCTATAAAGCAAAACTTTATCTACACTTGGATAAATGAGCACTCGAGAGTGGCTAGAAGGCAGGTGAAATTGGTGCGGACTCTCGATCGTCTTCCCTGTGTATTATTATTATAGCTAGTACGTATACAAATACACCCACCAGTAGTCCGAATCTCCGTCGGCACAAACTGCATAAAATACGACTTGGTGAAGTGTGTTTTATTTCCTTCTCTGAGGTTAGCTGCCCTTAGTATTTGACTTTCTCATATTCAGTCGGTGCTGGTTCTACAGAGTCATCGTAATCTACGATTTCCTCCTTCACAATTCCAGAATCGGGAGAAGACGAGCGAAGCTTTGATCGGTAGCTGTTTTCTCACGGTTCAGGTTTGTTTTCTTGGCGCGTTCAGAAAATGACGTCACAATCAGAGAACAATAGCTTTGTCACTGGAACATAAATTTGTAATGGCGGACGCGAAAAACCTACATTTTCAAGCTCAATATTTTCACTTAGAGGGCGCCAAAGTTCATTTCAATGACCGAAACAGGTACAGCCACTTCTGATAACCTGAAAAGAAAGCGTTTTTGTGACAAAAGTGACATTAAATTTTGATCGTAGTAGCACTTTAAGTCATTCTGCATATATTGATTCTGCACAATTTTATGTCATTCCGTAATCCATGCCACATGCCATTCCGCAAACTCATTCCGCCCTTTACCCTCGCCGAAAAGAAAAACGGATGGAAAAATGGACAAAGGAGAAATTGGAGAGTTTCTCTCCCACTCTGATTTTACGTATAGTAATTACCTTTCCAAAGGCTCTATGTAATATCAGCGACGGTTCCATGTGAACGGAAGGGTCTCGTGCTTTCAGGCTCCTCACCTGAAGGGAACCCTCATAGGGGACGGCTTAACTGACAGACTGACAGACGACCAATATCGCAACGTAATTGACCAATCAGACCAATAACCAGAATATAATACTATCAACTTACTTGATACAACTCACTTTGACTCTGAAGATGACTACCGCACAGGTTGTCCAAACGTCAGTCACTGTCAACAACAACAGTCCTATTCAGGACTACGTTCACCCGGACGATCAAACTCAACCTACTTTTGAAATAAAATAAATTGTTTGTCATACCTCTTGAAATTGTACATATATTAATTATAGTCGGTTTGAGTTGGCTACCTTAATTTGCCTCGATCTGATGGTAAGCTTGAGCTACCTTTTGGTTTTATAAATATTTTAAGAAGTTTATGCTTTGTAAACAGATTATCAGTTCTCAGAAATAACGATTATTTTTGGATTCTTGAGGTCGTCAAAAAGTCAAAACACGTCAGGCACCATTTGATTCGTTGCCAAAATAAAGTTTAGTCTGGGTCAAAACGGACAAGACCTCTTTGTTGCGGTTTCTGATCATGACAGTGCCAACCGGTTACGCCTCTGAGTGTTTCAAAACTTAAATTGTTTCCCATTTTTTTCCCATGGATTTAAATACCTCGCTGGACAATAATCTTCATGATGAAGTATGCTGTTCTGTGTGCATGTGCCAATTCTGGAGCATTTAATTTGAACAGTCAGGGATGACTTGGCCGAAGGTTGATTTATGTACATTTTAAAACGACCACAATCTTGGACAAAATAGAACGAAAATTAATCCGTCCTCCCTCCTGCAAAATAGAGGATGGGGATATAATGGCGCGTTTTGGCTTTCGCGTGGCTTTTCAGTGCTCTTGATATTTGAGCCAACGGGGACCTGATTTCCCAGTTTAATCTGTCCAAGGATTTAACACGTGTCGGTAACGAGTTGAGTGTACGCAAATATTCAAACAATTTTTAACCTGCGCCTGCCTAGCAAACATTTCCGGAATCAATTAGGGACGCAGAGCTTCTTCATTCCTCATTTCTGCAATCCCCCGACTTTCTTGAAGACCTCAGGCGGAAACCATTGCCACGGGAAGGTTATCCATGCTTCAACGAGCTGATTAAAAATTCTCGCAGGATGTTTTTTATTCTTCCGTCAAACCATCAAAACATGTCAAGAAACGCTATTTGATTGGTTAATAATACAGAGTTAAGTCTGGCTCAGAGGACAAGACATAATTGTTCATTCGCAAAGCCATTCCCTTGATCGTCAACAACTAGGCCGAAATTTTTGAAGAGTAACCTTGTTTCCGACCTTTTCCATGGATATAAAGACCTTGCTGGACAATCTTCATGATGAAGTATCCTGTTCTGTGTGCATGTGTGCATTCACTGATCCAAAGCAGTTGCCTTGTTTGCACAGTTTCTGTCTTCATTGCCTGAACGGAATTCAACGAACGAGCGGCGTCCATGGTAAAATTACATGCCCCGAGTGCAGGAGACAGTTTCAAATCCCTGGAAGTGGAAATCCTAGCGAACTTCCCACCAATTTTCGTATCAACAGTTTGCTAGATGTCTTGGCAAGAAAAGAGTGCAGCACAGCTAACGTGAAATGTGGAAACTGCGACAAGCAGAGCGCCCAGACCTTATATTGCTTCCAGTGTTGTTCTTTCTGGTGCGAGGAATGTATTTTAGGACATAACATAATACGCATCAATAAAGAACACAGAACGCTGGCACTGAAAGATTTTCAAGATCAAGACATCGAGGCCGTGTTAAAGAGACCAGCATTTTGTCAGAAGAAACGACATGAAAGCAAAGAGTTGGAGGTCTTTTGTAAGGACTGTAAAGTCGCCATTTGCAACACTTGTGCCTTAACGCTCCATGAAGGTCACGGAAAGATGCTTTTGGAAGAAGCTACAGACGCGCGCAAGACTCAGATCAACTCCATGACTCAGTCTTTAATAGAAAAAGCAAAAGAAAAACGCAAAGAACTCGAGCAATTTAATGAAAAGAGCACGGACATTAAACTACAAGTTGCCGACTTTAAAAGACAAGTGCAGACGAATGTGGATCAAGTTATTGCAATCATCGAAGCGAGGAAACAGGATGTTTTTGCTGCAGTCGATAATCAAGCGAAAAAATCACTGGAATCTCTCTCAAAGAAAAAAGGACAAGTTGAAAATCAAGTGAAATTAATTGAATCGGCAATTGAACAAACTAAAGCTCTTGTGAAACGAAGCTTTAGTACTGAAATCCTTGGATTCAGTGAAACATTTGATACAATCCTACGGGAACAGGGCACCCAAGGAAACCGTGACATTGAATGTATTCCTCGGTTTAGTTTTACTAAAAGTGAAAAACTGATTAACGTGTTGAACAATGAAGGGATAGGTAATGTAAAAATTGTTTTCAGCGAAACTAAAGCCCAACAATCAGGAGCTAAAGGTAACGAAAGTAGTAAAGTAATTGCTGGGATTAAAGGGGCAAATGTTCGTGACAGTCCTCTTGAGACTCGGGTACAAACCAGGCGCTTCGGATCTGTGCTGTCATTTGGACAAAAAGGTAAGTCTGTTGGAATGCTTAACTATCCCTGGGGGGTGGCAGTGAATGATCGTGATGAAATTGCTGTGACTGAGCACTGGAACCACAGGGTTTCAGTGTTTAGTAGTGATGGTACCCACTTAAGATCGTTTGGTAGAATCGGTAACAATAATGGTGAGTTCAGGTACCCTACAGGGATCGCTTTTGATAGTCATGGCAATATTGTAGTGACAGACTGTGCTAACCACAGGGTGCAAGTCTTTGATAGGAATGGTAACTTTCTTAGTAAGTTTGGTGAAGAAGGAAGTCGTGATAATCAGCTTGAATACCCTCAAGGTTTATCAATAAACGGTAACGGTGATATTATTGTTGCTGATAACGGTAGCAAATTAATCAAGATATTCTCCTCTAGTCACAACTATTTGCGTAAGTTTGGTGGAGCAGGTTCATTGGTCACTCCCTATCACTGTATCCAACATGGTCAATATTTTATAGTCTCAGATTACGGTGATCATTCCCTTAAAATGTTTGATCTTGAGGGAAAATTTATTTCTAAATTTGGAAAACAGGGGAACAAGGATGGAGAGTTCAATCAACCCCTTGGCTTGTCAGTTAACAAAGAAGGATTGCTAATGGTCTGTGATGCGGGAAATCACAGAGTTCAAGTATTTGAACTGAGTGGAAAGTTTGTTACAAAATTTGGAAGTGAAGGTAACGGGAGAGGAGAGTTGAAGAATCCAATTTCTACAGCAATTCTTAGTGATGGAAGAATAGTTGTGTGTGAATTTCATAACAACCGAATCCAGGTATTTAAGCATAAATGAGATAATTTTGCCAGCGAATACAACCGTCTCTCCTCGCTCCTCGTCGTTAGGGACCTTTAGCGGAAAACGTCTTTGCCGCGAAACTTCCTAATAGCGGCGATGAGCGAGGAGAGTCAGCTGTATTCACAGCGGGCTTGAAATAATACTACCTTTGGTGAAGTAAGACTTGAGAAATAGGTCCCGCTATTATACATTGATCATTTAAGCTCCACTGTTCATGTTTCTGGAGGAATCAATTTTGTGCGATTATTTTCGTTGTTTAGACATTTTGATATGTCGAAATTGGCGTAGTATGTTCTACTTGTAAATATATTTTGTCCATAAATGATATGGATCAGTCCACTGTCGCGTAAAAGTTCAGTTTACGCCGGCGCCACCTTCCTTGCATTGCCTCTATTTTATTTACGCGCGTAAATACAATGCTTAGAAAGAAAAACTGGACCATATATTGGCTTATATTGAATTGACTAGTTCCAAAAAAAGTAATTAATTGAGATAATTTTCTCTTACATTGTAATCTCACATTATTACTAAATAAATTTGCAAATACTTCATATCTAAAAATATTATACTGTTTGATATTTACATACACTTTTGAAAGTGTGATTTTTGAATGGGTTTTAATCTGTGCAATAGCGAGGACAGCCTGTTGTCAATTTTGTAAGTAAACGGCTTATTTTTACTTACCTTTTTTCAGAGTAATAGACATACATATTTCTCAAAAAGCAAAATACTATTCCCTGTAAATAACTCAAGTGGATTATTTTTTGTCTTAATAAACAACAGTGTAAATGCTATGTTCCTTGTATTCAATGTCTCCTAATAGTCAAAGGCGGATTTAGTGGGGGGAAGTGGGGACGAGGAAGCCGCGACCACTCCTTTTTTCTTTGAAATTTTGTATGATTTTTATAGAATTCTCTGTTTATATAGCTGGCAAGTGTCCCAGCCACCCCTTTCTGAATTTTCTAGATTCGCCCCTGCTAATGTATGCGATAACCTGCGCAGGAGAGTCGACAACGCCACTTAACAGCTAGTCTCGCTTCTTGTGTCACGCGCTTAAGAGAAAAACTAAACAAATTTAGCAGTAACGTTGGAAATTGGTGAAGGCCACCTCTCCCATTTTGTCTCATTTACTGCCGGCCACACAAGCACAGGGTTACAAGTCTAATTGGTTGGAATGGTAACTTTATTAGTAAGTTCGGTGAAAGAGGTGATGACCCGGCTTAGTGAACCTGAAGATTCATCAACGGCGACAGCTGGGCGACAGTCATATTGGGGAGCTTAAGCAACTACGACGACGACGACAACTTCAAAAAACAGTAGGTTTAATGATCATAACAACAACTCTGCACATGCATCACGCTTTTTAGTACATTTCTTTGACGTCCACTGGACTACGACGTGAAACCTCCTAATTTGACGTTCTATGGAGGACGTGGACATACGACGAAGAATTTTCCTTCCTCTTTTTGCACTTGAATAAAATCCTTAAGAATTCATCTCCAGGAAAAGTCGCCTGCATTTGACATATTGAGCGGGTCCAAATAGACGCGATTAAGTTTCAAAGAACGCAAATTCATTTTTTTAGGGACGTTTTCACTGTCGTCGTCTTCGTCGTTGCTTAAGGTCCGTATTATTGTTGCTGATAAAGGTAACAAAATAATTCATCAAGATATTCTGTTAAAGAGAGGAATGTTTATGCAAATTTGGTGGAACAGGTACTCATGTTTGCCAATCCCTATCACTGTATCCTACACAGTCAATATCTTATACAGTTGAAACTGTCTACAACAGCCACCTTGGGGACAGAAAAAAGTGGCCATTGTAGAGAAGTGGTCGTTGTAGAGGCTGAAACAACAGTGAATGTATACGGAAAGTCCGCCTAAAAAAATGGCCGTTGTAGAGAGGTGGCCGTTAGTGGAGGTTCGAGTGTAGTCTGAAACTGTGGTTATCATCTCATTAAAATGTTTGATCCTCAGGGAAGCTTTTGTAAATTTGGACAACGGCAACAAGAATGAAGAATTCAACTAGAAAAGCAGGACCGTGTGTTTATGGTCTGTGATTCCACCAACCACAGAACTCAGGTGTTTGAACTGTGTGGAAAGTTTGTTACAATTGGAAGTAAGGGTAGTGAGAGAGGAGAGTTTATGTTTCCAAGTTCAACAGCAAATCCCACTGATGCAGAGGGATATAGTGACACGCGTAACTCCCCAGTCGCCTTAATATAATAACAGGTAAATCCATGTTGGAAATAGTGTTCAATTTGTAAATATAATTTTGTCAGCGTGATTTTTGAATGCGTGCTAACCTGTTCAATAGCCTGAGGCTCACATTTCTCTACCAAAAAAGAGAGGGGGGAATACTTAGCAAAATTTTACACGGGTAGGCTCTGCCCCGAGGTCCAACCTCTTTTTCCTTTATTTAATATTTTTAACAGAAAAATGACCTTTTTCGTTTATTTTTTGTTGACAAATGGTATCCCTTTCACATACTACTTTAGAACGCTGCTTTCCTTTTAGTTGCTATGAATGCAACGTCTTATAAATATGGCACAGCCTGTGTTAGCCCTTTTGGGTCCTTTCACAGACCGCAATGACAGGTATTCTAACCTTTTCATATACTTCAACTAGTAAACCCTTAATGTCTGAGTTGCCTGAAGCCTGAAAAAGCCTCCCCGTATAGGCCATCATAAGGAGTACCCCCCCTCTCTTCCCCACGCCGGAGGGCGTCATCCAGTTTTACGATTAAATTTTCCTTCAATTTTCTCAAAACAACAACATGTTATTACCAGGCAATACCTTAAGTGAATTACTTTTTGTCTTATAATAAGCAATTTTCTATGAAGGAAATGAGGGAAAAGCTAGATTTCGATGCCCTTGCTTCTCGCTTCTAGCCTGCGAACACAAAAGTATTGCTTCTCTCCATCCGGGTGGAGAGAAGCGTCGACCGCAAATTTGTCATCTTTTGTCCGTGTCGGCAGGCTATCTCGCCTCTGGTTCCAACGCCATGATAAACTAAAGAGGGAAAGCAGTTTACTTGGATGCTAAGTAGGCTTCTCATGCGAGTTTGATTTGGAGGTAAATAGGGGCCATGGGGTACGTGAAGCTCTCTCTCTCCAATCCTCTTCAACTCACTTTTCTCACCGTCTCTTTGCCCTAGCCCCTCAGAGAACCTGCTCACAGACTATCAACTTATTTCTGGCTCTCGACGTTTAAGAAAAGTAGGGAGCAAACGGAATACAAAAACACTTGGAATGTGGGTTTTGAAGGTGATCACGCGGTTTAAAGGCAATCACGTAGATGACTGCTAGTCACGAAACTTTAACTTGATTTTAACTATTAGTGGTCACGTCCTGAAAATAAGCGTTCGAGAGACTTGCCGAGTTACCTTCGGCTTGTAATGACCACAGCTGAAGGCGAAAGGAAAAGGTATTAAAAATATTATCTCAAGATGATAACCATTTTCAACAGCTAGGGTAGTTTTAGTAGCAATATCAGTAAAACTGCTTATCGATGAGCCACTTAAATCCGAAATGATCAAACTTTAGATACCATGTCCCTTATTTCAGCTGTTTAGTTTTGTTTCACTCATTCAGTTTGCCCTTTTTTCTATTGCCTTTGTTTCAGAATTTCTTTCACCAGCTGTAGTCGTTTCAATAAACCGAACATAACTTACCTGAGTAACTCGGTAAGTCTCTCGAACTTAACACTCACTTCTCAGATGGTGTCCACCACCAAGATGAGAGTAGAAAATATTGACGATCTATCGATGAGCCACTCAAACCTGAAATGACCAAACTTGAGATAAGTTATGCCTTCTGTTCATTTTCATCTCATTTCTTGTAACACCTCACCGCACTATACAGTATTGTTACAGTTATTGTTACAGCAGAAAGGTGATTATATGGAACTGTACTATAGCTATAGTCGACAGTTAATCAGGTCAGTAAATCTAATATCCTTTACAGGCAAGTGGAGTCTGAAGCTAGAGATTGCAGTTCGTGTCGCGATTCTCAAGTCAGGTCATCTTTGCTTTTCACTGAAAAACTGCTGAGCGATCATTTTCAATTTTTCGATTTTCTCCTCAGGCAATACAAGCTGTTTTTAATTGATATATTCGCAAGTGGCTAATTATTGTGCAAAAGAAGGCAGAAAATATACAACCACACCACACTGAGGCTTTTGTTGAATTGAGAAAAATTTTCCCCCATCATTTAAGAAGAAATCCACACTCAAACTGCAAATGCGCATATTATTCTAATTTCCTTGCTATACTACAATCGGTGACAAGGCATTTAGCACGAAAGTTCTAAAGAGTCGGGACCGCCATTTTACATGGTCATCCGAGCCGAGACCTAGGGGCATCTAGTTGGGTCGATAAAATGTTTGTGGTGAGCGTTTACTGTAAGATCGAGATGAGCCCGAGTTTTCGAGACCAGCATTCAAATAAGCTTGAGTCAATTCAAAAAAGGGCACTGTATACATCCATGCCATAGTTACTTAGATGCCCTTAATACTACCAACCTTAGCAGCTTGAAAGAAAGACGAACTCAGCTCGATCTGCTGTAAATATATTCAGAAGATGACTCAAAATGACCACCCCATTAACTTCCTCAAGCCGAGAACAGCAATTAGTGGTCATAGTTACAACTTGCGGGCCAGCGACAATCGAAATATTGTTTACGCTGACAGGAGTTGTTGCCGGACACAGCGTTCAGGTTCCTTTATTTTATTCGCAAGTAAATATCTGAATATGTAAATAGTTATATTTAAGATATTTTTCTTGTTTCTACAAGTAGTGTTAATTATTTGTTGATTGTTAATTTATAGCCCTTTAATTTAGTTAATTCTGCAATGTGGCAAATAAACGGTATATTTATTTATTTATTTATCTATTTATTTAGCACCTCGTCTCGATCTTACAGTAAGCTTTCACCACGAACATTTTGTCGTCCCGACTAGCTGCCCCTGGGTCTCCGAGGATGAGCCACGCGAAGGTCTAGCTGCTTGCATTGCAAAGACCCTGGGCGCGATCCATTCAACCAAAATTCCAATCGACCGGGAAAAGTGGTCCATCTAAAAAGGTGGACCCGTTTTTTCGAAATTTTTTCGGTTGGACCGAACCGATCCATTGAGTTTTGGACCGAAATTTCCAGACATTTTGGTTGAATGGATCACGCGGCTTCGAGCGGCTTCGCGACCCCTGTCAGTCTTGGTCCGGCCCTGTTAATCGAGCCATGAACCTTTTGTCATTCTGCAGAATATGCCGACGGGTTTTTAGCTTTCTAATTTTATATATTCTTTATGGCATGGGAGCCTGGAAAGATAAATATGGAGTACATATAAATATAAGAATCAACCGAGTTCTGAGCCGAGTAATAAACGTACCGCTAACATTACGAGTAACATAGTTATATACTTCAGTAACCTACTACAGTAAAACCTGGTAAAACGAGCAACAAAAAAACTTGCAGGTTCTTTTGCAGCATTGGTGCTAAACATGTTGAATTGCGTTACTTACCCCGTTATACCCGCACCCACTTTTAAACCTGTCTTACAACAAATATAAAGGTTGTAAGGTTCTTTTTGTGAGCGGTAAAACGCGCAACATCGATATCGCTATAAGTCGTTTTGCAGCAAACTCCCCGGGGGTGGAGGTACTTCTTTATATAAGTGAACATAAATCCGTGTGTTATTCGTTTGTAAACCGTATGAGTGTACACAAATATTCAAACAATTTCAGTAGTCCATGCTTTAGCCTGCCTAGCCAACTTTTCCGAACGAATTCCTCTTTTCTGCTCTCCCTCAACTTTCTTGACCATGCACCACGCGGAAACGCTTAATTCTCGGAAATACAGGATGTTTATTATTATTCCGTCAAACCATCAAAACATGTCAAGACACACTATTTGATTGGTTAATAATACAGAGTTTAGTCTGGGTCACAAGACAAGACTTCATTGTTCATTCGCAAAACCATTCCCTTGATCGTCAACAACTAGGCCATTAAGTTTTCGAAAAGTAACCTTGACTTGTTTTCAACCTTTTCCATGGATATAAAGACCTTGCTGGACAATCTTCATGATGAAGTATCCTGTTCTGTGTGTATGTGTACATTCACTGATCCTAAACAGTTGCCTTGTTTGCACAGTTTCTGTCTTCATTGCCTGAAAGGAATTCAACGAACGAGCGGCATCCATGGCAAAATCACATGCCCCGAGTGTAGGAGACAGTTTCAAATCCCTAGAAGTGGAAATCCTAGCGAACTTCCCACCAATTTTCGTATCAACAGTTTGCTAGATGTCTTGGCAATAAAAGAGTGCAGTACAGCTAATGTAAAATGTGGAAACTGTAACAAACGGAATGCCCAGACCTTATATTGTTTCCAGTGTTGTTCTTTCTGGTGCGACGAATGTGTTTTAGCACATAACATTATACGCACCAATAAAGAACACAGAACGCTGGCACTGAAAGATTTTCAAGATCATGACATCGAGACCGTGTTAAAGAGACCGGCATTTTGTCAAGAAAATCGACATGAAAAAGAAGAGTTGAAGCTCTTTTGCAAGGACTGTAAAGTCGCAATTTGCAACACTTGTGCTGTAACACTCCATGATGGTCACGGAAAGATGCTTTTGGAAGAAGCTACAGACGCGCGCAAGACTCAGATCAACTCCATGACTCAATCTTTAATAGAAAAAGCACAAGAAAAACGAAAAGAACTCGAGCAATTGAACCAAAAGAGCGAGGAGATTAAACTGCAAGTTGCCGACTTTAAAAGCCAAGTGCAGACACATGTAGATCAAGTTACTGCAATCATCGAAGCGAGGAAACAGGATGTTTTTGATGCAGTCGATAATGAAGCGAAAAAATCACTGGAATCTCTCTCACAGAAAAAAGACCAAGTTGAAAATCAAGTGAAATTAATTGAATCGGCTATTAAACAAACTAAAGCTCTTGTAAAACAAAGCTTTAGTTCTGAAATCCTTGGATTCAGTGAAACATTTGATGCAATCCTGCAGGAACAGGGCACCCAAGGAAACCGTGACACTGAACGTATTCCTCGGTTTAGTTTCACTAAAAGTGAAAAACTGATTAACGTGTTGAACAATGAAGGGATAGGTAATGTAAAAACAGTTTTAAGCGAAACTAAAGTGCAAAACTCAGGAGCTAAAGGTAAAGAAAGTAGTAAAGTAATAATTGCTGGGAATAAAGGGGCAAATGTTCGTGACAGTCCTTTTGTGGCTCAGGTACAAACCAGGCGCTTCAGATCTGTGCTGTCATTTGGACAAGAAGGTGAGTCTGTTGGAATGTTTAACTGTCCCTGGGGGGTGGCAGTGAATGATCATGATGAAATTGCTGTGACTGATTGTTGTAACCACAGGGTTTCAGTGTTTAGTAGTGACGGTACCCACTTAAGATCCTTTGGTAGGGAGGGTAAGAATAACGGTGAGTTCCAGTACCCTGAAGGGATCGCTTTTGATAGTCATGGCAATATTGTAGTTGCAGACTGTTGGAACAACAGGGTGCAAGTCTTTGATAGGAATGGTAACTTTCTTAGTAAGTTTGGTGAACAAGGAAGTCGTGATAATGAGCTTAAATACCCTGAGGGTTTATCAATAAACGGTAACGGTGATATTATTGTTGCTGATATCGATAACCAATTAATCAAGATATTCTCCTCTAGTCGCAACTATTTGCGTAAGTTTGGTGGAGCAGGCTCATTGGTCAAACCCTTTCATTGTATTCAACACGGTCAATATTTTATAGTCTCAGATGCTGGTGATCATTCCATTAAGATGTTTGATCTTGAGGGAAAATTTATTTCTAAATTTGGAAAACAGGGGAACAAGGATGGAGAGTTCAATGAACCCATTGGCTTGTCAGTTAACAAAGAAGGATTGCTAATGGTCTGTGATGCAGGAAATCACAGAGTTCAAGTATTTGAACTGAGTGGAAAGTTTGTTACAAAATTTGGAAGTGAAGGTAGTGGGAGAGGAGAGCTTAAGAGTCCATTTTCTACAGCAATTCTTAGTGATGGAAGAATAGTTGTGTGTGAATTGAATAACCATCGAATCCAGGTATTTGAGCAAACATGAAATAATCTATAACCTGCGAATAAAACCGTCTTTCCTCGCTCCTCGTCGTTATGGACCTTTAGCGGAAAACGTCTCTGCCGCGAAACTTCCTAATAGCGGCGATGAGCGAGGATAGACAGCTGTATTCACAGCGGGCTTGAAATAATCCTACCTTTGATGAAGTAAGACTTGAGATTCAGGTCCCGCTGTTATACATAGATCATTTAAGCTTCACCGTTCATGTTTCTGGAGGAATCAATTTTGTGCGATTTTTTTGTTTAGACATTTTGATATGTCGAAATTGGCGTATTATGTTCTACTTGTAAATATATTTTGTCCATAAATGATATGGATCAGTCTACTGTCGCGTAAAAGTTAAGTTTACGCCGGCGCCACCTTCCTTGCATTGCCTCTATTTTATTTACGCGCGTAAATACGACAATTCTTAGAAAGAAAAACTGCAGCATATATTGAATTGACTAGTTCCAAAGAAAGCAATTAATCGAGGTAATTTTCTCTTACATTGTAATCTCACATTAGTACTAAATAAATTTGCAAATACTTCATATCTAGAAATATTATACTAATTAATATTTACATACTTTTTTGAAAGTGTGAGTTTTGAATGGGTTTTAACCTGTTCAATACGCTCTTCTCACTTATGGTAATATGCCCGTCTAACCTCGTTTACGGGTAAAAATTCTTTTGAAATTCAGATACGAAAACGTCGTCTGATTAGCATTTCAAAGGACTTTTTACTCAAAAACGAGGTTAGACGGGCATATTACCATACGTGAGAAGAGCGTATAGCGAGGACAGCCTGAGTTGTCAATTTTGTGATTAAACGGCTTATTTTTACTTACCTTTTTTCAGTAGTAATAGACATACAAATTTCTTAAAAAGCAAAATACTATTCCCTGTAAATACCTCAAGTGGATTATTTTTTGTCTTAATAAACAACAGTCCAAATGCTTTGTTCCTTGTATTCAATGTCTCCTAATAGTCAAAGGCGGATTTAGTGGGGGGAGTGGGGACGAGGAAGCCGCGACCACTCCTTTTTTCTTTGAAATTTTGTATCATTTTTATAGAGTTCTCAGTTTATATAGTTGGCAAGTGTCCCGGCCACCCCTTTCTAAATTTTCTGGATTCGCCCCTGCTAATGTGTGCAAAAACCTGCGCAGGAAAGTCGACAAGGCCACTTAACCGCTAGTCTTCCTTCTTGTGTCACTTGAGAAAAACTAAACAAATTTAGCAGTGGCGTTGGAAATTGGTGAAGGCCACCTCTCCCATTTTTTCTCATTTACTGCCGGCCACCCAAGCACAGGGTACAAGTCTAATTGGTTGGAATGGTAATATTCTTAGTAAGTTCGGTGAAAGAGGTGATGACCCGGCTTAGTGAACCTGAAGATTCATCAACGGCGACAGCTGGGCGACAGTCATATTGGGGAGCTTAAGCAACAACTTCAAAAAACAGTAGGTTTAATGATCAAAACAACAGCTCTGCACGTGCATCACGCTTTTTAGTACATTTCTTGACGTCCACTGGACTACGACGTGAAACCTCCTAATTTGACGTTCTATGGAGGACGTGGACATACGACGACGAATTTTCCTTCCTCTTTTTGAACTTGAATAAAATCCTTAAGAATTCAACTCCAGGAAAAGTCGCTTGCATTTGACATATTGAGCGGGTCCAAATAGACGCGATTAAGTTTGAAAGAACGCAAATTCACTTTTTTAGGGACGTTTTCACTGCGTTGTCTTCGTCGTTGCTTAAGGTACCTATTATTGTTGCTGATAAAGGTAACAAATTCATCAAGATGCTCTGTTATAGAGAGGAGTGATTATGCAAATTTGGTGGAGCAGGTACTCATGTTTGCCAATCCCTGTGGCCGTATCCTACACAGTCAATATCTTATACAGTTCAAACTTTCTACAACAGCGACCTTGGTGACAGAAAAAAGTGGCCATTGTAGAGAGATGGTCGTTGTAAAGGCTGAAACAACAGTGAATGTATAGACAGTCCGCCTAAAAAAAAATGGCTGTTGTAAAGAGGTGGCCGTTATGGGAGGTTCAAGTGTAGTCTAAAACTCTGGTTATCATCTCATTAAAATGTTTGATCCTCAGGGAAACTTTGGTAAATTTGTAGAAAAAAGGACCAAGGATGGAGAATTCAACTATCCTCGTTCCCTGTCAGTTAGAAAAGCAGGACTGACTGCTTATGGTCTGTGATTCCTGACCAACCACAGAACTCAGGTGTTTGAGCTGGGTGGAAAGTTTGTTACAACAACACTTTTTGTTGTGAGTTATTAAACCGGACGGGACTGGTTCAGGACAATGTGTAAGGCAAGCATCTACAGAACCGTGCTTGGCCTTTTTTGAATTTTTTACTGTTTTAGAAAAAACGGTTTTTTCAACTAGACCCAGTACCCCAAGGCAGTTTTATCATATCTTAACACTTTCGCTTTTAAATATCTAAAAAAGGCCAAGCACAGAAGTGATATATTAAACGGCCGGTAAAACAATTGAGGACACAGGAAAAAAGTGTTGCCTTTTCGAGAACAAGCTTTTTCAGCGTCTTACGTGTATAAATCTCTTAGATGTAGACCACCCTCTCACTTTTGAAGTGAGCAAATTGAGGCCCATGCTTTAATTTACCCGAGTATTCCGAAACACGATCAATCGAACCCCTTACTCTTCTCAGCAAGATTTCGATGCCCTTTCTTCTCGCCTCTAGCCTACGGACACAGACGTATTTCCGGTCGTCGTTTCTCTCCATCCTGGTGGTGAGAAGCGACGACCAGAAATAATTCTTTGTCTGCAGGCTATCTCGCCTAAGGTTCCTAAGAGAAAACTAAAGAAGGAAAGCAGTTTGCTTGGATGCCAAGAAGGCTTCTAATGCGAGTTTGATTTGGAGGTAAAGGTGGGGACACGTGAAGCTCTCTCTCACCAATCCTCTTCAATTATTTTTTTTTCACCGTCTCTTTGCCCTAGCCCCTTAAAGAACCCGCTCACAGACTATCAACTTATTTCTGGCTCTCGACGTTTAAGGAAAGTAGGGAGCAAACGACAGAATACAAAAACACTTGGATTGTGGTCACGCCCTGAAAATAGACGTTCCAGAGACTTGCCGAGTTACCTTCGGTTTGTAATGACCACAGCTGAAGGCGAAAACAGCTAGGGTAGTTTTAGTAGCAATATCAGTAGAAATGCTTATCGATGAGCCACTTAAAACTGAAATGATCAAACTTTAGATAAGATGTCCCTTATTTTAGCTGTTTAGCTTTGTTTCACTCATTCAGTTTGCCCTTTTTTCTAATTCCTTTTGTTTCAGAATTTCTTTCACCAGCTGTAGTCGTTTCAATACACCGAGCATAACTTACCTGAGTAACTCGGCAAGTCCCTCGAACTTAACACTCACTTCTCAGATGGTGTCCACCACCAAGTTGAGAGTAGAAAATATTGACGATCTATCGATGAGCCACTCAGACCTGAAATGACCAAACTTGCGTGAGATAAGTTATACCTTCTGTTCATTTTCGTTTCATTCCTTGTGACACCTCACCGCACTATACAGTATTGTTGGAGTTGTAATACATACACCAGAAAAGGGATTATGTGGAGCTGTACTACAGCTATAGTCGACAATTAATCAGGTCAGCAAATCTAATATCCTTTACAAAAAGTGGAGTCTGAAGCTAGAGATTGCAGTTCGTGTCACTATTCTCAAGACGCTTCATCTTTGCTTTTCGCCAAAAAACTGGTGAGCGATCATTATATTTTCAATTCTTCGATTTTCTCCTCAGGCAATACAAGCTGTTTTCAAATGATATATTCGCAAGTGGCAAATTATTGTGCAAACGAATGCAAAAAATACGCAACCACACCACACTGAGGCTTTTGTCGAGTTGAGAAAAATTTTCCCCCATCATTTAAGAAGAAATCCACACTCAAACTGCAAATGCGCATATTATTCTAATTTGCTTGCTGTGCTACAATCGGTGACAAGGTATTTAGCACGAAAGTTCTAAAGAGTCGGGACCGCCATTTTACATAGTGTTCCGAGCCGCGTGCATCCTCGGAGACCCAGGGGCATCTAGTTGGGTCGATAAAATGTTTGTGCATGGTGAATGTTTACTGTAAGATCGAGAAAGCCCGAGCTTTCGACACCAGCTTTCAAATAAGCTGGAGTCAATTTAAAAAAAAGGGCGCTATATACATCCATGCCATAGTTACTTAGATGCCATTAATACTACCAACCTTAGCAGCTTGAAAGAAAGACGAACTCAGCTCTGCTGTAAATATGACTCAAAATGACCACCCCTTTAACTTCCTCAAGCCGAGAACAGCAATTAGTGGTCATAGTTACAACTTGCGGGCCAGTGACAATAGAAATATTGTTTACGCTAACAGGAGTTGTCTGTGCCGGACCCAGTGTTCAGGTTCCTTTATTTCATTCGCTAGTAAATATCTGAATATGTTATAGTTATTTAAGATATTTTTATTGTTTTTAGTAGTAGTGTTAGTTATTTGTTGATTGTTAATTTATATCCCTTTAATTTAGTTAATTCTGCAATGTGGCAAATAAACGGTATATTTATTTATTTATTTATTTATTTAGCCCCCCGCCTCGACCTTAAGGTAAGCTTTCACCACGAGCATTTTATCGTCCCGACTAGCTGCCCCTGGGTCTCCGAGGATGAGCCACGCGAAGGTCTAGCTGCTTGCATTGCAATAAAGACCCTGGGCGCGATCCATTCAACCAAAATTCCAATCGACCGGGAAAAGTGGTCCATCTATGGTTTAAAAAACCGTTCAAAATTATTCTGGGGTATTTCCGACCTCGGAAATACAATTCACGGGGTCGGAAATGAGTAAGCGGGGTCGGTTTCTTTACATATCAATAACGGGCCCGTAAACAGACTTAATACCGGGATCGAAATTCAATTCACGGGGTCGGAAGTGATTTAGCCATCGGGGGTCGGGTTTCTGCGTCCCCGAAATTACGACCTCCGGATTCA